TATCATCTTAAGTGGGATCAGGGAGCCAGAATACAAGAATATGGTTGGTTTTCTTAAATTTTCAAAAATCTACGAACCCAAAACATCAAGCAAGTCAGTTTAACAATATTTGCTATAACATACTAATCCTCCAAATCCATTTATTTCTGAAAATTGCAGTAAAAGCAAATGTTGTACATTCCCTTTAAACCTTTACTACTTTATTTACCGAACTCACTGGTGCACTGTTGTAATGTTTATCCAGCTTGCCTCTTATAATAATGAATACATGTATGTTCTGTTGCGCCTGCGTCGCTGGGCATGAAAACAAGGGATATGGGGATCAGATGCTCTAAATAACAAATTCTTCTTTGGGTCTGAATTCATAAAGATCCTGTAGAACAATAGTCAAAATTAGTTTCTGATTCATTATTTAGACTTGGGACATGAAAAGTTGGCATTTTGATGTAATAGTGGAAAATGGGTATACAAAGACTGCTGATCTCTCATATGGCGTCGCGTGGAGGGGGGGGAGCCAAAAAAAGAAGAAAAAGGGAGAAAATAGGAGAAAATAAGAGAGAAGGGAAAGGAAAAGAGGCGCAAAGTCACAACTGGTCATTTAATGGGTGGGGGGGGGGGGCGAAAGTCCTTGTTCACCCTCGAAATATCGAAATACGCTGGAAGAGTACAGGGATTTTTTAGGGGGGGGGGGAACGTGCTTTGCCCCCGCTAGAAAAAAATCCTGGCGACGCCCATAACTTCACTAGCTATGAACTTTCCCCACCTTTGAAAGTTCATTATCATGATAAGAATTCATATCGTAAAATTAAATATGGGTCGTGGGAAAAGTAGGTCTGAATACTACATCTTTAAATATCAATAAACAGGGTATACAAAGTCAATTGACCTCCCGAAAGTGACCGACAAATATGAAACATTTCTCACATCCAGTCATTGCATTCATTGCATAAAGAGCCAACATACGCAGTTTTATGCTCAGTCTCAAAGTACACAACTTTTTACGATATTTGACCTTAACAACTCTATCAGCCTATACCCACTGCCCCTAAGATTCAATTCAATCCTTAGCTTCAAACCGGAAAACTGATACATGTATTAATTTGCTAGCTCCTGCTACCTGTACTTCATCATTTTGGCCAAAAACCGACAAAATCCAGCAATGTTTGTTCTGCGCATATTACGCGTGTATGTCATGAGGTGTAGTAGTAGTTTGGGGGCAAACTGTGCAGCGGTTCTGTGGGAAATGTCTGCATTTTGATGGACGTTTTTGTACTTAATTACTTAGTGTTTTGTGCTGACAACAATTTTGCGGGGTTCTTAATCTATGCTACTTGGAGCCTCAGTCATAGTTCTAGGAGTAGGCTACACTCAGTAGAGCTACTGACTGTACTGCTAGTGCTACATCATTGTAACTAGCAAATAAGCGCTATCTTCCGTTATGCACCACATTACAAAGTTTCATCTTACCTTGTTTCAAATATCAACGTTAAAATGTTCATTCCCGGCACAATAAGAAATGTCTTGCGTGGACATTTGGCGTCGTAATGCACTGCAATTTGCCGCGCAGTTCATCAACCACTTGCACGTGGCGTGCATCCTGCATGCAGTGCAGTCACTTTACATTCATTATGAATGAGGCCCTCTCGTGACTGCATAAACTTGCCACCAGAGGGCCTCTTTCAACTTTCGCGGAACATTTTAACAGAAAAGTCCGTCGGCGCTATGCACTGTCCATTTCTATCATTTATACGAAATAATGTGAACGCTCATAGTCTAGCAAAAGCTAAAAAGTAAATAAGTTATGGTTTTGGCCTACAACCTCGGCAAACTTATAAGTTCAGTTTAATCTTTAGCGCTCAAAAATATCGTGGCGGGTTAAACTCACCAGACAAGTGCATCAGTGCGCGCCCCACTTTCAAATAAATTTACGGGCCTATAAGTTATCCTTTATCACACTCGGGGTACACTTCATATATGTATGGGATTCTCCGGAAAGAATTCCATACATGCACATGACTAGTTTTCCCTGCAGTGACCTTTTAGCCATCAAAAAGCGATAACATGTCCTAAAAAGTCAAGCAGGGAAAATATTCATCATTCACTGAGAAAACACTTAGAATTTCAAGTATCATTTCTGTTCCAGTTATAACCAGGTAAAAAAGGTCCGTTAAAATTTCCAAAAGTTTAGCACCGAAATTTAGGGGACCCTCTCTCTATGACATTTCTGCATGTTATTCTTAATGTCGCCCACTACTTTGGTAGGGTTAGCCTCCCCCCCCCCCCCCCCCCGATTTTCCCAGGCCAACAAAAGTGCCCTTCTCGCGGTTAATGTGTCCCCTCGAGATGAAAACAAAACTGCCCCTCAAATGCATATATGAAAGCATTATGATCGCACTTAAAAATGGTTTCCTTTCTTAAAATGCAAAAATACCTCTCGCGCATAAACAAGATTGTTAACCTTCTCGAGATGGAAAACTAAATAAGCACAAACACCCCTCTCGCAATAATAAAATGGTGCCCCTCACGAGATGGGAAATCGGCAATCAAAAACAATACTGCTCCTCTCGCGATAACTTGTCGAGATGGAACTGCCCCTTGAAAGCACAATGCCCCGTTTGCAAAATTAAACTGTGCCCCTCTCAAGATGGAAAACTGGCCTGTAAAAAAACCAGTAGTGCTCCTCACGCGAATAAAATGGTAACTGGACTGGCCATCAAAAGCAAGAGTGCTCCTCCAACGATAAAAAAATAGTCCCTTTTCATAGGCCTTACTAGTCAAATTCAAGGGCGGACCCAGAGCCGGCGGGCGTGCCGGAGGCCGAAGGGCTCTCTCAAGTGAAAAATTGTCTTATTCGAGAACAATACGAGCGGCTATATTGAGCCTCCGGAAAGATTTCCATACCTCTGACCATCAGTGACCTATCAACCACCAGAGAATGATATGTCCTAAAAAGACAAATTTTGTAGGGAATATATTTACAGAGAAAACACTGAAATTTTCAGACCAGTCTCATAGGGTTTGTGCACAGGGTGAAAATTGCCTAGCCAGATGGAATCTTTCAAAAAAATATCTTTAAGAAAAAAATCGTACTGGATTGATGGACAATGGACAATATGCTGGATTGATAGACAATTTTCTCCAACTATAGTAAATACTGAATGAAAATTCATTTTGAGTCAATCTAGATAAGATTAGACTGCTTGAGACAGCAAAAGTCACTTTGGAACAATTTTGCAACCTGACGCCACTTCCGTGATTGTGTACAAAGTCTATGGAGAGTCAACAAACATACCTAACAAAATTGGAAATGTTTCTCAGTCCCAGATTCATACGTCTTTTCATTTTTGCAATGAATGACCTTCATTGAGATGATATATGCAGAAAACAGTGACGTCAGGTTGCAACATTTTTTCCGCCACTTTTGAATGGAATACGTAAAAAATAGAGTTCTTATAAAACAACTTACCGACCACGAACTGTTCATGTCAAGCATGGGTGAAGAGCTACGAAATTGCGTATATACCGCCTGTGGCCACACCCAAAAGTCCGTGCGTGCGTACAGTATACAGGCAACTGGGACATCTGCCTGTCGCGTGGTGGTATTACAATGGCTACTAGAACTCAGGCCCAAAAGTCAAAGTATACTTACTGTTTCTGTGTTCTCCATCGTGTGGATTGAATGAGTGATATATGCCCTTAGGTTACGTAATAAACCTTTTTGGTAGTCAGCCAATACAAAAAGAAATGAAAGAAACACTAATGTGTGCACTCACGCAACAGGCTGTTTTGAACAATTATTCACAAAATAATGGTCGCACACTCGGGGCCGTTCAAAAGAAAAGGAAGGAATTCACTACGTCATCAGGTATGACCTGAAGGGGCGGATCTTGGAATTTTTGCAGGGCCTGGGGAGTTCATCAGCAAATCATTGCTGACTGATAGACAGGTTTTTTGGTCCGGACTTGGCATCCGTAAAATCAAATATGGGGGGGGGGGGCCTCGTATCATAATTTTAATGGGGGCACTGTTCAAATCCGATATGACGTCGTGTACTAATACCCCCTAACCAAGCTGGCCGCTGTCCGTATTTTGTGAAAAGGCTGACATTATGTTACCAGTTTATTTTCGGGGTGTCAGTGCGGGGGGGGGGGGGGGGGGGGGGGGGGGGGGGGGTCGCATTTTTTTAAAATGAATTTCTTTGCAAAAAAAGGGGTCAGAACTGCGGATAGGCACGACTAATCTGGGTCAAAAATAACTTTTTTTCTTATACCATTTTGACCCAGTAAAGTGTCATTTTGATATAGACTCAGGTCGGGGTCATTCTGACACAGGGGATTTTAGAGTGTATTGGATCATCCCCCCACTTCCCGGCACAGATTTGCGCCACGAATCATGGTTCAAGTCTAAGTCGGAACTTGAACCTTAAAGAAGCACAATTAGTAGGTACTCATTATGTAAATTAGGAACGAGTTACGGTTTGGTTGGCAGGAAAACTGGCACGTGTTTGCGCGGACTGAGGAAATTACTAAACACAAACAACTTGTTTAAAAGTAAAAATGAGATGACGTACAAATATCGAAGATAGCATACAATCGTTAGACGAATTTGAATGAATTTTTTAACTTTGACTGCAATATGACGAAATTGCTTCATCTATCGTAAGTTCGGCAATTGCAGACGACGAAATGGATATGTCTTTCGCGAAAAAGTATAAGGCCAGTAATCGCTATATGAAATTGTTTTGTAACGTCTCTCTGGGGGTGAGAGACATTACCAAGACGAAATTGAAGTAAACTGTTTATGAATTTGAATAAAAATAAATAATAATGTGCGGGAAAACTTATATTTAAAACCTACATTATTAACCACCACCTAGGGCGCCCTCTAGAAGTCAGGTCAACAGAGGTCATACCGGTTGGATAATTTTTCCATTCAAGCTCGTACCCAAAGTGGTGTACGCTCCCTCACAGTCCATTCGAATCTCATTGCGTGACGTCAGGCGCGTGGGTACGTGCGATAAATGAAGCATTTCCCTGGAGCACGTACGCACGGGCAGGAACACCGGCAAAAATGGCTTCTCTCAGAGTTGGAAAATCGGCAATTTTGATGGCAAGGAGGTGCTTGATCCGGCCAAATATCAGAACAATGGCAGCTGGAGGTGGTAAGCTTCCATACAAGACGAAAAGACCGAGTGTAAAATCATTTAACAGGATTTTTGCAAACATTTTTTTCTCCACCAGTTTCCACACAGTCATTCGCCATGCAATGTCCATTGTGAACATGATTGTCATTGACCTTGTGAAGTTTGAATTATTTCGATTTTAATTCTAAGCAACAACTCTATGTTTTGAGAATGGGGCCGGGAAATGCATTTTCAGGTTAGCTATTGTCTTGAACATCGGTTGAATATTTTAGATGCTCATTGTTTTGACAGTTTTAAAACAATGATCATGACTGACAATCACTGACAATGTGACATGACTGAAGTGAAGTCATGGAACTTGAAGTGAAGAAGTTGAACAATTTACGAACAATTTATGATCTTTTATTCTTAAATTTGTCTGTCCTCATTTCACTTTGTAGGAATTCCAGAGCACTCAGAGCACGTAACAGGCCTTGAAAAGAAAGAAATGGAAATGATAAAAGCTGGCAATCCGGTGAGTATTTCTGATACTAGTGATCGATACACATCAGTTTCAAAACATGAAGGACCACACAAGTTAAGAATGACGATATCCTAACAAATAAATGACTTAGCGATAAACATTTAATCTCCAATTATAACTAATATAAGATAATCAATTGCAATTTTATTCAGCTTTGAGATGTTTCATGCCCATCTGGAAATAAACATTTGCACAATTCTTTTTTGTTTATTTCAAAATGAAACAATGTCCTTCCGATGACTACATGCAGGACTCACATGCAACAGATGTTTATTCACTAGGAAATACTAACAGATCATTCACGGTTGAACTCAACAATTCCTTACATTCTTCAATGTGCTTTCTTTTTTGTAATTGGAGAAATGATCAATGATCTCTCTTGCCAGGATCCTTTTGAACTGCAAGTGAAGCGGGTGCCAGCCGGCACACAAGATAAACCGGTCGCTGTTAAGTCTGTCTTTGAGAAGCGAATTGTCGGATGCATTTGTAAGTTTTTGCTATCTTTTTTTTTATGAGCAAGATTTATATGAAGGCATTGTGTTTTTACACTCTCTGATATAGTCGAGTCTGTCACAAGTTCGTAACAAGTCCATTAATCCTAACCCTGCCAGAAACAGCACAGTGCATCAGTTGGAAAAAGCGGGCGACTCTTTGGTGCATTCAGCTATCAACACCAGTGTGTAGAAGTCAGTTTTGAAACAATGAGCTGATCCCTTCGAACAATGCCCCAGTTGTATCCTGCTGCATTCAGAGACCACAGACTCTGAGGAAGTTTGGCTTCGAGACTTTTAGACTGATGATCTTGCTACACTGGGCAAGCCTGTCACTTAGACAAGCGTTGCATGTTGCCGCATTTGTCAGGGTTTCTAGCCAACATACCCTGGGTCAGGTTTAACGTCCTCCGGTCGCAATTCAACTCACAAGCTATTCAAACGTGCTTTAACATGTTTTATTGTTCGTCCACTCTTTTCAGGTGAAGAAGAACAAACCTTCATTAACTGGATGTGGTTACATGCTGGGGAGGCCCAACGATGCGACTGTGGCCACTGGTTCCAACTACAGAAGACCGAGAGTATATAGCCAATAGCTGAATGTCGCCCCCTCTCGCCTTTCTGTGTTGTTTTGTAAAGAGATTTAATAGTGTGCATGAGTGGGGATATGAGGTGTAATACTTGAATACAATAGTTGTTGATATTTGACTGATTTGATTAGCTGTGGACCCCAGAGGGCGCTACACTTGAGATAAACTCACTTGCATCGCGAGCTAGCTGCAAAACAAAAAAACACGTTAGGCTGACAGTAAAACTCTTAAAGAGCAAAGCTAAATGCAACACAAATGTCACAATAATGTTGAATTTTGTATTTTCGGATCCTGCATATGTACTTTTTATACTGGTGGCAATTTCGGGACACTGCTGCTGTTACTGACACAGAGAAAATACAACAGTGCAAAAATTGTTATAGTTGTGCAACAAAGTTAGCATACAGTGAAGAATAAAAATTGAGCTACTTTCTTGTGTTTTGCAATATTGCACAGTTTGCACCCCATACTTTATTTCCATATGGAAAGCAAAAGTGTGATGTACAGAGTTCAGTTATCGGTCAGTGTTAAATTTTCACGTGTAGCGCCCAACAAGAAATTGAAGATATGGCAAAATACCAGATTAGGATGTGCTCTGAACAGTGTTCTCCCTGTGATTGGTGTAATGTATAACACAAGCAGATTTCAAGTTATATTATTGGTGCTCTGATTTCCATCTAAAACAAACTGGCAATCATTTCAGGCAAACAAATCACCATTTCCAGACCAAACAAATTAGAACATGATTAAATCACATTAGGTTTTGCCCTTCACCGACGTATAGAACACGATTGTTTCTTGGCACGTTCTTTGACCGTAGTACAGTTGCAGTTTCTGTTTGTCCATCATTCTGCGGTTAAATACAACACAGAAATAAATGCAGTTTATCAAAACCTTGTTTAATAAAATTCCAATTATTTTTAACTGAGACAATTAGTCACGCGAGAAAATGATGTTAATACTGTTTCAGAAGGTTCACATTTAGATTTCTTTACCGTTGTCTAATCAACCTTAGAATAACTTTGTGCTAATAAGTAAATGTTACTTTCCTGAGCTATGTTACCATTTTCTATAGTGAATGACGACACTTCATGTATGTACGTTCTGTGATTTACATTACTGAATACATGATTACCAGTATAAAGTTGCCCTTTGAGATAGTGCTGAGTCAGTTCGAATAATTGAATATTCGGTTATTTGACCATCCATTCGATCGAATATTTGGATATTCGGCACAGCATATGAGATGGACACAATTTCACCGCCAGAGGGCGACAGATTAACATACAATCATTTAATACTCAATATGGACATTCTGTAAGAAGTGAGTGGTAGTTGCTTTCTCATTAAATTATACATGTATACTGTAAAACTCATGTTAAGCACTTTCAATATTCATTTTTGTCTTTGTGATCCGTGTTGAAAATCCGTATAATTCATATACCATACTTGCATCTAGTTAATCAAATTTAGTTCATGAAATCTGATGAAAACTTCACTCCATCCATTTCTTGTTTTCCAGCGTGAAATATTAAATTGGTGTTTTGTGTACATTGAATAGTTACTCCCTTTTTAATCACTATTATATAGATATTTGGTCCATGCAACATAGCAGTGTGAACGTGTGTGCAAATATACTTACGTTGTGATTTAAAGATGTGGAATACTCTAATTACAATTAAAAGTATGAATTACAATTTTGCGTCTTTTGTCATATTTTAGCTTTCAATTTGAAGTCGCAAATTCCTGCAAATAGTTTTACCCTGCAAATATTTAAATTAAAAAAAAATGGACATGGTTCTAAACATATCCTATAAGCTTCTGTACTGATGACGTCACGCTTTGTATGGGCTCCGTGCGCCGATAAAGAGGGCGCCCTTTTACCTAGCAACGACGTCCAATGGGCGGGACATTTCGCTGATTGACGCGCACCGTTCCTTGTGTGTGACGCACGTACACCAGGGGATTTGTACTATGTACACGCAGAGGCTGCGCTTCGCGGCAAATGAATTGCAGTCAGGCAAGATGGCGTCGGTCAGTCACCCCCAACTGTACTCTCTTTGCCAGTGAGGGGGTACTTGTGAACGGAGCGGATACGTGTGTGCTTTCCTATGGTGCGCAGTGGACCGTGGGCCCCCACTGGCTCCATAGAAAAGTGCACTTGTAAACAAAGTGTGACGTCATTAGTACAGAGGCTTATTGCTTGTCAATACCTTGAGACCAAATCAACCAAATAAGTCTTTTTGAAATTATACAACACCTCCTTTCAAGGTCAAATTATCCCCCCCCCCCCCCACAAAATGAAAACACAAAAAATCAATCAAACACTTCATTTTCAAGCAATGATTAATTATTTAAAACATTTGCTGATATCAAAAGACCCTGAAACCCCAAACACTCCCCCCCCCAACCCCCCAACCCCCCCAACAACTGGGTCTTCGTTGCCCAGTTTCCCGCGTTTATCTGTAAGCATGGTAAGAGAGAAAAAAAAGAAACAATAAAAAGAAAACAATTGCTTTATTATAAATCACACTTAAAAAAAATATTTGACAGACTTCACATTTTTTATTTAAAATACCTGAAAGTGCTTCAATTTCAGAGAAATAATTGACCAATTTCAGTTTCATTCTTCAAAAGGTTTCATTCCAGCTGCTCAACAAACAAATCTATATTTAAATATGTGTATTTAAAAATATATTGAAATAGAGATATGGGAGAAAACACATGTACAAAAGGCGTTAACCTCAGCAGCACTAAAATGCCACTGTGAAAACTAGTTCTACTACAAAACTTCCCCTCTTTAAACCGAAGTAAATCCTGCTACAAAAACACACTGACATATGCTTTCCTTTCTGTTCAAATTATGAGAATAAAATTCAAAGTCTAACATCCCTGAGTCCATGTATAATCTTGACACTTCTGGCACTAACCATGATATGAATTTGTTCCCATCAGAAACTCTTAACTTTGACAGTTTTGCATGAGAGGATCTCGAGTTGGGTGTATTTGTAACTACCCTGTACACCATACTCAACTCTCAACTCAGTGAAGAAAAAATATGCAAAACAAACTCATATTACATTTGCCCAACAAAATTCTTTACAAAATAAATTCCCCGAGTATTTCCTGGAGTATTTTTAGCACCTCAGTTTCCTACAAACTTCAGCATCAGAGAGTGATGTTGAGTGTTTTAAGCATTGGTGAATGGCCAACATTTTGAATACATGGACTGATGAATTTGCAGAAGTCTGGAGGCATGACAGTTGACTGTAGAGACAATGTGCAGAAACAGAGACCAGTCCAGGTACCAGACACTACTTTCAATACACACGCAGTGCAATTGAACTACTATGTAGGTCGAGTCTGAAATTTCACCTGAAATTTGAGGTATACAGGTATACATGTACAAACATGTATGATGTCAATATGTTATTTACAATTTGTTCAAGCCTGATTTCAGGCAATTGGCCTATCACCGTTGGCAAGTTAGCCACGCCCCTTAGACAACACTATGGAATTTTACACACTAAGTTTTGCTTGTCTCAGATTTTGCGCGTTCCGCGTCCATTTGCATATCATGTAATTAGACAATATTTAACAAGCTGCGTTGACGCAATTCTACCGCGATAGGTCAATTGCTTGAAGACTTACATCTCTGCCCTACTAAAGCAATGTTGAACATGTTCCATGAACAAATCCATTTTTTTTGCATTGCACTTTGCATCTGAATTTTAGACCATCATTTACAGCATCAATCATTCTTTGATGTCGAAGAAGGACTCCGGCATGGTTATACCCTTTGCCAAAGAAATGATGTGACTCCCTGTAGCCAGGATTTCTCCGTTGGACTTGAAGAGGTCTGCCTTGGTGAACCCTAGACTCTTGCCGGCTTTGACGACGTTGACGTCCATTGTGATCTTTTCTCCCAAACTGGCTGATCGAAAGAAGCTGAAAAACAAAAGCATCTTTGTACTTAATAAAGGAATAGAGGAGGCAATACTCAATCTGTATAGAATAATTATTGTACATGAAATAGACCAGGGCGCAGATCCAGAGGGGGTTGATTTTACAGAGGCTAAGTGTCCGGAGAAAAAAACCTGTCTTTGTTTCAGCATACATTTGCTGATGAAATCTCCGCCCTTGCACAAATTCCAGGATCCGCCCCTGTAGACAGTGCTTGATTCCTGTTTTTCTCATTTCATTGTAAAAATTCAAGAATTACACTTCAGAGCTTTCAACACCCTCTTACAACAAAAGCACTTCAAAAGGAGACAAATTCAAGAGGCTTGTTTGGAATGGAGCATAAAGCTATAAATACATTCTACAAAACAGTCCTGAATCCTCCAATTTCAATACGATTTTGCATACCCCTAGGGAGTTGGGGTTAAAGCAATACTTTTTTCCAATACTAGAAACAAATGTCTCAATTTTTATAGGGGAGAAAATGGTTGAGATGGAGATTAACACAAATAAAGGTTTTACTACTGGAAAAGTGACAAATGAAAGGATCATACGAAAATTCAAGTATTTTTTTTGAAAAGTAGGCATGGTAGGGATAAGACATTTTGGGTCATCCCTTAGAGAGTACCCTTGTGTTATGTTAACATTTTTTTGTTGGAACTTTGTGGATGTTGTATAGATTGCACTGGTGAAGGCACTTTCTTTTGTTTTTAAACACTGTTCTTTCAGTTGAAAAATGGAACAAAAATGGGATGTACCTCATGTTGAGCTGCGCACTGACTCCAAATTGTCCAACTTCCTTGGCCAGAGTTGCCAACGTCAGAGTATCCACCATTGTGGTCATGCAACCTCCATGCATTATCTGCTGTGCGTTAACGTGTTCCTCCCCAACCGTCAGCTCGCAGCTGCACTGGTTTGGACCCATGGAGACAATTTTGACCTAATTTGGAGTCAACCAAGAAAAAGAGATCATGACTAAACAAATAAAAGGCATTCAGAAAACTGAAGGGCCTATGTAAGGGTTTGTCAGACATGTCAGAATGCCATTTCCACTTCAAAGCGAATTTTTTTTTGAAAATAGGTCTTAATTATGCAGAAAATCAAGATCTTAAATGTCGGGGTGTCGCTCAAGTGGAGCCTGTTATTCTTTCCAATGAGATTCAAGACCACTGCACTCGCAAAAGTCGCAGCTTTTACAATTTGTGTTTTTTCTTACGATGAACTGTTCAATGACATTTTTATTTATACAGTCAGTACTTTTCATTACGGGTTATCCTTACCTGTGGGACCCCTTTCCTATATAACTTAGGTTAAAAGACTCACCAAAACAGCTGAACAAACTGACACTCGAAAGTGACATTCTGATATTTCTTGACACATTTGAAGCTTGAACAGTTGGCAACGACACCTTCTTGATTATCAGCAGGTTTAATTTTGTGGAAAGAGGGCAGGGCTTTGATTTATGAGCGGTAAAAGACGACGATGACAAACAGAAAATATATTTAAAAAGCAAGATTCACATTCAAAGTCACATTTTCTTTGAAACTAATGAAAGTGCTTTCAAAATTAGCCTACAACTAATGAGTTTATCTGAAGAAAACAAGGTGACAAGACTGCTTTAGCCTGCAAAAGTCACTTCGGTACTGGACAGTCATCTGCAAAAGTCAGTTCTGAACACAACTCGTAAAAATAGAGGTGTCCTAAAGATTACAAATATATTATATAGGGGGCCTAAGGCTAAGTAATGATCGTTTACACATGACATCGGTCCTACTAGTACTAGTATAATGGAACGCCGTATTATCGCGGTACTTATCACGTTTCTCGTTCGGAATAGAGATTGCCCACTAACCCGTAAGAATTGTCCCGTCTTATGTGTAGTATAACTCTTCCTTTTTAAATTAATATAAAAAAATCTGACGGGTGGTGTGGTTTATTCCGTGTACGATGCCTGTGAAAATAGACATGCGCGGCGTGTGCGAACGGAGGTGGACTCCCTATTATCGCGGTATGCGGGAAGTGGTTTTTATAATGATCCCAACTTTTTTGTTCATAGTTTATCTTTGACCAAAACACCCCCTGAATAAAGTCTGATATTTTCTCTGTAACGTTCAAGTTGATTAAAGACAAATTTTCTGCAGGATGATTTCTTAAGACCCTGCCCTTCCCCCGAAAGGAGAACACAAATCCCTGAGGCAAGTCTACTGATCGGCGATTGAGGGCGCCATTCACTTTACACGGTGTGCCGTTTTATTTTCGCTAAGCGCGGTGCTTATTTTGATCCCGTAAAAGTTGTTTAGATTTCGCGCTGCAAATATCGTCGTTCGACTTCATTTTACATTTGCAGCTGAAGAATGGGAACCAGACAATGGAACTTTCATGGACAGAGCGCAATTAAAGATTTGTGTTAAAACATAAACGGTACCTTTTAGCAGACACGGTGAGGGAAAATTTTGCAAGTTTTGGAAAACGTTAATATTTATTAAAATCGTTAAAAGTCCCGAAAGACACAACATTTTTTAATCGTCCTTTTTATACAACTCGATAGAAAATCCTTGATGATTGGTGAACTGGATAAAAATCGCCACTTGAAGGAGTTTTGACACTGTAAAAAGAGAAATTTCCCATGCCGCGATAATAGGGATGCCGCGATAATTAATAGCATGAATAGGGAGTCCGACTATACTCGTTTTGACAACAGTATACATTCCAATGGTATATTTTCGAAGTTCAAGGCTAAGAAAAAATGAACGATCTAACCAGACTTTGACCTGTTAACTAATCTTCATACCTTCTCAAGAACTCTGTCGAAATTTCGTCCCGTGGTGACCATTTTCAAGATTTGCTTGAGCACTTCCACGGAAACTCCTCTCCCGGAGGCTGCCATGTTGAATCAATTTCTCTGATTGGCCAAGAGAGGGCGCCATTAGCAAGTTTCGAATCTTTTGTGTTGCAAAAAGTTTATGGACAAATTTTGCGCGATTGATCATCATGAGTTAGGACTCGTAATTGTGGCATTTGAAGGGGGAAAAAAAGGGGGGGGTGAAAAAATGGGTTAAAAAAATCACTGGGAGTTAAACTTTTATATTCTGGCCCCGGAACAGGGTTATTTTGGGCGTTGGGGTAAAGATCCACGCCAATTGTCAAAATATTGAAAAAACCATGAAGTGTTTTCATTTACAAAAAAGCATTCCGAATCAGAGAAAACAATTGTACCGTCTAAACTTTACTCTAAAACAATGAGTACTCAGTTTGCAGTAAGAAACAGTAACAACTGCATACCTCAACACTGTAATTTGTTAAGATAACCTGTTTATTTTAACACACATTTCAGTTATACCTGATCTCCAAAAGCAAACAAAAACAATATCCATATCAATGCACACTTTTACAATAAAACAAAATATATAACCTAGGTCACACCATTTGGTAAGAGTTAACACAATGTGTTTTCTAGAGTTGTGAAAACGGCAAGTATGTGCATCATAATGTGATCTTTAATCTATTCCTTATCTATTTTTTTTCAACAATTTGAACAAGTCAAATTCCCATTGGTACCATTCCCATTGAATACACTTTACCAAAATCTTTGCAGCACTAAAGAAGTATTTCATGCTCCAGCCTATGTTGAATGTATGTCTTAACTGCTGTTACTTTTAGAACTTGAGGAACAGAAAAACAAAAGTTCTTTGGATAAGCCCTGAACCATTCCAGCTCAGCTTTTGTCTTTATCGGAAGGCATTCCTGGGATTGGTCTACTCTTAACCAATGATATCATGTGACTTCCTGTAGCGATGATGTCACCGCTGGAGTTGAAAATGTCCGCCTTGGTGAACCCAAGAGTCTTGCCAGCTTTTTCTCCTATGTCAGCCGATCGGAAGAAGCTGAAAGTACAAGAGAATCCTTGTAAGATTAAACTGTAAAGCTTGGCTTGATTTTGCATGGGTCTTGAATGAGGTTGTTATTAAGCCGGAACTGTAGCATTGTTCCAACTTAATCCCAATTACACTATAGTATAGGATCGTCCCAACTATAAATGGGACTTCCCCAACTCTATAGGATTATCCAAACTATAAATGGGACTTCCTCAATTCTATAGGATTGTCCAAACTATAAATACTAAAATAGGACTTCCCCAACTATAGGATCGTCCAAACTATAAATGGGACTTCCCCCAACTATAGGATCGTCCCAACTATAAATGGGACTTCCCCAACTCTATAGGATCGTCCAAACTATAAATAGGACTTTCCCAACTATAGGATCGTCCCAACTATAAATGGGACTTCCCCTACTCTATAGGATCGTCCAAACTATAAATAGGACTTCCCCAACTATAGGATCGTCCCAACTATAACTGGGACTTTCCCCAACTATAGGATCGTCCAAACTATAAATAGGACTTCCCCAACTATAGGATCGTCCTAACTATAAATGGGACTTCCCCAACTCTAAAGGATTGTCCCAACTATAAATGGGACTTCCCCAACTCTATAGGATCGTCCCAACTACAAATGGGACTTCCCCTATTCTATAGGATCGTCCCAACTATAAATGTGACTTCCTGAACTCTATGGGATCATCCCAACTGTAAATGGGACTTCCCCAACTATAGGATCGTCCCAACTATCAATGGGACTTCCCGAACTATAGGATTGTCCCAACTATAAAATGGGACTTCCCTAAATATAGGATCTTCCAAACTATAGATGGGACTTTCCCAACTATATTTAGGACTATCCCTACTTATAGTTGGGGTCTTTTTTATAGTTGCGGCCTGACAGTTTTGATTTACCTCATGTTGAGTTGGACACTCACTCCGATTTTGCCGACCTCTCTGGCCAAGGTGGCTAGAGTCAGTGTGTCCACCATTGTCATCATGTAACCACCATGCAGTGTGCGCTGTCCATTAGCCTCTGGCTCCTCGACCAGAACCTCCCAGCTACATCGGCCGGGACTGGCCGCCACAAGATTGACCTAGTACAAAAGATTGGACACAAAATGCAGGAAGTGAAGGCAGACAAACCATTCACTAAACTAAGCTCAGTATTAAAAGCAGGACACTTTTTTTCCGCATCATCACGATAATTATCAGTAATTGCAAAAATATTGATAACTCTGGGACTGAGAAATATTTCCATTTTTGTTAGGAAATACTTGGAAAATGTTCTGGACTCTCCATAGACTTTGTACATGTTGTGCCCATTCTTGAAAATCACACATTCTCGAGAATGGGTATGCACATTCTTGAGAATGTGCAACTGGATCCTTGCTCAATCTTGGCAAAAAATAACTCTTCCAGATTGAGCGCAAATTCTTGAGAATGCGCGACAAGATAACGGTCTTGTCGATGCCGAGCACCGGCTGCGCTTGGCAAGTCTAGCTGAATCCTCGTTCACTGATTCTTAATAATTATACTGTTGCAACGCAAGGCGCTGAAAAGTAGAGTGGATATGAAAAGTATACGCGTATTGGGGGAGGGGACCGGGGGGAAAAATAAGAATAAATAAGAAAGAATTCAGATTTTTGGGATAATAAAAGAGGGGGGGGGGGGAGGGGGACGTAAGAATGAAGAATGTGAAGAATGAGAATGAATACTGCGACATCCCATAGTGCTAATGCTATTTCCCATTTAAATTGCCACCAATTTATTGTTCACACCCCACCATAACGTCGCAGAGCTGGATTCTATCTAGTCAAAAGAGCAATTTTGGCAGCTTCTGGACATCGTTTTTTTTTCGTGGCACGCATATGATACATACAGGGACTTGTACTTGTCTAGCCTAAACAAAGCACTTCCCAGACTAGTTCCCAGTCCTCCGTTATTACAAAACTTCCCATAAGTAGGCAGGAAAAAGCAATAACAGGTTTAATATGATTCAAATTATCGTAGTTTTACGAGTACAGAAGCATAGAACATTTTCTTTCCTCTTTATATGAATTGTTTCCCTTTTAACCGCTATACAATTCATTTAACATAATTATGTCGTGCAATGTTTGTTAAGATTGGGCAAAATTCATAAATTGTGCACGTGATATTCCCACCCAATCTTAAGAATGAGCGCTTATTCTTAAGAACGCGTGCTCGTTCTTAAGAATGGGCGCTCATTCTTAAGAATGCGCGCCCATTCTCGAGAATGCGTGATTTTCAAGAATGGGCACAACATACACAACTGCTGAAGTGGCGTCTGGATACTACATTCTTACAGGGAAAGAATGTACTATGTAGTGTCCAGACAGATGCCACTTCTGCGGCTAATTTGTGTACAAAGTCTATGGAGATTCATGAACATTTTAGTATTTCCTAACAAAATTGGAAATGTTTCTCAGTCCTAGATTCATGTCTTTTCAACATTTTTGCAATGAGTTTGAGTGACCTTTAATTAAAGTTTAACGCAGTGGCTATTGTTACGGCAGCCGTAACGCATTTCCCATTTTCTATCGTTACGGTAGACTGCAACTTTTATAAAAACATGAGAAGAAAATATAAAATTAGAAGAAAAAAAGTGAATTTGAACGTTATGAAATTCGGACTTTATTTCCCTTTTTAAAAAAATCCTCCAAAGTCTCAGGTTAGAAAAGGAAAAAAATTCGAGTGCAAAACTGACATGACCGAGATGCGAACCCGCAACCTCGCAGTGCAAAATCCTACCCTGTATCGACTGAGCTGTCGCACTGCTCGCTAAAACATGGGGAAACAAATAATTATATACCTGCGTGCGTATCAATAAAGTATCGTAGAGGGCGCCAAACAACGGCTGCCATAACAATAGCCACTTCGAAAGTTTAAATGTATTGAAATGGCATGTGAAGAAAACAAGCGGCGTCAGGATGCAGCATTCCTTAAAAAATCACAGACTGGTGGACCATAGCTCCAAGGATGGACCAAGGGCCCCAACCCAAGCAAAGCCGCATCAAATGATCAAGTTTCCCGCTGACCGCGTGACTTGACAACAGACACGCCCACCCCCAACAATTGCGTCTTTTGTGTCAAAATGACAAAAACAAATGTTATGCTGAATGCATGAAAATGGTAACCATATAATAGGCTTCATACCTTGCCCAGAACTCTGTCGAAATTTCGTCCCCCAGTGGCCAATTTCATGGCTTGTTTGAACAGTTGAAGAGCCGGTGTGGAGGCAGCCATGTTTTCAATTCCTATGCACGCCTAGAGAGGGCGCAATTGGCAATTTTGATTTTGCCGCGTCACGCGTCCTATATGAAGTGCCGAATGCTGCAATTTGTAAAAAAATATTTTTTTTACAATATGAATATATCAAGTATGTCACTGTAGTCAAGACTGTGCCATATTTTTTTTATGCACAGGGATATTTTTTACCTGATCAAGCACCTTTGATGAAAGTTTAATATTTATAATTTTTGTAATATATTTGATGTATAAGAAATATTCAAAAGTACATTTCGGCACAATTCTTGGGACAAAAGCATCTTTATCTTCATTGAATTCAGTCTTAAAGGGAATATAACATTTGCAAACATCGAAAAATAAAATTACCAAGTTTTTACGAAATACCTTACTAGGATGTTGGTAAATGACAGTCTAAAGCATCCTGTAAAATTATGGCACCTGGTGTGAAGTCATTTTCAAGAAAATGGTATTTTTGTATACATTTCCAGCGGTGGTCGGCCGACCACCGTTGGAAAACCTAACTATTTTTCAACTACTGCTCCAACTTTACACTTTTTTCAGTCCAAATTTTGTTTGCTATTGGTTACATGTTCATGAACGGGTGCAGGCCAGCTAGACTGGTTCCCTTACCTTACAATTTTCCGGCATCTATAAATTGATCCATTTTATCTTTAGTGGAGTCAAGGAACCAGACTACTTGAACGTTTTTGTTTTTCTTGGTTTTTCCAGCATTTTCGAACACGAAACTTCAAACATGTCATTGTAACAATATTTGATCTATTACACTAACCCCTCAAATAGTTCATTTCTGAAAATTACAGCAAAAGCCAATGATGTACATTCCCTTTAACCTTTGTCAAAAGAAATAAATTCTTAAATCCAATTTTTCAAGCAGAAGTCATTAATTCTTGATATCAATTTTTTTTAAAAATATTTTATTTCAATGCACCATCACCATAATGCACAATATGTCAAAGGACTAATAATACATGTACTGTACATATCTGAAAGTATATTACAATTATAAAACAACAAGCTGGTTTACCCGATCATAGATCGGGTAGGGCGTAGTGTTGGGGATGAAAATGTGGGGAGTTAAATGTAAATGGGGGATATAGTTGGTGAGACATGCAGTTAAAGAATATCAATTTCTGTGGTGTGATCTGAGGCAATTTCTGATCACTAAAACCAATTTGAGCAAAAGATCATCTGTGAAAGTTTTGAGTTTTGAGTGATTGAATCAGCTACATGTATTCTGAGCAATAGAATTATTATTGTAGGCTACAATATTTTTATTCGGGGAAGAAAAAGTGTGGGGGGGGGGGGAGACCAAACAATGTCCCCCCTCAAAATGTGGGGGTGTGTGTGTGGGGGGGGGGGGGGGGTTCCCCTGTCCCCCGTCAATTTACGCACATGATAATTATGTACCATGGCAACTGTCTGTAAATGTTGCCGTTGGTCTGTTAAATTAATGCATCGATCCTTCGTTGATCCCAGACAGGCCCTCGAAATTATAACGCAACACTGTGGCGGGCAGCGAACTCACAACGCTCAGCCTTGGTGGAAGCGAAGCATGGAGCTGTATTAACACACGATGGAAGCAACAGAGCACTATACACGTCACTCACATGCTTGTGCTTCAAATCATGCAAATAGCGAGCACCGTAGACCCAACCTCGTTTCCAGGGTGTGGAGCAGGCTGCAGTACGCGTTGCCATCGACAGTTTTGCATAGCCCGGATATACTACGCAGTGTAGACTTTCGATTGGTCAGACCGCGCAAGGCATACTTAATGTGTAGTCCTTCTGAGTATTCGTTGCACTCGGCGCAGGGGCGGCAAGCGAAGCATATGAAAGAATAGGGGCACTCGGTGGCCACGCACCATGGAGAAAAAATATTTTACCAAGGTCACCCCATATCACAATTTGGTGAACGCTTTGGCAGTACGGCTGAGTAGAACACGTAAACGAAACCCCTACGTTGACCTCGCTGACCTCGCACAGTCTAGACTCGCAGAAAAGCCAGCACAGGGGGCGGCCAGGCAGTCAACGTGAAAGCGCACACGACGGAAAATTCCTGTGCAAAATGCTGTCACGAAAAATAGACGAAAAGGATCGCCGGTCCGTACGGGAAAATCAGGACGACCCGAAGCGTCCGACCCGGCGGAAGACACCCTCCGTATTTTTCCACGGACGTGGAGCGATTTTGGCGCCGCGGGAGCCCGCGGTCTCGGATCCTTTCATGAGCAAACATCGTCTCGGAGGCCGAGTTAAACTCTCTCTTATATATATAGATAAGTTCATTCGGTGAACAAACCATAAACTATAAACACACACGTTTACAACTCTTCAAATGTTAATGCTTTGAGAGTTGTTTGAATTGTGCTGTTCCCCCATCTGGAGGGGTCTTCATTTTTACAAAATAACTTTAATAAGATTAATCAAAGTGAACATAAATGTTAAAACTTCTTTTCCTTCATGATTATTGTAATCCATGAATAACTGTCTTCATATCATAGTTGCACATTGAGAAGTCTTTTCTTCAACTTTCTTTCAATAAGCTTTTTAAGTCTACAAAGTCTTGAACTTTTTTGTTGCTGCCGATGAACATGGTCTGCTGCCCTTGTGCTATGATGTCTCCTTTTGCATTGAAGACATCGGCCTTTGTGAACGCCAGACTCTTACCCGCTTTGATAAGTTCGGCTTCCATGGCAACTTTCTCGCCAATCTTGGCAGCCTGCATAAAACTGGAAACAAAAGGGAATAAACTTTAAACTGACAAGTTTTGTTTATCTAGCAGAGTGATCCCATTTGCAATTTCTCAGGTTTGAATTGCAAATGCTAAAGGGAATATACATCATTTGCTTTTGCTTTAATTTTCAGAAATGGATGGAATTGGGGGTTGGAAATATATAGCAAATATAGTTACACTGACTTTTTTGAGGTTTGGGGTTCGAAAATGCTATAAAAACCAAGAAAAACAATCATTTTCCTGTAGTCTGGTTCCCTGACTCCATTTAAGAAGAAACAGAGCAGTTTACATACATTGGGGAATTTGTATGGCCAGGGGACCAGTCTAGCTGGCTTGTACCCGTTCATAGGTGTGTAATCGATTGCAAACAAGTGCGATGGTCAATTTGGGGCCAGTATTTGAAAAAAAAAGCCAGTTTTTTTCCAACGCTGGTCAGCCGACCAGCGTTGGAAATTGATACAAAAATACCACTTTTCTTGAAAATGACAGTATACCAGGTGCCATGATTTTACAGGATGCTAATTACACTGTCATTCACTAACAGTCCAGCAAGGTATTTCAAAATGATTTGGTAGTTTTTTTTTTGGATGTTTGCAAATGTTGTATTTTCCCTTTAACATCGCTAATGTTAATATCGCTATGTTAACATTATGGCCTTTGGTCCATTCCAAGCTACATGGACATACAGGACTATTTATGACTTGTGACTAGCTTCCCATGATCAAAGACAGACAAACTGGGAGAATGCCAACTTGAGGCTCGATAGCAGCTTAGTTGGTAGTGTGACGGTACATGTACAGTGTTTCGAGTGTCTGGTTCATACCCCACTCCACTCAATTGTGTCAACTCTAACCCTGCAAGAGGCAATACAGTGTATCACGTGGACAAATCTGTGGGACCTTGCTGCATCGAGCCAACAATACCAGGCATAAACGGCCAAGTCTGAAACAATGAGAGCCAGTCCCATTGAACAATGCCACAGTTGTATCCTGCTGCATTTGGTGACTACAGACTCTGAGGCAGTTTGGCCTTGAGACTTTTGGCCTGATGGATCTTGCTACACCGAGTAGGACTGTCACTTAGACAATTGTTGCATGTTGATGCGTTAAGCAGGCCTTCTACTTCTAGCATTGTCCAACCAAAATACCCTAGAGGGTTAGTGACTATAATCAAATTAAAAAACAATAGAAGTTGAATACAAAGAACTTCCATCTTCAAGTCCGCATTACCTCATGTTAAATTGCACACTAACTCCAAGTCGTCCATCGGTCCCTGTCAGTATAGACAAAGTAGTCATGTAATCGACTAGTGACATTGTGAAGCCACCGTGTAGCGTCCCCTGTCCATTCGCGTGTTCCTCCTCAACAGTCAGTTCACATCGACATCGCCCTGGACTGACTGAAACAAGATTGACCTAAAAAACATAAATTTACTTCGGGATTATTTGCCGTTTGACTTCTGGGAAACGTCTGGTAGGCAGAGCAGGTGGGGGGGGGGGGGGGGGGGGTTAAATAGTGTCAGAGTACTGCATTATTTTTGTATTATGAAAGTCATAGCTTAGTTATAGTTATAATTTAAAGGTCTACCTGCCTAACTGGTTATGTTAAAATTAAAAGTCATAAAAGTTAACTTTCTTAGTTTGACATGATTAAATTACATGAATAACAGGAATAATTTGTGTACATACACAGTGTGACGAAAAGAATGTTGCAGCCCGACGCCACTTTTTTCTTCATATGTCATCTCAATGAAGCCAGTCAGTGCCAGTCATTGCAAAAATGATGATAAGATATGAATCTGGGACTGACATAACTGAGAAAAATATCCAATCTTGTTAGGGAATACTTAGACAATTTTCTTGACTCATAGACTTTGCACACAAAATATTGTATGTGTTGTGCCCATTCTTGAAAATCACGCATTCTCGAGAATGGGTATGCACATTCTTGAGAATGTGCAACTGGATCCTTGCTCAATCTTGGCAAAAAATAACTCTTCCAGATTGAGCGCACATTCAGTCTTGTCGATGCCGAGCACCGGCTGCGCTTGGCTAGTCTAGCTGAATCCTCGTTCACTGATTCTTAATAATTATACTGTTGCAACGCAAGGCGCTGAAAAGTAGAGTGGATATGATAAGTATACGCGTATTGGGGGAGGGGACCGGGGGAAAAAATAAGAATAAAGAAGAAAGAATTCAGATTTTTGGGATAATAAAAGAGGGGGGGGGGGAACATAAGAATGAAGAATGTGAAGAATGAGAATGAATACTGCGACATCCCATAGTGCTAATGCTATTTCCCATTTAAATTGCCACCAATTTATTGTTTACACCCCACCATAACGTCGCAGAGCTGGATTCTATCTAGTCAAAAGAGCAATTTTGGCAGCTTCTGGACATCGTGGCACGCATATGATACATACAGGGACTTGTACTTGTCTAGCCTAAACAAAGCACTTCCCAGACTAGTTCCCAGTCCTCCGTTATTACAAAACTTCCCATAAGTTGGCAGGAAAAAGCAATAATAACAGGTTTAATATGATTCAAATTATCGTAGTTATACGAGTACAGAAGCATAGAACATTTTCTTTCCTCTTTATATGAATTGTTTCCCTTTTAACCGCTATACAATTCATTTAACATAATTATGTCGTGCAATGTTTGTTAAGATTGGGCAAAATTCATAAATTGTGCACGTGATATTCCCACCCAATCTTAAGAATGAGCGCTCATTCTTAAGAACGCGTGCTCGTTCTTAAGAATGGGCGCTCATTCTTAAGAATGCGCGCCCATTCTCGAGAATGCGTAATTTTCAAGAATGGGCACAACATATGCACTCAACAGTCAACTCTCCGACTCCATGGGCGTTTTCAAATCCCTGTTCTTGACAACACGCGTGTAACACGAGAACGTGTTCTCGAGCTGATTGTTACGAACGCGCAGGTGCGTGTCGCATCGATATAAAGCAATGCAAAATGGCCGACAATCGTCTGAATTTGTACTTAGGCCTATTCCAAATGAACGAGGACGACTGTTGCAAAACCGGACATGCGGGGATGAAATTGCAGACCTGCACTATAAATGGTATTCTTATTCCAATCATTAGGGTTTTAGCAAAAAAAAAACACACAAAACAAATTACGAATCTGCACAGTCCGCCATTTTGTTCAAGCTGCACCTCGCCGAACCCTCCATCAACCGGGGAGTGAAAAATTCGATCCGCGAACGCCCTCTTGGGTCTGTTCGTCACGTTCGAGACCGCCGTTCTCGTGTCGGGTTAACCCTAGCCCTGGTGGACTCCCTTTCCTCCCTACGTTACGGAGGGAGTCCTGAGTACACATGTGATCACAACCGAACGAAAACATTTCTTACCAATAATTTCCATATTTTTACCTTGTTGGAGAAGCTAATTTTACGTCGTAGTATTCTATGTGTCCTTATCTGTTAGTACGCTGGGTTCAGGAATTCCATATGCGATGCTGACTGACGTCAATCAGGAAAATAAACTCGAAAGCATCGTTAAACTTGTACGTGTTTAGTCTCTTTTCATCAGTTTCTCACCGCCGAGTCTATTCTAGTCGTACATCATGTACGGTCTGTGCAGCGTGTAGTCTGGTTCCCTAGACCGGACAATTATTCTCGACGCTCATATCACATCTGGTCCGAGGGACAGACTATGCCGCATGAATATGCAGTGCGCACGCGCGATTTGCTTAGTAACCACCCTCATACGCACGCGCACTTACTTGAAGGCGCGGTCGCTAATCCAATGACGGAGCGTGTTTTCGCGCCAGTTACCAGAAACACGTTTCGGCTTTGGTCATTGGTTGAGCGTTTTCGTGACATCGGTTGGCTGGAGTGACGTCACGGTTCCAACCAAAACTAAACAAATGAGGGCGCTAGCGTGCGTGCGCGCTTTCGGATCGTACGCACGTACATTTGTACATGTACATGTACATTGTACATTATGCATGACGAACGACTCTGGGAATAAACTGATGAAAAGAGACTACAAACACGTACAAGTTTAACGTTGCTTTTGAGTTTATTTTCCTGATTAACGTCAGTCAGCATCGCATATGGAATTCCTGAACCCAGTGGCCAATAGATAAGGATACATAGAGTATGACGGCGTGAAATAAGCTTCTATAACGAGGTAAAACATAACAAAACTCTGGTAAAAATGTTGGGATGGTTTCATGTAGAAAAGTCTTGTCCTGGACGTTAGTCGTATTGCAATGAAGACTTCGTCCAACCTGGGCTAGGTTAACCCGAGTGTTGTCAAGAACAGGGATTCGAAAACGCCCCATCAGTCCATCATTTGTCCATAGACTTTGTAATTGTATAGGCCTACAATTACAACCACAGAAGTGGCATCAGGATCCTGCATTCTTTCCCTACCCCCCCCCCCTCCTCGATAAGTGGTTTCTCATCTTACCTTCTGAAAAATCCGGTCAAAATTCTTTCCCTGCGTCAAAATTTTCCAGACTTGCTTGAAAATCGCTGCGCTACTGGAGGCTGCCATTTTGGGGCTTTAAAACCATGGCCAGTGGAGGGCGGTATTCCCCGACAAAGCACACCGTTTAAAGAAAAGTTTGCGAAGTGTAACCAAAAACGGCCCATTTTAAACTTCAAACCTCAGAGGCGTATCTGTCTCTCCTCTCTAGAACACGACTTGTCGATCATTAGTTTTGTCTTAGAAAGGCCAACTGACGAAAGAGCGTTGAGTTCAAGGTGACCGTAAGGCCCTGGCCAAATTCTGCTAAATGCACTTCAAAAATCTGTCATATTTATCGAAATGATCTGCCAAATTCCCCCGAATTACTCGAAATACACTACAAACGCTATAAATCACATGCAGATGTTGTAGTATTGCCTTAATTAAGGTTCAAATTACATTATAAACAATCTATAGCTCCATTAAGATGTTATGAAATGGCGTAAATTTCAGGCAAAATGCAGTTTCGTCACGACGAAAACCGGAATCTCAGCACCAACCTGCCCCATTATGCAAGGGTTTGTTTTAAGCGCTTGAAGCTTTTTTTAAAACAAATATACCTTTTTTTTTCAAATTTACTACGTTTTTTCTGTCAAATAACCATTTTTGCAGAATTCTGCCAGAAATCTGCTAAAAAATCCATTCTGTCAAATTTTCTGTCAAACTCGTTTTTCACTGACAAAAAAATCTGTAAAAGTTAGCCGAAAATCGAAAATTGGTCACCCTGGTTGAGTTTGACCTTTTTATAGCTCCAAACTTTGACGCACTAGCTGTCAACTTGCATGCACGACACTTCCAGTCGACAGCTGTATCATGATAACCAACTATTGTTGTTATCACAATGTTATCACTGTCTACAGCTTAAAATAAATAAAATAGCGAATTTTGACACGTATAGCCTTTGTAACAAATTTGACACGCGTGTCAATTTCCTGGCGTAAAACTAAGCATTCAGTACCAAGATACCGTTGATAAGCTTATCTCTAAAACTTGTTAAAAACTTTTGCCATTCAATTTCCGCCTCGACATCTGTGTGCAGGTAATGTTCCATACCAATGCACACTGTATGAAATTTTTTTTTATGTCAATTTAAAGTGTCAAAAGTTTAAAGTCTTGACACCAGGTCCACGCCGTATGGGGGCCTACTATAACTTGCATTGCGTAGAAAAAAGGGGCACAGATATAGGCCTATACAAACGTATATAAAAGTTAAAGCGCAATGATTTTATAACGTTTGATAATTATAGTTCCCGAGTCAATTACTGAATTACCGGTGTAGCATGAATTTAGGTTTTATGAAATACGGACTCATTGGTGGTATTGCGCATGCTTATGCATAGATAATTAGGAGAGGGACCGGTCACGTGAGAGGGTTTAACCAATAAAAGGAGGAAAGAGTCCGATTTTCATACGAGTCTGATTTTCATAATTATGATACGGGTACTGAATTACTGAAACCGTGTCAGCATTTTGTTTTTGGTTTTAAAGTTCCATATTCCCTTCCATTTTGCAATAGTACATATACCACTGAAAGGCAGCAGGGGCGTAGCTAGATCATTTTCAAGGGGTGGGGGTGTCGGACCAAATTTGCCGACAAGTTTGCGTACAAAACATCCGACAAGTAAACGAAAAAGAGGGTCCTCAAATTTACAAATTTGCCGACAGAAAAATCTATGGGAGGTGTGAAAAGTAAAATTTGCCGACAAACTTGCAACGAAATATTTGACAAGCCAAAAAAAAAACATTAAATTTTTTTAAATGGGGTCCTCAGATTTCAAAAGTTGCCGAGAACAGTAACCTACAAAAAAAGGCCTTTGTTTTTACAAATTTGCCGATAAAAATATCCTTCACTTTTCAATGGCAGCCGTCAAAATCAGGGGTAGACAGCCTGTTATCACATCTTTAATCTTTTTGACAAGTTTCACATGACATTCGGACAAAGAACTCCTGATTCTTGCAGTCGCTACGATGGCTATAAAAGACGACCAAACTGGCTCGAAAACCACAACTTCCAAGACCAGCACGATCTGAACATTTGTACAACTCTCCTGTTCTGCGAGACATACATCATGAAGACTCTACTTTTGGCGACTGTTCTGGCGACCATCGGCCAGTTGGCATTGACCGCGTGTCCGAGTTCAAGCGGAGGATCAGGAGCGCCATGGTAAATAAAAGAGAATAGTCAGTCAGTTTGAATTAAAAAAAACATGCTTCATGTTTAACCCTAACACCTGAAGCTACAAAATACTACCGAGTAGTAACCTGTAGTCTGCATTTCTTTCCATACAAATGTGCACAGCACATGCAGTATTATGTAGTATTTGGTCCTTGACCACAAACGAGCCCTATAGGCCAAGAGAGCCTTTAGGACGTTGGGGTTAAACGATCGATCAAGCAAATTTGATGTTATCCACATTGTGGTTCATTTATGTTATTCGCGCGCCGTAACCCTCAACGAATGTTCAAGTCATCTAAATTGTATAAAATCATCTTACTTTTTCACAGAAGCACAAGTAAAATAATGACTCAACGGGGTTTCGTTAATTGATGAAAACACACTTGTACGTGTTAGGACATAATTCTTCTACTTATCGACCATGAAAGCCAAAATCTCACTGAGACATACCAGACCTTTGTGAGCTTCACCTTTTTTCCAAAAAAAAAATGCTTCGCCTTCTTTCGCAGTCTTACTTTTGTTTGTATCTTGACTGATAAAAGTACCCCTTAATTCAGTGTGGACCTGAACCAAATGAGATGTTCCTGTTTTCAGGCCTCAGATGGGGTATCGATTATAACTTATTAGCAGGGTTCGACTTTAGCGGTAGCTAGCAAGCCAAATGCTATAGTCAAAACAGCGGCGGCGCGGGCTCGTCAAACTACATGTATTCCTAACTAGTCCGGCTGGCTAGTCAAAAATGATTGGGCTATGGCAAAGATGAAAGGACAGGAAGAAACAAATCATTAAATTCAGAGTTTAATCAAATCTGTATCAATTTGTGTCTAATATTGTATGAAGTGTGTAGGGTTTAATATATCAGATCAGTTTATCAAAAACACCGACAAGATTGCGTCAGGACACATGTATGCACATTGTTGTTTATGAGACACTCTATAAAAGACCAACACGATTATTACGAGGGCTAGTGAAAATACCCGCAGGCTACTATGTTTCAATAGCCCGGCTGGCTATAGTGAAAACAAAAGTTAAGGTCGAACCCTGTCTAGTCGATTTATAACACAGGTTCTTCACAATGTCCGAGAGAACCTTGTTGTTGACTGAACATAAAGACTGTCTTCGAGTGACACAGACTGTTGGTTTGACCCTCAGGCGTGAGGCAGGTGACGCTTGTTACCAAGCCGTCCTCATCCCATCGAAGTGGACTCTCGCACGGGACACTTGCGAGAAGCTTCACCCAGGTGCTCATCTGGCCACCGTGACTAGCGACATGGAAACCTGGCACATGTTCAACAGCTTCAGGGATGATGTAGACTTGACTGTCTGCAGGAGTTTCTTCCACTGGATCGGGTAAGTTATTTTTTTCGTTACAAAAAATAAAGTTTAATCTCACAAGGATTCCTTTGAGAAAATCGCTGCCCTGGCAGTCTCCTGAAAACGGATAGAGCATATACTGTTCAAAACGTCGAGTTACAAAACCGGTTCTGTTTAGAACATCACACAAACACAAAATATTGGAATGGATGCATGGTACTACAATAAACCTTACATCTTTCAACTTCGTAAGCGTCTGAAAGTATTAGTGTACCTCGACACATCAACATCGGGCCTCGTGATCTGTAGGCCTGTAATATTCGACTTCATTCCTTTATGGAGTTGGCCTACATGTAATGTGGCTTCTGTCGATGTAGCCCACTATTGGATGGATTCCGTGTAAAATTCATACTTGTAAACAAGTAGTGAAGTGCGGGCAATGTGGCCTAGTGATTAGGATTCGTGACTCATGATCAGAGGGTCATGGGTTCGAATCCAGCTGCTGGCCATTATGCTGTGTCCTTGGGCAAGCCACTTCACCCTACTTGCCTCTCTCCACCCAGGAGTATAAATGGGTAGCGGCATTAGCTGGGGAGTCACCTGCGATGGACTAGCATCCCATCCAGAGGGAATGGAAATATTCCTAGTCGTTTCATACTATTGAAACCGGGGATAAACGCCGGCCTGATTGGCCACATTGGCTCATGACAGACTTTACAATAGTGAAGAGTCGCAAATACATCACGAGAAGCCGCATTTGCAGCTAGAAATGCATGCTCCAAATACTGTGGCACTGGTTGAAACAAACTACTGAAACCCCATGTCCTAACGATCTAAATCTCTCACTTTTTTTCAGAGTGACTGACATTGGCCACGACGACGTATTCAAATTAATTGACGGAGGTGACTACGAGAACTGGTCGTCATTCGTGGAGCCTCTGCACAAGCCCAACCAGGAAGACTGCGGGGCCATTAGCCCACACACCGGCAGCTGGTACGGCGACCCGTGTGCCAACGAACACTGCTTCGTGTGCGAAGTAGCAGCCATCTAAGAGACCACACTCATGTTCCCGATTTCACTCTTTCTCCGTGATTTATCTTTAATTATTTGATCCAAAAAGTTACAGGACCTGATGCTTGCACACTAGCGCGATCTTTCTCAAAGGCAAATTTATATGAGATTAGAAGTAAACACGTTGGGGCACACAAGCATGAGTGGGTGAAGAAAAACAGAGATAGGATCGAAAGGATTCCAAGCAAACAAAGAATTCAAATCCAAATAAGAATTCCGTCCTATAAAACAATAATATCGGCATATACGCCTTTACACTTTACGCCGCAACGGGGTATCAAAGTGCTTTACAATTATTATTATCCCCGTTTCAATGGGAAAACACTCCTGAAACCTTCTCAACTCCACAGGGAGCATACACGGCCGGTTGTCAGGCATTTTGGCGCTCTTTCCCGTAATCAACCTCTCACAGTAAACAACACTGCCCTCACAGGTACCCATCTACTCCTATGTGGAGAGAAGCAATGAGTAACAACTGAAATGTTTTTCTATGTCATCCAGGGGTATTAAAAGGTACCTTTTTTTTTTTTTTTTATCAATAACGACCTCAAGATACTCGATACCTTTTGACATCCAAAGTGAGGTTTGGTTTAATTGGATACAGCAATGCTCTGGAATACCCGTAACTACAACATGCCAGGGATGTAACGATCTTACAAATTACAATGTATAACATCTGTGCAAAAAAAGTTTTACTGAAGAAAGACACTGTTTAGTTTCCGACCTGTAATAACCTGTTGATCAAGAATGATTATGTGAAGATCTATTTGTTGAAAAAGAAATAAATGAGAACAATATAAACGCATAGAAGTGGTGTTCTTGTAAATTTTTCCTTGTCTTTCCAGTCAATAATATACTCAGAGCAATGGGGAACCAACTCCTTAAGTCTTTAAAGTTGGCTGAAGACTTTGAAGAGTTCAGTACACGTAGACAAACCTTTTGCGACACTGAATTTATTTAATCCTTTAGAAGATGTAAAAGTTATGGCATTTATACAAAATGCTATTGAAACATACACGAAGGATCTATTCCAAAGGAAGCTATGGAATAAGACTTCAAACACAATTGTGCCTTTTTGGAAGTTAGGGTTAATACTTCAGGCCAGCTTGCCATTCTTATCTCCCAAATACATGTAAATCCAAAAATTAGGAAATTAAAGACCGGCAACTGTTCAGGAAGTAGCACCATAACTATAATTTGTCTTCATCGGGAGCCAACAAAGACTGCTACCATGTGGATGTAGTAGAACACTGTCTCAATACATTACATAGAATCAGGGATCGATAATAATGTGACTGTTTTGATGACCTCTGGCATCGGTCAACTTAATTTACATAAACACACACGAGCACTGCACTTTCTGCATAGATGCATATCTCAGAAATAAACCAATCAGACTATACGGAAAGAAATGTCATCCAGCACACCAAGGATGGTATAGACATCTTGAAGGGGTTACCTGCCCTTTATGAGGTAAGGTCTCCAATCCAACATTAAAGCTTCCTATCCCATTATCCAGCTGTCTGCCGTATGCACACACTCTTGTTTTACTATACTCCTGAGGACAATGCTTTGTGTTTTCCTTTGTCCCTGTGATATAACACTCTCCCATTGACCAAGCACACAAACCTACCACTGTGGACCGTTTTGAACAACAGACCCAACACCCGAGGATTGAAAGGATCTGTTGTTCTCCCTTTGTGTGTCTGTCCTCGGGGGTTATGTAGAACAAGTACACCTGCTCATGTATGTGTGAACTAGCCAATCAGAGTGCAGAAAAGGTAGGATCATCAACTGCACGGACTCCGTGCACAAGTGCCCCCTCAACGACAACAAAGGGAGAGTTCAGGAGATCACTAGGAGGGTCTTTTGAATGAATCACTGAAGCGCCTGACGCTTGTGCGAAGACAATACAGGTCTAAGCACATTCAGAATAAAATTAGTCTGGTACTGCAGGTTGTACACTCGCGAACCAGAATGCGCATCCGTTGTGTCCCCCCACTGGTGCTCTCGAAATGGTTACCACACTTGTTCATGCAGGAAGTCCTTAGCAATCGCAGGCAATTTCAGAAGCTTTGAGGGTGTGTTGGTTCTTTTGAAAGGCTCAGGTCTCCAGTCAACAAGTTCACGCCCAATCACGCTCTTCCACCATCACTCCATAATTATTAAGAAGCAATTTACGCACCTAACCCTTTCCAGATGAAATTATTCGTCCAGATCAATGAAGTCTTCGACAGTGTTCTTCCTGCCGACATGTTTGACGTGATTCCCCTGAGCAATGATGTCGCCGTTAGCATTGAAGAGGTTTGCCTTTGAGAATGCTAGACTCTTACCGGCTTTGATGACCTCCGCGTCCATAGTCAGCTGGTCTCCGATTCTTGCTGCTTTTAAGAAGCTGTCCGGCAAAAAACGAACGAAGAAAGATGGTTCTCAGATTATTTGGCTGTGAACTTGTTAAGAAAAAGTTATTTGCTCAGCAGTCAGGAGCGACCTCGTCCCCAGGGTTTCGAGCAGTACGCGCCCACCACTACCTGCTCTCTCACCCTGGTATTGGATCATTTGCATGTGCAGGATTTTTTAACACGTATGCAAATGAGGAATAGTCGGGTGCCTGTATGTGCATTACATTAGCGTTTTTTTGTATGCGGTGTCTGGGGTCAAAACATAGTCAATGCGTTGCAGCGCGAGCATGGCGTGAGTTACGAAAACACAATTTATTAAATTAAACTGTTACGATCTTATTGAGACAATATGCAGTATCACATTTCATATTAATATGAACAAATTGGAAAGGAAATGACTTATTTTCTAGAAGGCGTCGACGGATGATCTCGAAAACACGTACTGCACATTGTGAATAACACCACCAAGTACACGATAAAAATCCATTACTAGCCAATTGCGGTATCGAATCAGGATACAGGCAGAAAGTTTCCTGTCCAGGGCTTACTATTGGAAACGAGGATGGAAATAAAGTAAGCACTGGGGAGGAGGTTGACTCAGCAGCTTCCGGAAATGGGACCTTGTTTAGTAAACGCAGATACCACTGAATCGGACACAAGCAATCGAATCAGTAACAAGTCTATCACAACTCCATTGCAAGTTGGTTGGAACATAGTTAGTCAAAAACAAAAAGGATAGAAGCCCAAGTCACAGCTCACTTAAAAATTTAATAGCATATGTATAAAGGAGTACACTTAACAGACAGAATGGAGTGTTAAGAAATCATTGAAGATGTAAATTTACCTACCTCACACTTAGTTCCACACTGACTCCTGGCACCCCAGCTGGTGAGGATAGGACAGCTACCGTAGTCAGTGTGTCGACTAACGTGGAAACAAATCCTCCATGAAGCGAACCTCTTCGGTTCGCTTGCTCCTCTGCCACCGTCAACTCACAGCTGCATTGCCCGGGACTCGCTGATGTTATATTTACCTGAAAAATACACGATTATAAATATTCAATTCAACATGTTCAATTCATAATATATGATTAGGCCTATAATTATTGCCCGATTTATCTTGGCCAAAACCAGTGCTTGACTAAAAGCACTGTAGTCAAAAATTAATCTTACCACCTAAACAAGATCGCACCCAACCCCACCCCATTCAACTCCACCCTCCACTCCAGCCCCGTGACCCCCCCCCCCCCCCCCCATGCCCCCCCCCCCCCCCCGGCCGCTAGCGGTGGTCTTTTCCACGTACTTTGCCATTATCAACAATTAATTGGCACTATTGCCTCCTTGGATTTTGAACATATTACCAATGGTATTCTTACTTTACTGAGGACGTTTTCGAACCGTTTACCAGACACAATCATCTTCCACACTTGCCTAGCGGCTTGCGTTGACGCACTGGAGGCTGCCATCTTGAATCACATTATATTATGGAGGGCGCTATTTCAATCGCAAGATCGCCGATGCGGCGCAGACGTAATGTACGTTTTGCCAGTTTTCAATTTGGGGGATTCCTCCGCGAGTTGAATGTTTCAACATGCACTAAAGAATCACACAACTACTCAAATTATTTAAGTTTGAAGACTCATTTATTTAATAATTACGTATTTATTATGATTTATTTCAAGTAGTTTAGTGCGGCAAAAGCATCAATCTTCTTTTTAAGAAAACAAAGAAGATCTGCCGGCGACTCGGCAAGATTAAAACAGGCTTTAAATTTAACACTCGGTAATTGATTATAGGGGAAACGAGCATCCTACATTTAGGCTTACGACGAGAACTAGCGTTCAGAATGTACACGACTTAATTATGATCTAACCTTGATTTATCTAGCAATAAATCGGACATCCACAACTTGCAGTTATTTCGCGGCGGCATATACAAACTGCTGTAGTTTTGGAACACGTATACCGTCTAAGCCCATCAGACAATGTTTATAGCTGCAACATAACAACTAGAAACCACTCAGTAGCTTAGTCATTTCCAACCTCCATGGTCATTCTAACCACGCACGTTCCCCATAATCAACTTTTACAGTATTCTAACGTTGTAACATCTTCATCTTATGGAGTGCCAAACTTAACCCCAAGGTCACGTATGGATCAGTATCTGTAGAACTAGAAACATAGCATTAGCAATGGATCCAACACTTTGGATAATCGATATCATGATCAGTGGATAGGAACAATTATCAAGAAGTCTCCAAAAAAAAATTTGGTCTCTCTTTTGTTTTAATCACTCCACTTTCATCATTCAGTGATAAGACTAACCATAGATGAAATTAATTTTAAGATCGGCAACGGCCAGGCCTGCCCTGGAGATAGGCTACTAGATGGTGCCCACTTCACACACAAAGCAGTGTTGGAAGGAGCAGGGCTCCCCATACCAGCTGCCCCCGTGCGGATGCATGGCACCGCAGTCATCTTGATCCGGTTTGTGGTGGGGCTCGAACGGCTGGACCCAATTCTCGTAGGTGGCTCCATCGATTTGCGTGAAGATGTCGTCATGACCGATATCAGTGACTCTGAAAACAAATTCAGAAATTTGACGAGAGGATTGCATGCATCATAATACTGTGAAATCTCGATAAGCCAAACTCTGATAACTCAAAACCACAGCCCAACTCAATCCATTATTACAACCCTGCTTAATTCAAAACTCAGCTCAAGTCAAATTTTGAACCTGTTCCCTTGAGGTTTGACTTATAGAGATTTCACGTACTGTACTCCGAATGATCATGTTAGGGCCATCTTTATTTGTTCAAAGTTCCCATTCAAATCAACGTGACCAAAGAGAGGCTGGAAGGCAAAAAATAGTCTGGTTCCTTTTCGCACAAAATTATCATTCAGTATGGAAACACGGGAACATGACTTAAATGGTGGCAGCATGATAAAGGTCGGCAAAATACATAGAGCTAAATAGCTCTATGGCAAAATCAGATCTGGAGCAGTTTTTTGTGGAATTTGCGAATCCGGGGTGGGGGTGCGGTTGGCTAACAACCCCCCCTTTTTCCCCAGAAAAAAGGGGGCAAAAAAGGCCTCGATGATCGCATTGATGAACCCCTCCCCTTCCTCAGGCAAAATGGGGGCAAGGCCTTGATGAACGCAGTGCCTTGATGAATCACAAACTGATGTCAAAAAGGGACAACTTACCCAATCCAGTGGAACAAGCTGGGGCAGAGTGATAGGTCCACATCATGCCCCATGACGTTCCACAGTAGATCTGAGATCTCACTCCTGCTGGTCAGGGTGGCCAGGTGGGCACCAGGCAGCATTTTGGCACAGTGATCACGTGCTTCGGTCCAAGTGCTCGGGGTCAGCACGACTTGGTAACAGCTGCAACCCGACTCGCGCCTAGACAACGAAGGAGGAAAAACCCTTTTGTACCAAAAGTGAATCTACCATAGGTCGGACAGGACCTATGTGTATTTCCATGGGTAAACAAGGTTTCGTCTTAATAACATGAAAATATGACTTCAAAATCATTCCAAAACTACCAAGCATTTTATAGGGTCAATTTGTGTTATTAACTGAAAGTCATTCATTTATATAACCCATGTGTTTTGGTCTGGGTTACAGACTGCATACGACAGTCTACGGTGAATGCATTATTAGTCTTCGAGAGCTATATATTGCGAACAAATTTCTGATGAACCAAACGGTCAGTATTGTGCTGTTTATTCGATAAATACTGGAAGTGAGTCACACATACCAGCCTAAATCTGATGATGCATACGACTTGAAACTCTTCACATTAGCGAGTCTTTGCTCGTTTCCCCTTTAAATTGACATTTTCTTGGCTTACTTTAATAATTAAGCTAGCTTGATATGAATTACATGTAGTTTCTGTGGTGAAGATCCCTGCTATCTTACCATGGTCTATCCCCATCAGATTCCGGACACGCGGCGAACGCCAGCTGGCAAATGGTCGCCACAACCATCGTCAGAAGTAAAGCCTTCATGATTAATCTTTTTAGCTTCTCGCAAAACGATGCGATTGGTTCCCTTCGATCCAGGAAATGGTGCTTCACTAGAGAAGATCTGAGGCCTTTTATGCAGTTTGACTTGCGTGGTTTGACAGTTTTTATCTCAGTGACTATCAGAGTGCTGTCTGGAGCTAGAGTTATCTCAACTGTTAGAATGTTCCGAATATAGTCAGCCTGTCATTTCAGATAGAAAGTTGAACACTTCTTGTTTTGCCTCTAACAAAGTTTCATATGAGGTGCTTTTGAAAGTTTAATCTTTCCAACTGCACGATGAATTATCAGTGAACGGATAAAATGTACTAACTATCTATAGTCAATCTGACATTTAAATGGATTTGACAGATCACAATTATCTTATTCGACGCGGGAAATGGCGTTTCAGAAACACCATTTTAAACGGTTTTTTTTTACGCACGAAAGTGTTATCATTTTGACAGTCAGGATGAAGCATCTTCCATTCATTGTCATGAGATGATTAACATCAGCAAATAAAGAATGGTCATATGCTTTCGGTCCCACAGATCCAAATCTATTGAGGCTGCTGTGTAGAGTTCAATCGACCAAACTGAAAATATATAGGGGGAAACTCAAAACTCCACTAAAGTGAGATTAACAGTCCATTTCATATTTTTAAACTGCATTTAGTTTTTCTTAAATTCGTACAATAAGATCACTTTGTAATCAAGGCTTTCAACTTTCATCGGGAACTGGACTGTCGCCAAATTAAAGAGTTGTCAGATGCACCATTATTCTCAGAGATCCATTTGGGTCTGCAGGAATTATTCAGGTTACACAAGGCTATTTAGAAACAGAGTTAGAGTGTGAACGTTTGGGTTCAAAACTTGCTATAATAAGATTTGGGAAACTGCAATAAGTTAAGAGAAGGACTATACATTGAAATTAGTATACAATTTAATAAAAACAAAAATCATCTCCTGTCGAATCGCAGCACTCGGACTCAATCACCGTCGGACTAGAGGCATCTGTGGTGACGCGCGTTGGATCTGGACCATCCGTGGCAGCACGCCATCTGAGTACGGTTCTGACTGAATGCAGGGCGAACAAAGTGCGACTGCGCCAACTTGTACGCTGCCTTGGAGTAGTGGTAAAGACGCAAGGCGAACTCCCGAGTTCAGGCGTGGCGTGGCGTGTCTTCCGCAGGACGTCACGTCTTAGAAGCTCCAGCTTCAGTCTGGATATTCCAGACCCATCAGGACGTCTTTCGGCTCTTTCTCTTCCAGATGTTTGATCTTTTCCTTCAGAGCTGCCAGCCTTCTGACAAGACGCTGGTTTTTCAGCCTCAAATAGTTTGCCTCCTTCTTCGTTTTCTTCCTGTCATTCTTTAACTTCGTCACTTTTTGTAGGCCGGCTTGTAGGTCTGTAGTTGGCGAAAGAGCATCCACACTAGAAGTGGCGTACGTGTGATCGTGCTGACATGAAAACGCAGCGTAATTCTCCGGACGCTTGACAGCATCTTGCAGCTTCAGGCCTTCATTTTGATCTGATCGGAACGGGAACTTCTCGGCAGAGAAAACAGACACCGTCACTGTAGTTTTCTGCCGTAACCAGAGGAAAGGGAGGACATCCCTCCCAAGGCATCAGCATAATGACAAGGTGGATACATCGGCGGATGAGTTACGGCAACACACGGCAAGAAGCCGGTGATCTTTTCTGGCATATCCTAAATACATGTAGAAAAATGGATAAAAACACTAACACCAACTTAAACACTAACAACACCCAGCCTAAATTTTTAAAATCGATTTTATTACCTAACGATCAGATCAAACAACATTATTCACCTGATAACTCAGTCTCCTTCTACAGCTTCCATCATCCAAAAACCGCAGCATGTTTGACTACCGAAACTTACAGGCCAAGGCCTAAATGTAAAATGTTTCTAAAACCTCTTGTACTTGCTGCAGCTAGCTAGCGCTCTTGTAGCCTTGACCAAGGCTATCGGCTGCGCACACCGCGCGCGCAGCAACACAATGTTGTACTATACCGTTAGCCCCAACGACCCTTGCGTGTGCTTTGTGTGCATGTACGTACACCCCACACTCACTTCCGCAAACAGCCGTACAGTAAGTCGAGGCGGAAGATACTGTACGGCTGTTTGCGGAAGTGTGTGTAGGGCGTACGTTCTTGCACACAAAGCACACGCAAGGGTCGTTGAGGCTAATGGTATAGTACAACTAGTGATTGTGTCGCGGCGCGCGCGATGTGCGGTAGCGGGAACAAGCTCGTATGGGAACAAGCTGATAGCCTTGGTCAAGGCTAGCGCTCTTGTGGTCGTCACCGTTGATGGTCGTCACATGCACACAACATGTGTATTTAAATAACGCGCGTCATATAGGGCGCCGTTGCGCGTCTGACTAGCTCCGCAGACGTATCTAACCTTAACGCGCGCGTCAAAACGCACCTGGTCCAAGGGCGGATCCAGGGGGGGGCCCAAAGGGAGTCATGGCCCCCCCCAAAAAAACGAAACCATTTTTTTGTTTTTTATGTAACATCGCAATAAAGGCAGCGCAGGCAATGAGTACACCACCATCTTTTCCTCAAAAAAAAACATTCAAAAGTGGTCAGAAGATCGCACCACAGAGCATCTAGAATCCAAAAATTTTTCGGTGCCCTTAAGCGGGCCCCGAACCCCACGCCATAATTTTTTTGACCCACTTTTTGGGGGACCCCCCCCCCTAAAATCTGGATCCGCCCTTGACCTGGTCTCGCGTTGTGCGAGTCTGAACGCAGGTTTAGGTCATTTGACAAAACTCGGACGTTCAACGGCTTCGGCTTGAATTTACATCAAGAACAGTAATGTTCAAACCATTGATCTCCATATATACATGGATAATGGAGGTTCAAATCCATTGAAAGTAGTAGGCCTAATTTAACTTTTTACCTCAAGCTAGAACGATATGATGTTCAGTATACCAGCGATTTGACCCCATACTGAGCCCGTTCGCATGACCAAAGGCTTTGAAAATAATTATGGAACCACGGTATGGAGTCGAAGTCGAAGACGACGTCGATACTACCCTAATTAAATTGACCCCATTGCGTAAAATCATGGGACAAATGACCTAAATTTCGTCAACACGGTCAAGGTGGCAAGAAAAAACAAATTACTGCTGACAGCACAAAAGATAACGAACTTACTGCTGTGGGAAAACGACGCATTCAAATTTCAAAACCACATGTGCGCTCTTATCTGTAGCACATGGCTATTTTAAGGGACAACACAACTCGGCTCTAGCTAATGTCAAACATGTAACGAAGATAACAAGCACATGGTATATCATACACAGATAACTATAATTACCTACCGACATCAGGTGGGGAAAAAAAAATTGTTCACATATTTTGGATGATGTAACGCAACCAATGGCAAATGCCATGTTACAGGCGCTTTTATGAAGGGAATTTAGGACGACTTGAATTATATCTCACTGATACACCACTCGAGTGCTTTACGAATCTCCACCCCAAAACACGAAAAACAGTGCAACTCCTCGCATAACATGCGAACCTCAAGATATAATTATAGTCCAAATAGGCTTCTGTCCACATCATCATTTGCATACATTACTAAACTTAAAATAAAGCATCTGTATTTTACACACTTTATTGTGCAAAATTATAATACATGTCTTCATCAACCACTGAGGGAACTACACCATTATTTAACATTAGGATACAGCAAAAATGAATTCACTCAGACACATTTCAATTCAAAAAGACAAAATGTAGAGGGAAAACAGTTCGATGCCTTTCAGTTTATGTAGACATCGACCACCTAGGTTAAATCTTTTATTTTATTTTCCAGAAAAGTGCCTCGCAAGAAATGTCAAGTTCACTGTTTTTATGGAGATAGTTGGTATCGTTGTATTATCTATGAAAAGGAAAGATGCATAATATAGATGGCTTCTTTGGAAAATGTACTTGAAATCTATAATTTTCTTTGAAGTTTACTATCGATTCTGAATTTATTAAATGGCCCTCCTTGACTTGAAAATGACAATAACCACACACATAACGATCACAATGTCACTTGTCCGATCGACTCCCCTTCGTTTAACAATGTCTTGATCATTTAAAACCAATCACCGAGCAGTGGGTACCATGGAAATGAGAAGCCAATGTACCCTGGATTGATTTTTCATCCCAGGAACCCGCGACTTGAACACGCTTGGCCTCCATCGTAATTCACTGGAGGATTGAGTGATCTTCATCCGAGCAGGCGACTTCAGACCTGATCAAGCCGGTTACTAGCTCTCATCAAAACAGGTTCTGGTACTTGTTGTCTACACCAGAACATAGTGTACGACATGATGGTGTCTATGAAATGCTCTGCATGCTTGCTACTGATTGTGTTCACAGTGATTCAAAGCGGTGCCGGTGAGGGGACATGTGTGGCGTCCATCGGAGGGGCGTGTCCTCCAACCTGGATCCAGTGGGGGGCAAGGTGCTACAAAGTCACCACGAGCCAGTCTCATACCTGGCACGAGGCGAAGCAGGCTTGCCTGGCAATGAGAGGGGTGATGGTCGTCCCCCACTCTGACGAGGAGACGGAGTTTCTCGAGGATCTGCAACCGCAAATTTGGATTAACTGTAACGATCTTGAAACTGAAGGTAGGCCTATGCATCCGAGAATTCCAACAAATAATTTATACAATAACAGTTCATTTAGTTGTAATTTCAGAAACACATGTACATGTATATTGAAATACGTTGTACAGGTATATGGTAAACTTTAGGTTGAATTATTCAAATGATTGTACACAGTAAACCAAAAGACAAAATTCATCGAATTGTGGACATAAACATTAACAAGTGTAATTTTGCATTACAAGTTTCCCCTTGCAACTTAAATCTGTTTTAATGTCATGTTTTTCTGTTTTTTTCAAAGGCGTTTGGGTGTGCCAAGAGGGGACAACCAAAGTAGACTACAGGAATTGGGATTCGAGGGAGCCTAATAAAAAAGGAGATGAACACTGCGCCGTGATCAAGAGATGCGGTGAGTGGACGGATGTACCGTGCACCGAGCAGTACCCGACAGTGTGTACCCGGCCGATATCACCTGCGTTACACCTGTAGGCGGACTACTAATTAACAAGACAAGTCTGTTGAAGCAGAAAGTTCTAGTCAATTGATTCAGAATAGCTATTCACTAGAAGTCTTTTCAGGCACTTGGTCTACACAATGGACTGGTTTTACCAAATTGATGTTATGGGTAATCCTATACAATAGCACTGCCCGGTTCTCTTCACCAATCTACAAGCAGTCTAAGTCACGTGACAGTCAGTCAGTCAGTGAGTCAGAAAGAAACGAAGAGGACACGATGCTGGCCCACTGGGAACAAGCAAGGACACTGTTATGTTAGCAAAATGGGTTTTTGAAAAATATCCCATTTTGTTTGACATCACCTATTGTGACTCTTTAATCGCATTTCCCGCCTTTTTCATTGCTGGCTATACTAGGCACGGCAAACTATGGTTGCCGCGTCAAATGTAAACATACTGTCTCTTTTATAAACATTTTTCTTTGAGACATTACGTGGGTTTCCTTAACCAAACCTTTAAAATGTAAAAAAACATGATACACTAAGTTTTGGTGATCTCCAGAGAAACCTGTGCCAATACTATTATTTTCCTTCGGATCAGAAGATACATAACTCGGCAATTTTATCTTTCAAAGAACATGTCATTCGATACTTTTTTCTTTCTCTCATGCAATACCGACTAAAAATTACATGTTCAGAAGAAATAAAACTAATTCAAAGCGATCAAAACTTTTTCCAATTGCAAACAAAACATTTGTTAGCAATTACAAATCAACAAAAGAAAAAAATAGGACACGGATTTTCAATATTTTGTTTTTATTATTATTCTACAATATGCAAAAATACACTATTGTTTCACTCTATTATAATCCACCACGCTATACTTTGGCAACCTTGTTACAGCAACATCTGATAGTTAGTGTTAAAGTGAATTCATCCATACGCATTTCTTATGTCCCTATCAAAGTATTTACTTAGTGTCACCTCATTTTTCCGTCATTAAGTGTTAACCAAAACTCTATATATTTATAAAATCTTAGAGGTTAATTATATAGCCTTAGGCAATTAGCATGATAGATATACACCATGAATAAATTAGCAAGACCAATATATACATTTACTTATCCAATCCCTATACATTCCAAACATTCGTGACGCAAATTACGCAATGAATTACACAATCTGTAAATCTAACCAACATATGTATTTATCTGAAATTCCCATAAAAGGGTACCAAAATACGTCACTGGAAATTTCTGCACCCAAAATGGTGTGTTATACAGAATACAGAATTGTGATATTGCTTTGGTTGTTATTCGACATCATGTTCTTTGTTCACATTTGTGCTTGGTATAGGATGTACAAAAATTACACAAATCACACAAATAACGTGGTTGCTGTAAGTATACAACTCATGTTCGTGTTTAATGAAGACATTAAATAGTACTTCTGTGTAATATTTACAAGAGAAATTACAACCAGCCTTTATACTTGTCTCCTTAATCGTCTACAAAGACAAGAAATAACAGTGAAGAATCGTTAATTTTTACGTAAAAGATAGCTTATATTTGTGAGTGTATCTTATCATGATAATTATTATGCAGTAATCAGCATACTATATAAAGAAAACACATTTCGACGCTGAGAAAAAAATCCAAACGCAGGCTGCAAGGTGAAAAAGAAGACATAATTTGGATCAGGCGGATGACAAGGAAGTCAAGGATGTGGCTCTGAAGCATAAAGAATCAATCATGCAAGGTGACATGTACATGTACAGACCATGGACCATACAAAATGCCAAGGGTATCAAGAATGGAAAAGCTCTTCAAAGTATAGAGAGAAATGATAGGGTCACTGTAGACTGGTGCCATGAATACTGGTATTGAAGAACATGATCATGGCTCATTTATAAATCACGTACATCAACATCAGAAATAAAAAGATCAAAAACAAATCGGTGATCTGAAATTATTGATCTCCTTTTCAGCCAGCCCAATAATAAGGCCCATATAATGTGAAGAGTATACGAGGATATCTTAAGACTTTCTCTGGATTCTTCGAAAGGACCACAGAATGAAATTGTTGAAATCTAAAAATAACTGGGGGTATACTTAATGAGATGAAAGAACTGCTGTTAAACACGGCAAAGTGAATCCACGGCTTAGTGATGAGCTTCTGGTAAAGGCCAGAAAAAATGTACACAATACGGTTGAACAGATAACAGCAAAAACATGAATAATGGATTAATGATGATGCCATCTTGTTGAAAGTGTTACGTCACGACATGAAGATGATGATGACTCGGCAATCTGTAAAACACAACCTGTGAAATATCAGAGTTAATAGTTAGTCACACACTGTAACCTGTACCTAGAGACTTACTTTCTTTTGGCACAAGTACTTTTTTTTATAACAAATTGTCATTTCAGTCCTACGCCTTAGGCTTTCGAATGAGGAATAACACAGCTTTTCAAAACCTTTCTCTTGATGTGTACAATAATTGAGGATTCACATTCGACTCAAAACTTGCGTTGGTGTGTTCAAAGTAATTTTGTAGGATCAGGTTACGATATAATGAGTTTTATTATTTTGCTGTGAAAAAAGAGGAAGAAATGTTATTGTTAAAGCATGCAGGCAGGTTGTGGGAAAAACCTACACATAACTAATGGACAACTTGCAGCCTTTTTGACGGTTCAAAGATATGATCTGTAAACCCATCAATACTCAACAATGCATCTACTTGACTTGATCCAAGACTTGTGCATAAATCCAATGATAAAACTCATGAAACTTGACAATTATCTACATTTTTTGCACTTTTTTCTTGCATTATTTCAGTATACCTTTGATCTCATGGACAACAGTTCACCATTTTTTTTTTAAATAAATGTTCATTGGATGTAGTTTTAAATTGCCCAATATTGCATATTATTTCACAACCAGTGACGCAATTTGAGAAAATTGCACAAGAAATCAAAACGGTTCACAATTGTGCCACTTGGTTCGAAGAATTCTTTACATTTTCTTTAGCTCATGTGAAAAAGAAACTTGCACATCTAAGTTTCTCAGTATTTGACTGAAAGTTTGAAGCAATTCATAGAACTTTACTATCATTCTCACTGTCGGCCGCATACATTCGAATGTCCTCTCATGAAGGTGTTTACTGTTATCCAAATGATTTATAAAACATCCCTTTCCGTCTCGTTTCATCTACATTTAGGCTACCAGCTTCGGTCCAAAAATTGGGCCACCGGTATCAAATGATCGAAAAGCGCAGTGTTCATAGTGATATTTGGCAAGGTATACACATCTAGAATTGGAAAATGTGTGATAGCTTTGTGAGCGGTGGCAGTTTTTTTGGTGTTATCACTTTTAATTTATTTTTCAAAATGGCCGTCAATATGCTTGAACCGGATTAATTATGTGTGGTAACAACATGTTTTGACTTCCATTTTTTTTTTTTTAAAGTGACAGCACCCAAAAAGCTGCCGCCACTGCAATGCTATCAGATGTTTTCCAACTACTGGGGTGCATACCTTGCCAAACATCACAATGAGCATTATTCCCCTTGTTTTATACCGACCAAACACCCAGGCTGATGGCCGAATTGTCAAACAGCCAAGATCTTTTTCACAGTGTATCCAGGAACGGAATACAGCATTAGGGCTAGGAATAAAACAAAGACAGTGACGCAGAGACATTTCAGAATCCCAGCTCGGAATTTGGTCCACATGATGTAAGGCACTGTCATCATCGGGTTGAGGAACCACATGAAAGTACTGTAGGCACGCCTGGGGTGAAAGGTTGGGGTTAAAGGTTAGAGTGCAAGGGTTAATGCATATGCAACATGGTTAATTTGCATAATGTGTATTAGCTTTATTTATTTGGTAGCAATTTGCACAATTTGTTAGCAATGCAGTGTTTATATGCAAATCTGTTTGACAGCATTTTGAGAATACATTTTCACTAGCATAAAAAAAAGGAATTCTGTGAAAAGCTTATATGCCAAATTGGGAAGAATTGCATATATAGACTTCACTCATTTTTCTCTGCAGTGACCTATCAGCCATCAAAGGGAATAACGTCCTAAAAATCAAATTTAACAGGGAAAATATTGAAGCATTTACTAAAAAAAAAACACTTTGAATTTTTCAGACCAGTCTCATAGGGTTTGCATGTGCACATACAAGGTATCAAGTGATGTCCAGGTATGGTAACTCGTTTCGTGAAAATTATTCAACAATCATTAAAAATCCAAAACTGTGTGAGAAAATGCAGATTGAATTCTCAAACACACTCAAGCAATGAGTTCAATGCAATCAGCACAGTCACAACACACAAATTTGCAACAAATTTTTGACACTGACTTTGTTGCCTTCTTTTAAACGCCAAAGATGGCTTTGACGGTGTAGCCGGGCATTGCGTACAGCAACAGTGCAATGAAAAACACCATTAGGCCCACTATGAGTCCCTTGAGGAGACACCACTTGTAGTTCCTCAAGATGGTCATGTACATCCCCTTCAAGGGGTTCATAAACCAGGAGATTGATCCTTCGGGTCGACTGAGCAAAGCAGCGTGCAAAATGGGTAAAGGGTTTGAAAGTTAGAAAGTTTGTATTGACTTGTCATGACTAGTGATGTATTTGTCATGACTTGTGATTGACTTGTCATGACTTGTGATTGACTTGTGATGGCTTGTCATGACTTGTGATTGACTTGTGATTTATGTCACTAGTCCACCACTAGTCATGACAAGCCAATCACAAGTCATGACAAGTCAGTCACAAGTCATGACAAGTCAATCACAAGTCAGTCACAAGTCATCACAAGTCAATCACAATTCATTTACTGGATGCCACAATATAATGTCATTCATTTTTCCAGTCCGTCGTTTTAACTGCACTTTTCAGCATGGAAAACAAATTAGCTTCATATTTTGTTAATCCACCAAATAACCATAAACAAAAGTATTACATCTTCACTTAAAAGGCAACATTCATTCATTCAATGCAAGTACTGTTAATTAGCTGCTCCCCTGCAAAACCTGCTGAAGAAGGGAACAAAAATGTTATCTGGTTAAAATCGTAAGCAGTTAGTTGCCACTGCTACCTTGCAAAAATAATTGTTAGAGCTGCAACTTGAGGAAATTAATGGTTAAGACAATTAATTGGGAGCATTCACTAAACAGGTCATTCTTACTATGATGCCTCCCAGGAATTCTTTTGTTCGGAAGAAGTGAGTACCTCTTCAAAATAAAGTAATTATTTCTTAAAGTTGAGAGATCAGGTTCCATTTGACCATCTTTGGGTGGTTAAATCTGATCAAGTTGCCAAGCGAGTTTGTATTTATAACCTTTTCTTCTGTTATGTAGAACTCATTGTTCATGTGAAATACCAGATTCGACAACCATGGAATGTTTCATGCAATAGTCACATCAATGTAGTTGGCCAACTGAACAGTTTTAAATTCTACTTTCATGTCTTTAAAACTTATCCTCATGTTGGTGCATAATAATTTATCAACTTTACTTGTGAGTGACCAACATGCTCAGTGGCAAAGTATACTTGTCACATTGAAAACTGAAGGGGAAAAAAAAAAGCAGTTTCTTGAAAATTCACGGTCTACCTAAGAAAGGAAGTGACCATACTATGAGTTGAAATTTCGATCACTATATCAAAAATAGATATCTAAGAAATGGAAGACTTTTGCTGAAATTTAGTCAGATGTTCTTACATGTCCACCATTGGAAGGGCTATTTACATGAAAAAAAATAATGTTACAGAATTCAATTACAAAATATTCAATTATGTGTGCATTTTTCCCGTTAATCATCAGTTATTTACCAAAATATATACAGAGTACGTTGCCTTTCAATCTAGTAAGTATATCAAATTACTCAATGCCCAACGTTATCATTTCAAATATTAGATGTGTTCGATTTAATTTCAGGTATGATTGAAATGTTAATACTATTTACTCTATTACTGTTATACATGTATTTACTACAAAATAAGCAAAATTATGTTATACAATGCAAGTATACTACAAAATGTCTATAATTCTCGAAATGGATCGAAGCGAAACTGTTTGCTTATTCTGTTTGACACTAGAATTTAAAAGTTTCTATCAGCATTACCATTTATTTAACTTTTGTGAGAACATTTCAAACACGTTTCTTTCTTGTGCACTCACTATGAGTATGATTCACCCATATTGCAATTAATACTGTATCTTTAGTAATCAAAACAATTTAAACAAAACAACTGTTACGTTTACTCCAAAAACAAAAAGAAAAGAATAAACAAAAAGAAGACATGAATATGACAATCTGTCCTTTGTTAGATTGCTGGACAGAAGAAATACGAGTCTGAAGAATAACGGCAAATAAGCGTGCAATTTGCAGTGAACACAATTTCAAATTCACAGCACAAGTACTTTCTGTGATGTCAAATTCTCATTTGTGTTCGCTTTTATGCAACAAATAACGAACAAGCCTTCAGTAGCAACTTACTTTAGTTCATGACTTCTCCTCTCTTCTAGGGTTTGTGCCTTTTATAAACAAATCCTCACTACCTTGATTAAGCAATTCTCTGCAACAGCCTTACTTAAAAGGTAATGAACACCATTTGCAATAATAAAATGCATTTTCGCTGATTCAACAATCGAGAATGCAATAAATCTGAGGCAACTTATTAAAAAACTAACCCGTCGAAATTTCAGCTCAGAAAACTCTGAAAATGCATCTTCATTTTTCTCAACTCAAGGCACAGTTTTCTGTTGAAAGCGCGATGGTATAGTCCCAACAATCACAAGGAAATGATAATTCCTCTTTTTTGAAAAAAATGACAGCACACTAGGTGCACTGATTTCACAGATGCTTGATCCAATAGTTAACTTACTATCAAGTAGGATATTTCATGATATTTCGACAGTTTCATTTTTTAATGTTTGCAAATGGCGTTCAATACCTTCAAGACTGAATTGGCATGAGAATTGCTTAGGCTCCTATGATCTTCTTGACGACGTATCCCGGCGAAGCGTAAATGAAGAGCCCGATAAACGCCACAATGAGGGTAACGAAGAAGAGTTTGATCAAGATCCACTTGAGACGGTTGCAGATCATGTACTTGAGGGCGTTCAGGGGGTTAAAGAACCAGATGAAGGAGGTATCGGGACGGCTACAGTGGAAGAAATGATGAGGAAGACACAGAGATGATATGAAGATGAAAAACAATGACATACAACAAAAGATTGAACATGTGTGATTTCAGGGCCAAACAACGGTAGATTTGACAAAGTACAATGGTAACACACTGTGTGATAACTGATTCTTTGTTCAAACATATTAGTATTGTTAGTACAACTATATTTTACACATAGTAGTAAATTAAGTTGTAATGATGTATTTTATTTAAACAGCATTAAGTGGAGTTAGTACATCATGCATATTATTATTTAAACAGTTAGACAAGTTAAACAGACAAGTTAATATTAGTCTTTTCACCGGACAGGGCTAAAATGCCCTTGCACTACTAATGCTTCCTAAACAGAATGTTCAATACCTCCAAACACATTCTCGTACATACTTCAATTTGAGTTACATTCTTTGATTAAGTTGGTATTTTTCTTTTGGTTGTTAGTGTTGCACACTGATCTATGATCATAAGCCTGGCGTAAACCGTTCCGATGTTACCGGTTCACTGGATCACCGGTGACCCCATCACCGGCATGTGTTTTCACCATTGCAGTTAGACCACAACGTTTCTCGCACACATGCCTGATTCCGTCCCATGCTTAGTCACATGACGATCAGTCACATGATGACCATAGTCACATGACGACAAAATGACAGCCGTCAGTATTAAATCATTTGACTTCCTTTGTGAATCTGATTGCTGAACATAAATATCGCGTCCTGTGAACCGGGAATGCTGCCTCATCTTTGAGCTGACATCAGATCCGGTAAAATCGGATGCTAAAAAAATCCAACATGTTTGATTTCGATGGTTGTCTGGTGTACGTACGGTCAGATCGGTCCAAATTCTCAGCGCATCCCTCTGTATAATGGCCCGATGATCCTGTGAACTGGTAATATCGAAAAGGTGTGCGCCGGGCTTTATATGTTTGGCACACTATTAATTAGTGGAATTAGTAAACCTTATTATAACCCAACCTTCCAAAATCCTGCAAAATCCACAAGGTTTTAGAGAGTGTGGCAGAATTTTCGGGCCAAGGAGGAACCAGCCACTTGGACTTTAATGCACTTATTGTACTTCTATTCAAATGCAAAGGACGTGTCATGGGTTCCTGCTTAGTGGTGGATGTTGGAGTTTTGAGGAAGGCCCCTAGCAATAAAATTAAGTTAGAGTGTTGTAGTTGAGACCTCTCTCAGACCTTTCAAGACCTGTTATCAATTATTGAACTTTTCAGAGACAAGAATGTAAAAGCCTATAAAAGTGCTCCCTTACTTTTCCATGTGTTTCTGCCTGATTAACACAGCTGCCCACCACTTATAGCCAATAGATTGTAATTACTTGATGAAGAGCTACGGATATTTGAGTTGGCATTCATTGCGAGGTAAACTTTGTTGTTGATTTTTCAGAGACATCTCAGCTAGACCTTTCTAAGACTTGGTCAAGACTTTTAGAACAAGTGCCCCAATGTAATGGTCATTTGAAATTATACGTACTTAAATATTAAAAGCAAAAAAAAATAAAAGAGGGTAAATATTAATATATGGATATCCAAAGTGATATGAATATTGAAGTCAAAGCAAAAAAAAAAATTTGTTCATTTCAGCGGGACTCAATCAGATCTGATGTCCAGTTTTTGAGCATTTGTGTGAGGTCTCAGAAAAGGTCTCAACTACATCACAGATTAGTCCAAGGTAGAGTTGAGCCTAAGCTCCCATGATCTTCTTGACGGTGTAACCAGGAGCAGCGTAGATGAAGAGCACGATCAGCGCTACGAGGAGGGAGACTATGAGGAGTTTGATGAGAAGCCACTTGAGACGTGTACAGATCACGTAGCGGATGGACTTCCAAGGACTCAGGAACCAGATGAAGGAGGTGTCTGGACGACTGTTAGGGGAAATGGTTGGTGAGGGGTGGGGAGAAACGAAACAGGGAGATACAAGCAGAGACAGACAGACACAGAAATACAGTCATAGAGATGGGTGTTTCATGAGGAGGGGTGGGAAGTTAAAGGATACAAACCAAAAGGCAATGTAGAGACAGACAGACACAGATACAGTCAGAGATGGGTTGATGATAAGGGTGGGGTAAGGAGACAAGACACAGTGACACAACCACAGACAGACAGATAAAGACACACAGTCATAGAGATCAGAATGGTTGGGAACCAAACAAATAAAGTAGACAAAACAGCACATACACAGACCAACATAGACGGACAGTTATAAAAAAAAACAGTCAGAGAGATGAGAATTGTCGGCGGAACAAACAAACAAACAAACAAACAAACAAAAGATACATCACATTCGACCATTGGACAGACAAGTGAAATAAGACAGACAAACATGCAGAGAGGCAATACGTGACATAAAGACAAACCAACAAATAATGACAGATAACATGAAAGAAATTACATCAAGGAGGATATCAATTACAAGGTATCATCAGGAAAAAGATTAGAAAAGTACAAAGGGAAGATTAGTGGTGTAAGTAATTGGTGAGATGAAGGGAAACCAAAACAAAAATGGAAATTAGTCCACGGCAAAACCAACGATTGGCAAATCAATAAACCAAAGTTATAAGACTATTCCAGTGCAAAATTGTTCATGCCAATGGTTAATGGGAAAACACAGGTTATTAATAGTTTGAAGAAAAAAGGACAAGATAGAAAAGGGTGTGAAAAGGAAAGGTAATGAAGGATTGCAAAAAAGTTTGAAAATCAATGTTTTTTTAAGGGGGACAGGAAGTGGAACCAGGTTTCTGGTAAATCAGACTGAATACGTTTTTGCACAAAGTGATAACTGGAATAGTCTTTCTGATTAGTCAGTGCATATTAGTAACCGGTTGATTAATGTTGATGGAGTATTAGTGATTAATGTTAAATACTTGATTAATGTTAAACACTGCATTAACATCAATCAGAAATCACACAACAAAAACTGGATTATTAAATTTAAATTTGTTGCAATGCCAAAAAAAGTACTTTTTGGGAGCATGTGTTGGAAACTCTGGTTTTCAAGGGATCATACCCAAAATGAAAACTGTAAGATCAGGGATGGCTTTTAGCCATGTGTACCATTCATTGATTCTTGTCCATTTGCAGGATTCTTTACTGCAATTGCTTCTCATTTTTTCTACTCCATTGTCTTATGCAACATAATTCCATTTTTCGTTATTCTTTTCTATGATCACAATTCACACTTCTGATGAAAATCTGAAGTACATAAAATAATATCATTGCTATAACAGTGAAATGGCATTGATATATCATGACTATATGAGTGAGTTAAACATGATCAACAAATAAAAAGACAACAAATATGATGAACAATCTGAAAGAAAAGGAAACTCCACAGCAAAAATGAAATGAAAATCATACACACAATACTCATGTCCATATAACCATGCACACTGACAAATGCAACACAGTGAAACATGAGAAAAAGAGAAACAATTTTATTAAAATGTCATGAAATGTGAAAGAAAACATCTGGAAAGATTGTGCTGTCAAGTGAAGAAATATACGTAAGGAACATTCATGAAAAAGAAAAATATAGGATACAACTATCATGCCTCAACTCATGCAGTATGAAATGGTGCTATATGATGTACAAGCACTCAAAGTCTGATGAAGTACCATTCAATAACTACTCTAACTGTAATAAAGTACCATGTCGTAGGTGATTGTTCATGCACATTATACAGTTTATTTCTTTTCAAATCTTTGGAAAGACGCTACACGTACAATATTAATTTACAAGTTGATCATTAATGGCTAAATTGCACTATTGCATAATTGCTATATAAATCTATAAAACGAGTACTACGAAGGATTTAGGCTGATATAATGTACAAATAAACTTAACTCAATTGATATTTACACAAATCCAAATTGCACATTTTTTTTCCCAGACAAAAATCATATATGAAAAAGCAACGAAAGCTGGATCACTTTGGTGTGCTTTCACGTGTTAAGAATATTGTGTTTTTTTCTCTGTGAGGGATCATCTTTGAATAAAACCAGTCCATTTGGCATGGACTATTTGACTTTCAGGAGTGGTGAGTACAAATAGGTACCTAGCAGCCGGGTAATAGATATATCTATCCCATGCTTCGTCCCTGAAACAAACATGACTATATAATAGGTCAGTACTAACTATATTCTTCTTCTTGCCAGAACGTGCTGTAAGACAATGAACACATACCTACCTTGAAATTCAAACTGCTGTACTTACATTTTTTTCAAATGATATGGAACCGATGAAGAAAGTTTGTTCTACTTTCTTTGTCTTTTAAGAATTTGTTTAAAAAGTGTAAACCAAAAAGGTCCAACCATTTTGCAAAAATGGAGAGTTTTTAAATTATATTAATTTCCAAAACATATGATATAGAATGAATATACTTTTCATAGACATTATTACATGTATGTTCCCAATTTATCTTAACTTAATGATTTTTTTTTACAAATGCATTTCTATCAACTTTTATGTAAGAAATTAAAAGCATTAATATGTATTGGTTTATTTATTTGATTATAGTATATTTATTCTGTATTTACAAATAACACTACCTATACAATTAAAATAGACTGTGAAAAAAATGTGTATGGAAGACTTAGATTTAACTATGGATAAACAGCGCATTACTATTTCACCGACCAACTGTGTTGCATATTTAAAATCTTTTCTACTTATTGTTGCAAAGTTGTTAAAAGTATTAGTAATGGTTAGTTGCAGTGGAAGAACATGGTGTTGACTGAGTAAGCCATTTGCGAGTTAAAATCTGGAACGCTGACTTAATCCAATGCTTTGCGCGTTTTAACTTTGCATTCTCTCGACCAAAGAGACCTGTTACTATATAACGTGATTCGGGGCAAGCCTTATGCTAGCAACCCCCAGCTCCGGCACGGTCTGGTGTCTTTGTTTTGTTAGTTTGTGTCATTCTCACCCATTGTGGACAATGTATTGGTGCTGAGCGTCTCTTACCTAACTATGCAAGAGCTTGCCCCGAATCATGTGATTAGCAACAATGTCTTTGGTCTGGATAATTCAAATTTAAGATGTGCCAAGCATTCTGAGCAAGTCAGTGTACCAAATGTTTTTCAAATGTAAATACCAAAGGGTATAGGTTACTCGCAAATGGCTTATTGGCTGATGCCACTTTATCAAAGCAAAGAGGGAACATTTGCATACTTACAATCACCTAAAAGTACAATAAATATGGCTAGCAGAAATTTTTGCGAATGTTGCATAGCAGAATTCTTAAAGATCTACATTGAATATCTTACAATTAAAGAATCTCTGGCCACTGGTACAAGTGTCTAAGAAATCCTTTATAGGAAAGTTATAAAGGAGATTGATGTTGTGTCAATCATCTTCTTCATTTGAATTAGGGCAGGTTCTAACCGTGTGCAAACGCGAATGCAAAACATAAACCACAAAATTCACATGTAATTTTTAAGTTGAAGACAGAAATTGACTGGAGAGGGGTTTGAACCTGTGACCTCCGGATTACCGTTCCGGTGCTCTACCCACTGAGCTATCTAGTACTACGTTGGTGGTTCCCCATTTTATCAATGTCTTTGTTCAAGGGGCGCTGGTCAGAAGCCATAAACCCATTATGCCATGTAGCCAGGGATCACGCCCAAAGTCACGATGTTAGCAACATTAGCAAAGCTGCAAACCTGGGAAATAGCAAACGGGGATCACTCAGAGAGCATATGGCTTTTTATTACACATCTTTAAACAAACCAAAAAGGAAAACCGACTAGGTTGAAATGTGTCCAAATGTTGCAAACTTGCAGTGTGAATACTGGGGCGAGTTCGCGCAACAATTATTGTTAACCAAAGTTTGACCAAGTTAGCCCGAACTCTGTCTAGTCGATGATGGTTGGACTACGTTAGTCGACTATTTGGAACCAGCCTACTGGGCCTGGTCGCATCGCTGGTTATCAATAGCCTCGCTTCATTACTTAAGTGCAGAGGGAACCATTGACAAGAGATTAAACGTAGCGAGTTGTACTACCCGCAGGTGGGCCTCTGAGATATCTTCCGATTCATTCAACAGGTAAAAAAAACGTAAACAATCCAAACATACTCGTGACCGCCATATGTTGACAATGGTTTGACTAGAGTCGTCCGCACTTTACCGTAACAGCGCATGCGCAATGTTTGATGCCAACTAACCATTGGTTGACTAATGGTTGCAGCGCAAACTTGCCACTGGCTGATGTCACAAATTGTCATTGGCACTAAGTTTGAACCGGCCCTAAACAGATAACGGAAGATAGCATATCCGATCAACTCTACACCCCAAAGACTTTCTTGACGGTGAACTGCGGCACGTTATAGAAGAACAGAATGAGGAAGATGATAAACAGAACCACCATCAGGATTTTGAGTATGGTCCACTTGAAGCGGGTCCAGATTATATATCGGAGTGCCTTCAGGGGGTTCAGGAACCAGACATAGGAGGTGTCGGGTCGGCTGGTTGGAGAAGGAAAAGGGGAGGAAGGGTAGGATTGAAGGATTAGCTGGTAAGCGTTAGTGTTAATGAAAAAGGTAAATCAGACAGTTAAAGGATTAACCAGGTAATAAGCGGATAATAACTTGGTTTAAGGTAAGGCCAAGTGAAAAATAACCAGTTTCTCATCACTGCCTGCCTCCTTTTTTATCCCTTTTTAAAAAAAATCATATCTTTGCAATATTTTTTGTCTCAGCTTTATGTGTTTTCAGCAAAATCTGCTAGAAAGGGCGACAGCTCCTTTGGACACAAAATTAGTAAAAGGGTCCAGAAAATCTGCCATCTTGAAAAAAAAAAATAACCAAACAAACAAACACTGCCTCCTCAATTTTGTCCCAAAAGCCCAAAGAGAAACTAGTTATTTCTAGACTTGGCCTAATAAAGGGTTAAGCATTAAAGTTGCCTGTTTCTTTAATTAGAACAAGGCCTTAAAAGTAACTGCGTAGAAGATTTGTGAGTTAAGCAAAAATTGGCTGAGAATCATTCAAGCAATGCTGCATTGCCATTTCATAAATTAATTTCATCTGGTAAGCAAATTTGACTTTTATCAATGTTGCTCAAAATCAAATTGACTAGTAGGTTCACAACATCCCGACAAGTGCACCCACAAGGCACCCACTTGTATGCCAAACTATTCATAGCTTGAGCCCATTGGTACCCAATGCATGCCCATCCTCCAGGCACCAAGTTGGCATGAAAAGACAGCAATGCATATCAATGACACCCATGAGCTCACCCACCCAGCACCCATTAGGCACCCACTTGTATATGTATGCTATGCATAGATTTAGCCCATTGGTACCCAATGCACGCCCATCCTTCAGGCACCCATCACAACCTTGACATGCAAAGACAGCAATGCTTATCAATGACACCCATCTATGAGCTCACCCGCCCAGCACCCATTAGGCACCCACTTATATATGTATGCTATGCACAGCTTGAGCCCATTGGTACCCAGTGATAACCCAACACCCACCTGATCCAAACCATGCAACCCACCACCACTCATGCATTGAAGAGTTTCTTGACGGTGTACCCAGGCACCGAATAGATGAACAGCACTAGGAGGGCTATCACGCAGGCTAGAACGAAGAGCTTGATGAAGAGGTGACGATAGTGGTGCCACAGGGCGTACTTGATAGCCTTGAAGGGGTGCATTAACCACAGGAAGGAGGAATCTGGGCGCCTGTTTTTTTATGGTCATGGGCGTGGTGGGTGTAATGCCCAATTCAACGGTTGATATGGGCGTTCAGGCATTTTAACATGTGTTGTAAATGGCGCACAAAACAAGTGAGTTTCGTGATTTAATATGCGATTTATGAGGTACGGGGTACCATTGCATTATGGGAATGGCACAGTGCATTTTTTTAAAATAGGGATGTCGGTATGGGGGAGTTTTTGAGAGGGGATTGGTATAAGAGAGTGATAAATGTGAAAGGGGGGGGAGGGAGGATGGAATTAATTTTCGAAATGGGCAAGATGGTTGTGTACGTTGATTTCATTAGTTGAAAAGGGGGGATATTAAATGGTTAAAAAAGGAGAATATTTGGTTGAAAGAGGGTGAGATTGAGTGAAGTGTGCCAGTGGGTTTTGGGATAAGGATGGAATTTAGTGGGGTAAGTAAAAGAATATTGCCCAGAATGGCAAAAAAGTGATATGACCATTTGGAATGTTAATTTTGTATTTCAGTGAGTAGTTTTTGTGATAAAAAAACCAAGAAGTCAAGTTGAACAAATTGAGACAATGACAAGCAACAGAAGGCAAATTTGTGAATAAAATTATCACAATGCACATTAAACAAGGAGTAGTATCATTTTGAGTACAACCCATGCAACACAGTAGTCATTCCAAGCAAGTGCACGTATTGATACCATTTTCAGACACAAAATCATTTGCAAATTTCACCAAATTGTTTTTAAATTATTTGTTGGATTTATATTCATTTGTTTAACACAGTAGAGGATCGTAATAATTTTGCATGTTTTTAAAATAAATCGTACATTTAATTGTGATTTTAACAAAATGAGACATATACATGTATGTTATGACATGTATGCAATTTATACAAAAATTATGACAAATATCATAATTTTCGCATAAAAAATGACGGGCGATGTGAATGAACAAGGAGAAGAAAAAAAACGACACAGATTTGTGAATGTCTCATAGTTGTTTTCTTCTTTTTATAAAGACTTTTGTTTTTCCTGAAGTAATAGGACTGAAAATTACTGAATTACTGGAGAAAATATGAAATTATATAAAAATAGTGATCAACGCTTAAAGGTAGAATGGACCATTTGTCACTTGTGGATTTCTTTTGTTTGAAGCAACAAAAGTGCTCAAAATGTAAAGACGGGTGCTTAACAAACTTGATAAAGTTTTAGAGAATGCTGTATATTTCAAATAACACAATATTCTGGATCTCTATTTTAGTTCAAGTTGCCGAGTCATATTTTGAATTGCGCCCTCTCGTGACATAATCCCAAAATCAGCATTCGGGACATGATTCTCATTCAGCCGATTGCAGCTACGCAATGACACGCACTGAACCAACGAATAAATAGCAACAGCAACTGCGCAATGCTTGCACCCATTCACATATTCGCTTAATTACAAACCGTCTTCGAAAGCAAATTTCCAAAGATGTGTCACTTGACACATCTTTGGAAATGACCTGTTATTGATTTCTTTAAATGACAGCATGCCAGAAGGAATAATTTTACAGGGAGTTATTTAGTGTCATTACTATCTTTAAACAAAGTAAGCTTTTCCACAATAATTTAGTCACTTTTTGGAGAGCTGCAAATGGTCAACCCTACCTTTAATTTCAGCTCTGCAGATGTACATACAAATTCTTCTTTACAAAAATCCAGATTGTAATTCCTACAAATTTGCGTAAAAAAACATAAAAAATAATGCACGGCTGCTGATGCGTCATCACTTCTTGTTGTGCTCCGTGCCGAAAGTTGTCACTAACCTGTAAAAGTCACCTGTATGTAAAATCTTACCTGCTCAAAAGCATGCAAGTGTCTGCGTTATCCCGCCAAGTTCTTCATTTTCTTTCAAGGTGGTTCTATCACTGTCCATTTCCTGTTGTCCAGCTGTAATCTGATACCTATCAGAGTTTGCATTGATATTAATAAAAGACAAATAAATTCAATTGTACATACTTTGGTTTCTCCAGAGGGTCGGGCTCATCGCGGGCGTAGCCGGCTGGGTTCTTCTCGGCTTCTTCTTCAGTCAGCAGCGTGATCTCTGCCTCTACCTTACCCTGGGAAATTGATCAAATGGATTATGACGTGTTTTGTCAAATCAAAAAGCTTCTGGACAAAGCTTGAAATGGAGATATGATGGGAAAACGGCGTAGGGTTGAACATTTTTGTAAATTTGTGAGGCATTCTGGCAAAATGAGACAGAACTGGGCAGACATCGAAATGAGGGTTTGCAGGTATAAGGGGGGGGGGGGGGAGAGAATAAAACTCTCCTTACCATACTGTTTGTTGCACTTCAATCGGACATTCTGTTTACAAGTTATGGCCGTTTAAAATTTGCATTTATCCACGTGTCTAAAATAAAATACTGAGAAAAAGGCCTTTTAAATTTGAAGTTCTGTATAGTCATGCAAATGAAAGATGCCTATTGGTTTTCCTTAAAAACACTTTTATTTCACTATTTTTATACTATTTCTTCAAACTATGTGTAGTAGGCACATCAAAGGTTACAAATATCAATAAATCTAAAAATTGAAAAAAAATCACCCCCATTCAGTTTTTAGCATATTTTTCACTGTGGCCTGTGCCACGTTTAGTCTGATTTTGCCAAAACGCCTTACATTTGTGATCCTAAAAAATCTTCAATATAGATAAGTTTCAGATTACAATTTGCATCTGAAGGTCATTTTGTGGACAATTTGCAGAGGTGTATATGTTCAAGACATGTATTTCACCAAAACCTTTCAAAGGGAATTGCTGTTTTCCGAGAATCAGTAATTGAAAATGTGTCATTCTATAAATTTAGGGTCCAAAGTGTGACATATTTCCTGTCCCTGTTACCTTGGTACTTTGTAATTTGCCATTCAAGTATCATTAAGAATGACTTCAAATGATGTTTATTTGTTGGGTAGGTCGTTTGCTATTCGTAATCACTCTTGGAGGATGACTGCATTAACCCTAGTGAGTGATTTACTAGGAACCTTCGTCACTCTTGCAAAAATCCAATCCATGGTAAACTCAACACCCAAACTGTTGGACTCTGATTATGGTGGTACGCCTGACCCAATGTAAAGCATAATCAGTTTACTAGTGCAGTACTCACTCCAACAGATTCCAACAAAACATTTGGATTCTGAAGGGTTTGGGTGGTTATTAAGAATGCATCAGAATTATAAAATCATAGATGTCAGATTTAACAGCGACAGGAAAAAAGTTTTACACATGGAAAGTACAGTAATTTCAATAGAAAGAATGATTCAATGAAGATGATGTGAATCAAAATCTACAAAATCTAAAAAATCAGAATCTTTAGCCAGCCTACCGTCAGTTCTTCCTCCTCCAGTTGTGATTTGGCAATGAATGGCCACCATCCCTTGATGCGTTTCATCTTGAAGATGTTGACCTGGGGTACGGTACCGTCTGTCCTGAGAAGGTCTGGGCTGCACTTCTTGGCCGTCTTGGCACCCCGGGGGAACCGGTTCAGGTTCAACGCCACGGAGCCTAACGGGGAAAAAGAACAAGGTTTATGGACTGTGGGGTGTGTTGGCTAGTGGTTAGGTTTGTGACTCATGATCAGAGGGTCAGGGGTTCGATTCATGCTGCTGGCTACATGTTGTGTTCTTGGGCAAGCCACTTCACCTCAACGTCTCTCTCTTCACCCACGAGTACAAGTTGTTACAAGCAGAAAGTCGTGATTACTGATAAAATGGTTCAGGGTTCGAATCTTGCAACTGGCATTATGTTGTGTCCTTGGGCAAGCCACTTCACCTCAACTTGCCTCTCTCCACCCATGAGTACAAGTTGTTACAAGCAGGAGTTGTGATTCATGATAAAGTGGTTCAGGGTTCGAATCCTGCAACTGGCATTATGTTGTGTCCTTGGGCAAGCCACTTCACCTCAACTTGCTTCTCTCCACCCAGGAGTATAAATGGGTACCAGCAGGAGTTGTGACTCTTGATAACATGGTTCACGGTTCAAATCCAGCAACTGGCATTATGTTTATGTCCTTGGGCAAGCCACTTCACCTCAACTTGCTTCTCTCCATCCAGGAGTATAAATGGGTACCAGTATGAGTTGCGACTCATGATAACATGGTTCACGGTTCAAATCCTGCAACTGGCATTATGTTGTGTCCTTGGGCAAACCACTTTACCTCAACTTGCCTCTCTCCACCCAGGAGTATAAATGAGTACCGGCATTAGCTGGGGAGTAACCATGGGAATACAAACATTGTCAGTCTGCTTGGAATAATGTTGTGCCCTTAGGCAAGTGTCTTTACCCCATTTTCTCTCCCCACCCAGGAGTACATGTATAAATGGGTACCGGCACTAGCTGGGGAGTAATCTGCGATGGACTGGCATCCCGTCCAGGGGGAATAGAAATATTCTTAGTTGTTTCATGCCAAGGAAACCGGACATAAATGCCGGCCTAATGAACCATAATTAAATAGTGACAGACTTACCCAGGAAGTCGTCTGCCGAGAAGTGGTCAGCATCCCACACCTGCATGTTGAGTCTTGGTGGCACTTTATACTCCGTCTCATCCAGGGAGAAGGTGGACTCCTTCTTCCTGATCACCATCTTCTCCTCGGCCGAGAGGTACTCAAACGGGAAGAGGAAACGCCAGTTGAAATTCCCCTCGCCGGTCAGTGAGCGGTAATGGACATCTGTGGATTGGCAGTCCGTCTGATTACCAACCAACCAACTGAAAGATACAAAATGTAGCCCAATTGCACCTGTAATACATTGTATAAACTTGTATTACATTGTATAAACTTGTATTACATTGTATTAAATTGTATCACAATTACACTGTATCACATTGACATTGTATTTACATTAAGTTGGGTAACATATCCAGAGTACATGATTAATGTACTTTCTAATGAAATTTCACTGTCTAATACCATGCCATGGCATGTGAAGTCCATCACAATGCTTGTCACAAGTAATCACAAGTCCAGTCACAGTCCAGTTGCAAGCGAATCATAGTCATAAGTCCAGTCACAAGTAACAAGGGTTTAAATTAAAGGAAGAGTACATCATTTTGTCATTTGTGTATTTTGTTTGTTTGAAGCAAAAAAAGTGCTCAAAAATCTAAAGAAGAGTGCTGAACAACTAACCTGATGAAAATTTAGCTCAGTGAATGCTGTACATTCAAAGAAAAAACAATCTTCTAGGATCTCGGTTTCAATTCAAAAGTTGCCGAGTCATGTTTGAATTGCACCCGCAATCAGCATCCGGGATATGTTCTTATTCAGCCGATTGCAGCTACGCGATGTCATGTGCAGAACTGACGAATAATAGCAACTACGTGCTTGTGTGCGTCGTGTCAACGCTTGTGCGCACCCATTCTCGAATTAAAAACGAGCTTTTAACCGACACTCTCTCCTTACCCTTTGACAAAGATGTCGCTACTCTTCTCTCCCGTGAAGAAGGCATCGTCCTCAAGGACCACATCATCTGTGTTCCAGATGATGACTCGGAGCTCATACTTCTTGGGTTTGCGGGGTGAGATGTCGACCGGAGCCCCTGGCATGGGCATGTCCATGGGGAACATGTCCACCCACATCTCTACACGACCCTGAAATAAAAAATAAAAATAATATGATGTTGATAATAACAATCGCAGTGCTTATATCTCGCTTTCTGTCGTTTCAACAATTTCAAAGCACTTTACAATTATTACCTCGTTCATGAGACCACACGTCAGCCGGTATCAGCGCTCAATCGGTCCTCGACCCTCACAGGTACCCATTTATATTTTCTGGGTGGAAAAGGCAATTGCAGTGAAGTGTCTTGCCCAAGGGCACAAACACCATGTTCCTGGCAGGGATCGAACTCATGCAACATCCGGTGTGAGTCAAACACTCTAACCACTGGACCATGGTGTTTTATTGCTCTTTATACCAGTCTCAAAACACTTCACTATTATTTTTTCTGCAGCAGCTCAAGATCAGCACAATCTGGTCTCTACCCTCACAGGTGCCTTCCAATCTTCTCAACTTTCCCACAGAAACCCTCCCCTGCCGTGTCTATGACAGTGTGTGTTTCCTGCTCAATATCCGGTTTGTCTTGGTTATAGAGGGACCTGGTCTCAATGTGTTCGGGACCAACTGACATCCAATTTTCTCACTGAACTCTCCCCCACCGTCTATATGATAGTGTCTGTCACCCTGTGTCTTTACCTGTTCAATGCCTGGTTTGTCTGGGTGATAGATTGACCTTGTCTCGATGTGTTCTGGCACCAGTCGACATCCAACCTTCTCGATTTTATCAAAATGTTTCAAGGCCTCCAAGGCAACGTGTTCATCGGTAGGCTTCTTCACACCTAAAAACGAAATAAACAGAACATCAGAGACAAACCCAGTGTTTTTTTTTTTTACAATAGTCTCTTGCGCAGTCCAATGAGATAATCAAAAAAAGAATACTGCGTACTAAACAGATTCCCACGAGACAAACAAAACTGTTTACAAATCTCTCATCCCGATCACAACAAAAACATTAAAAGTAACTCAATTAAAACAAGGTGACATATTGGGCAAAACTGAAAAATATTGAGTTTCTCAAAACTTTCTTAACTCTAATTAATTACTGCTCATAAAAATATACAAACTTTGGGTAGAAAGTTAGCATAACGTGATAAAGAAATGAATAAAGAAATGAAGCATAAATTGGTACACTGAGTGCGAGGACAAATCATAGCAATGACATTAAGCAGCAAGTACATACAGTAGAACTAGGCGCCACTATAACGAACACAATTGGGACCGTAATAATGTTTGTAAGGCCAAAAAAAATTAAAAATAAGTCGGTCTCTGGTCAGCGCGCGCGTCGATTTTAATCATGCGCGTCAATCTTTTTTTTTAACAGAATGTTCCGCAGTAGCTCCAACAGCGCCCTCTATTGCCGCACCTCCTCAATTTTTGTTTAACAAAGAGCACCAAGGCAAATGATCGAGAGCACCAAGGCAAATTATGGAGGGCACCAATGTACATGAGGACACCAAAAAAAGCAAAATAGTACCCCACCTTGTCTGTACAATCCAAGCTTGAAGAAAAAAAACAAAAACAAAAAAAAACAAAAAAAAAAAAGCCGCGTCCCCGCGTCAATTCCGGAACTTTGGTCTGACCAGAGACTGAATATTTTTCTTTTTTTTGGCCTTATAGTGGTCATTCATTATAGTGATTGTGCATGATAATAGAATTAAATATTACATGTATTTTTGGAGCCAAAGGGAAGTTCTTTATAGCCAAATGTTTGTTAGAAGGTGCTCGTTGTTACGGCGTTTTACTGTATAACAAATAATTGATTAAAAAAAAAAGCTTTCAAAATGTTGTGATTGTAGGCAGAGTGTCAGCAGCACATATTGGCTTGAGAGTTGTACCATCAGAGTGTCGGGCTGCATAGGGGAATTCTTCTTGGTTCTTGGTTGGTTCATCTCCTAAATACTCCGCGTGGGAGTTACAGGAGACTAGAAACACCGGGGCAAACCCCTTCTCTTAGCGATAAGTGTCACTAGGTTCTTTTACGTGCATTGGATTACACAACACACGGGACCTATACGGCTTTACGTCCCACCTCCGGACGAAGCAATAAATGGTTAAGTGCCTTGCTGAAGGGCACAAGTGTCCACCCGGCGGGCTCGAACCCACGCCACTGTTGCCTCTGAAACACCAGAGCATGAGTCCGGTGTTCTTAACCGCTAGGCTATGACTGTAGAATGTAGTAGATACATAAACAAGCGTAGCTTAAGTAGAGGCCTGTTATCTTGAAGACGGTCTCTGATATAGTCTAGTCCAAGTCTTTGCAGGCTCTTATGAGCAGCTGATGTCATACATGGAACATGCAGTCAAGGGAACACAGGGTCGGTGAGAGTTTTACAACGAGGAGAGTGTGCAACAAATGCTGCTGCACTGTTCTGCACGGGCTAAGCTTATATTTTTTTAACTTGGAAGACATTACAAGCTGAGTGGCAGAAATCCAGTCAACATTGTATTACTTCTTCATTCCCTGAATCCATTAAAATATTAAGCGCTTGAAAAGTTTGGGGCAATCGATAAACAGGTTGGGCGGTTTGGACAGTAAAGAAACTAATGTATTTCACATCAAATGTTTATTTGTGCAAATTACAGTCAGTTAAATGTATTTTTCATTTTTCCCTATTACCATTAGCCACTTGTAGACTTAACTTACCACCTGAATATGTTGAAGCTTTTACACCTTTGGTACCATAAGCACAATCATAGGCCTGCACTTCTGGTTAGCAGATGTGAAACACAAGAGATTATACACACGAAACCTTTTCGAGATATGACTGACAATGAAGCTGTTTTGGGTTTATTTTGTAGAGGAGTTTTAAAAATATCAATTTTGACACCATGCGAGTAGTTAGTTTGAAACTCCTGATGATGCAAAAACTGATGCCAGCAAAGGTAGCTTAAACCTTACAATGAATTTACAACGTCGTGCTCGAGTCTTATGGAGATAAAAAATATTAGATAGACCTCAATAGATTCTGGTTTTAAACAGGGAAACTTTGTATCTAATTTTTTTATTGGCTGGACTCTGGAGTTAATTGTTGCGAGTGACTGCACCAGTAAAACTCCGTTGCTCCTGAAGGTTTCAAACAAACTTTTCAAGTTCTTAATTCAAATCTTCAAAACAATTGTTCCAAAAGGGGTGCACCCCTTCTCCACGTACCGACTTTTTATGGTGGATGCAACAGTGTTTGTCACTCTTATTATCATGAGTTATATTTTTTTTTCTTGCAGCAGTGTGCATGTGCCAGAGGTAGAAGTAACAGACTTATATCTTGATGAACCATTTTGTTAAATGTTCAACCGAGTTGCTTGAACTGGAGACGTTCAGACTTGAGACTTTTCACAAAGTTGGGAAATATGGACTCAGCCTCAGCTCCTCCCTGCTTAAGTACAATCGACAGTTTGCAAACTTGATTCAAGTGACACAAACTGAAAGACTTAATACCTGGTTAGTTAAATTCATACTGACATGCCTACTGTGCAGTTGTGACGACCGTATTCCTTCTCTGCATTCACTTCCACTTTGACAATCCAGAAAATGTGCCTTACAATTCAAAGAAGTCTCAACCAAGTGTCCATTAGCAAGACAATTTGTGACAATCTTCCAAAAGAAACCACACACCACCATTCCAGAGTGGGTAGGTGTCCGTTCCAACACAAAACCTGCAAGCTGTGGTCTGGCTTCATTCTTGTGCTCAGAGAGAGGTATTTTAATGTTCCAGTGTCCATGTGCCGTAGTGATTGCGTGACCAGTTGTCTTACCTGACGTTGGCGAAGGCTTAGATATTTTGGTGCCATCACTAGCACCTAGACCCACCTGCGTGGCTATAGTTTTGCAGATGTAAAATAAAGTCATGTTAACCCCTTAGAACTAATTGTATAACATTGTATTTCATTGCATTTATTCCCTGATAAAAACCATACAGTGCTCAGGCATGCAACTGTACATTCACAAAAAAAGAGGAAATTCCAAAATTCAGAAGACTTTGTGCAGTGTTTTCCAATTTTGAATGACAGAAATGGGAATAAAAAAAGAGGAAATCAGCTGATCCGAGGAAAAGTTGCATGCCTGAGTGCTAGGGTAGTTTGCAGCAGTTTAGGCAGTAACAGAAAAATTTTGAAATGTAGATGCTCTGTGGTGCATTTTAAAGCCCCCTGGCATGCCTGGGCCAACTATTGGTCGAAAATGTTTTGCAATTTATGCATGTTTTTAAGTTAACTTTTCCTTCATATTGGCTTGAAACTGCCTAAATGGCCAACTTGTATAAGAAAACTGGGAAATTCGACCACGTTTTCCATATTTTAACTCCTTACTGCAGATGATACACATCGTCATCGCGTGTCCCGGCTTCTGATCGAGTCGCCGGGGCAAACCCCTTCTCTAAGCGATAAGTGTCACTGGGTTCTTTTACGTGCATTGGATTACACAACACACGGGACCTACGGCTTTACGTCCCACCTCCGGACGAAGCAATAATGGTTAAGTGCCTTGCTGAAGGGCACAAGTGTCCACCAGGCGGGCTCGAACCCACGCCACTGTTGCCTCTGAAACACCAGAGCATGAGTCCGGTGTTCTTAACCGCTAGGCTATGACTGTAGAATGTAGTAGATACATAAACAAGCGTAGCTTAAGTAGAGGCCTGTAATCTTGAAGACGGTCTCCGATGTAGTCTAGTCCAAGTCTTTGCAGGCTCTTATGAGCAGCTGATGTCATACATAGAACATGCAGCCAAGGGATTGCAGGGTCGGTGAGAGTTTTACAACGAGGAGAGTGTGCAACAAACGGTGCTGCACTGTTCTGCACTGGCTAAGCTTATATTTTTTAAACTTGGAAGACCTTACAAGATGAGTGGCAGAAATCCAGTCAACATTGTATTACTTATTCATTCCCTGAATCCATTAAACATTAAGCGTTTGAAAGGTTTGGGGCAATCGCTAAACAGGTTGCCGTTTGGACAGTAAAGGAATTAATGTGTTTCACATCAAATGTTTATTTGTGCAAATTACAGTCAGTTAAATGTATTTTTCATTTTTCCCTATTACCATTAGCCACTTGTAGACTTAACTTACCACCTGAATATGTTGAAGCTTTTACACCTTTGGTACCGTAAGCACAATCATAGGCCTGCACTTCTGCTTAGCAGATGTGAAACACAAGGGATTATACAACTGAAACCTTTTCGAGATATGACTGACCATGAAGCTGTTTTGGGTTTATTTTGTAGAGGAGTTTTAAAAATATCACTTTTGACACCATGCGAGTAGTTAGTTTAAAACTCCTGATGATGCAAAAACTGATGCCAGCAAAGGTAGCTTAAACCTTAAAATGAATTTACAACGTCGTGCTCGAGTCTTATGGAGATAAAAAATATTAGGTAGACCTCAACAAATTCTGGTTTTAGACAGGGAAACTTTATATCTAATTTTTTTATTGGCTGGACTCTGGAGTTAATTGTTGCGAGTGACTGCACCAGTAAAACTCAGTTGTTCCTGAAGGTTTCAAACAAACTTTTCAAGTTCGTAATTCAAATCTTTAAAACATTTGTTCCAAAAGGGGTGCACTCCTCCTCCACGTACCGACTTTTTATGGTGGATGCAACAGTGTTTGTCACTCTTATTATCATGAGTTATATTTTTTTTCTTACAGCAGTGTGCATGTGCCAGAGGTAGAAGTAACAGACTTAAATCTTGATGAACCATTTTGTTAAATTTTCAACCGAGTTGCTTAAACTGAAGACGTTCATAGATTGAGACTTTTCACAAAGTTGGAAAATATTGACTCAGCCTCAGCTCCTTCAAAAGTACAATTGACAGTTTGCATATCAAGTGACACAAACTGAAAGACTTAATACCTGGTGAGCAAACTTCACACTGACATGCGTACTGTGCAATTGTGACGATCATATTCCTTCTCTGCATTCACTTCCACTTTGACAATCCAGAAAATGTGCCTTACAATTCAAAGAAGTCTCAACCAAGTGTCCATTAGTAGGACAATTTGTGACAATCTTCCAAAAGAAACCACACACCACCATTCCAGATTGGATAGGTGTCCGTTCCAACACAAAACCTGCAAGCTGTGGTCTGGCTTCATTCTTGTGCTCAGAGAGAGGTATTTTAATGTGCCCTAGTGATTTCGTGACCAGTTGTCTTACCTGACGTTGGCGAAGGCTTAGACATTTGGGTGCCATTACTAGCACCTAAACCCGCCTGCGTGGCTATAGTTTTGCAGATGTAAAATAAAGTCATGTTAACCCCTTAGAACTAATTGTATTACATTGTATTTCATTGCATTTATTCCCTGATAAAAACCATACAGTGTTAGGGTAGTTTACAGCAGTTTAGGCAGTAGCAGGCAAGGCGGTCTGGGGTGGTACAGAAATTAATGGGTTAACTTCATTGTGTAATATTTAACTTTTCTCTCACATCCGTACCTACCGTAAAAAAACCTTTCACTTGAAACTCCATGTCAAGAACAATTCAAACTGTACAAAATGATTATTTTTTTCCCCTATCAACTTAAAATAAACTCACTTATATGACCTAAGAGATGTTCTCTACAACCATCAAGCGAACCAACAACAAAAACCAGCCACACATACAAGCAGGAAAAACAACACTTTCACATAAAGAGAGATATTCACTCCCAGAAACAAAGCAACTGTTCCAAGAATGTTTTGACACCTCCATCTTGCCCAGAAAGCTATGAAATTGAGTTCAGGTCATTTTTATATACTACCGACCAAGCTTCTTTAAAGAGACATCAGTTCTCTGCAACCATCAAACGAACCAACAACAGAAATCAGCAACACATACAAGCAGGAAAAACAACACTTTCACATAAAGAGAGATCTTCACTGCTAGAAATAGGCAACTGTTCCAAGAGTTTTTTGACACCTCCATCTTGCCCAGAAAGCTATGAAATTGAGTTCAGGTCATTTTTATATACTACCTACCAAGCTTCTTAATAACACTGTCATGCTTAGAAAGTACAGATGCGACTAGGCAAGGAAAAGAACACAAATAAAAAGTTTAAAATGCCAGAGGTACTTAGCACATGTTACAAACAGTCATGCACAACAACTTTAAGTTGACTCCAAAGATTGATAACAGAATCGTTCAACTCTGTTCACCATTTTTTAAGGCTCCAACAATCTAAACAGATCATTGTAAATCTTCCCATTGTTTCCATGCTACATTGCCCCCTCAAAAAAGTATGCTTGAACAATCCTTGGTACACGCCGCACAGAGAATGCAGTTCAGGGTTTGACTAGTTTAACAAATGAACTGTTTATTAGAAATGAACTTCGTATTTTCTTCTTAAATTTTCGGAATATTTTTCTCTGCTTCTAGAGTCACTTGCATGAGTAACATAGAAAGGAAGGGAGGGGTACCACAGGTCAAAGGTGAAGACAAACTTCAGCCAGCCATTTAGCAGCAGGAATTCAATTCACAGGGATGCCAAAGTGAGGATCATTGTCTTACCTTTAGAATCTAAGAGTTTACAGGCAGCAAATGCATAATCATTACAAAAGTATTAATTACAATGAATATCAAGCGTGAAAGAATGTCCCTTTGTAATTTGAAAATAAAATCAGTTCTTTAAAAGCCAAAAGACCGCTTACTCAGAAACCTCACAGATAAGAAAAAATACATTTTCAAAGACAGATGAAGAAAATCGCAGACCACTACATCAGGGTCAGAGATAAGTAGTTGGCGGTGTCCTTAAATATGTCTTTGGGTATGTCATCACAAGTCATCACAAGTCATCACAAGTCATCACATGTCATCACAAGTCATCACAAGTCAGTCACAAGTCAGTCACAAGTCATCAAAAGTCAGTCACAAGTCATCACAAGTCATCACAAGTCATCACAAGTCATCACAAGTCATCACAAGTCACCACAAGTCATCACAAGTCAATCACAAGTATAGAGCTATATTAAATTACTAGAGGGCTAACTCCTCATTCTTGCACGCGGAGACGCTTTGAAGCCATCCTGGGCGCAGACATTTTGAATTCATGTGAGTATTTGTGGAACATAATAAAATCACACAGAACAGATTTCAGATAACGTACACTAAATGCAACGCGCAAGTACAACATACGCGAACAACGTAAGTGCGTTTTCTGCGAGGATGACGGATTAAAAAAAGTCACGGCAAAAATAATCTACAGCGCCTATGCAGACGCATTTGCGTTGTGCAGCGCGGAGCAAACTAAAACGCTCATTTTAAATGCGCATTTCGGTTTTGGGTGTTTCGGCTTTTGATAATGCAAATAAATGCAGATATGCAAATAGCTGTACAAAAGGCGATGAAGTTGGGTTTTCCAAAGGTTTGCACACAAACATGGATTCGCCCGGCAAAGTTCATTTGTACAGCGAGTTAGTGCTCCAGTAATTTAATATAGCTGTACAATCACAAGTCATCAGAAAACCACCACAAGTTTATTGCAAGTCCATCACAAATCCAACACAAGTCATCAATATACACATAGTCCCAATGAATTGTGACAAAAGTATTCTGTCATTAGTCATCCCCTGCAACTTGTGTTGGACTTGTGACCGGACTTGTGATGGACTTGTGACAACATTGGTGATATACTTGTGACCAGACTTATGATGTACTTATGATCATACTTGTGATGCTTGTGACTGGACATGTGATGTACTTGTGACTAGACTTATGATGTGCTTGCAACTGGATTTATGACATATTATGATCCATCACAAGTGCCACGACTACTGAGAAACTGGCATGAGGCAAAGAAAGAAAGTTAACAGTGTTCTTACCACTCTCATCTTCAATGAAGCATTCTGAGGTCGTGAACTCCTGATTGCCTACCACCACTCTACCCTTGCTATAATGAGGTCCGTCTAGTTTGAGTTGTCGGCACCGCTGGGCCAGGACTTGGGTGGGTTTCTCTGGATCTCGCCAGTTGTTGTATCCATAGCTATGAGGTATACAAAAATAGGAGTTAACACATTGTATTACATTGTATGGCATTGTATTACTTTGTATTACATTGTCTTCGTTCTCTTATAAATCCATCAAATCTTACATGGCGAATTCCTTGCTGATGCCGCATGTTGCGCGATGTCTGCTGTGGTAGCGATTCTCCAAATCGATAACCGTCTCCCCGATCAGGTCGTCGGAGCCAATCAAGTCCCAGTCATAGACTTGCACTGTCAGCTTGGACTCCAGGGGGAAAGTCACTTCAAACTCAGCACACCTGAAACACATGGAGAATGCCAAATACATGAACCACTTTCAGCAGCAAGTTTGAGCAAGTCTATGGTTAACAATCTAGCTTGACTATCTCAGCACAAACATATTACAGTGAAATATTGATAAGTCAAACCCAAGGGAACAGGTTCAAAATTTGACTTAAGCAGAGTTTTGAGCTAAGCAGGGTTGTATATCATTGTTATACTACTGGAGGCAACGGATTCTTTGTTTGACTTAACAGTTGTTTTGAGTTATCAGAGTTTGACTTATCGAGATTTCACTGTAGTTGATTAGAGTCAAATTTGCCAGTTCCTTTTTATTGGGGGGGGGGGGGAGACAAGCTTTCTGAGGCTGACCTCATATCACTGGTTACAATAGATTCGTGCATCATAATGTAAAGCAGGGAGCCAGTTAGGACCAAGAAGTCGTGATGACCTTTTGACCACCATTTGACTAGAGACATTTAAATGTTGTCGTTAGTGTGCAGGCATAAGTTATGTCACAAATCAACCATTAGTCAATCAAAGGTCTTGAATGAATTTGCCCTTGGCTGCCCTTGTCTATGACTAAGTCCTATACTCGACCTGTGGTGTTACAATGGTAAAAATCAAAGCCATAGCAAGAAAAAACTTGGTTTTGACATGGCCATTTTGACATGCGCATGACATGGCTTTGACATGGTTTTGACATGGCCATTTTAACATGTGCATGACATGGCTTTGACATGGTTTTGACATGGCCATTTTGACATGTGCATGACATGGCTTTGACATGGTTTTGACATGGCCATTTTGACATGCGCATGACATGGCTTTGACATGGTTTTGACATGGCCATTTTGACATGCGCATGACATGGCTTTGACATGGTTTTGACATGGCCATTTTGACATGCGCATGACATGGCTTTGACAAGGCCATTTTGACATGCGCATGACATGGCTTTGACATGGTTTTGACATGGCCATTTTGACATGCGCATGAAGGTTGCACAGTCGCTACATCATTTCCACAATCTCTTTCTTCACTTACTTGCCAAAGACAGGGTTCAGGTTCTTGGAGATGTAGTTTTCCTTGTCGTTCATTTTGTGCTTGCCGATCTGAACGACGACGTAGGGATCAGCCTAATGGACACAACAAAACAACAGAACCATTCAAATAAATGACACAATGACAACATCAGAATATCTCTATGTACTAAATTCTTCAGAAAGTGCTAAAAAAAAAGCCCATCCACCATTTTGGAATTTCAACTTGGTATGCAACAATATTTCACTATTTTCTCTTTAGGATAATAATCTGCAGTATAAGGCATGCAAAAGAACAAAGATACCAACAAAATTTGAGCTAAATTGTTAAGTAATTGTTAAGTAAATAATTAGACATGCACCATGTTTAGGCATATTTTCTCAAACTCCTATTATTTTATGAACAGGCTGGGGCCAATTTTACGGCACTGCTAAGCACAAAAATTTGCTTAGAACCAAAAAAGTATGGCTTATAAAAGCAGGTTACCAGCTAAAACTCCATGTGATGTCTATTGCTCGTTACTAGTATGCAGCTGTTGTTTGCTTAGCATGAAATTTACAGTGGGTTTTGGCTGGCAACCTGCATTTGTAAGCCAGACTTTTTTTGTGCTAAGCAAATTTTTGTGCTTAGCAACGCCGTGAAATTGGCCCCCAGATTCTACAGCCTCTTTTCACTACGGCTCTACAAAACAAAAAGGAAGAGGATGGTGCAAAGTTTCAAAATGTCAGTCTATACATGTACATGAATAGAAAGGTCAGATTGTAAGCTTTCATTTGATATATAAAACACATCTGCAAAAGTTTGCATTTAGAAGTTATGACAAAATATTGGAGTAGATGTTTTCAAATGGGAATGACATTTAGAGAAAAAGCAGAACAAAGCATGAAATAATTAGCACAAACACATGATTTTTACATCTTCATTGAACAAAATCAAGCTTTCTGAACAGGAATATTGAGACAGTACATATTCAAGAAACAAATCTCTAAAAATAAATATTTAAAAATGGGCATTTTGACAATTTTTTACCCTTTCAACATAGAACAGTCTATTATGTGTTTAGCCATAGTACGACTAAAACTACCTTTTCGCAGTGTGGGTCACATTTATCCTTTGCACTTTTACAAAAGTAAAAATTGGTAAATCTTTGGTAAATCTTTGATGAAATGCAAAAAAAAAAAAAGGTAAAGAGGACGAACCTGTGTTAACAGGAATGGAGTGCCCATCTCTCTTTCGAAGCGATTGGGCCAGACTCATATGCTGCTGTGGGGGATCACCACACCTCCTCCACAGTGAGTCTGTTACCTTCCCAGCATTGAATCATGCCGGTACCCATTTAACACCTGGGTTGAGAGGAGTAACTGAGGTAAAGCGCCTTACTCAAGGACACAACACGCATGGCCACGGTGGGGCTCAACCCACAACCTCACGATCATGAATCCTGTGCTCCACCGCTGGACCACACGTGCCCACAATGAAATGCCAAACAGGAAAATGTCTTCATCTTTACCTTTCCATTGACATCCGTCGGGTGTAGATCCATGGCCTTGATGATGTACACCCGTACCATAACCCCCTTGGGTTCACTGCTCGGTAGACCCTGGAGGAACCCTGAATTACTATCGATCCGGACTCCTACGTCATCCCACTCACTAGGAAGAGGCCACTTGTACAGCTTCAGGGCCCCCTAGTCAAAAAAAACAAAACAGATGCATTTTTCAAACCTATGCATCCATCAATGTTGGTACATGTACTTATATTATTATTAACCCCGCCCATTGGTCCAACGAAACATTCCAAAGACAATCTCGGCATCCTGGGGAGTATGGGCTCGTGCGGGAAATAAAAGGGGCGCATTTTTTTTACCACTTTTGAGAGCCCTGTTGGCAAGACACACAGCGTGAGTGTACTATACTGTACTGGTTTGCGCGCAAAATACGCACAGCTTCCAAAATGTGCCAAAGCTATTAGCCACAGCATCTTCGCGTGTGCGTCAGGCGTCATTGGCATGGGAATACATTTTAATTTAACTTGCGATGGTCTCCCAGACTGATCCCGTCCCCAATAACTTTGGATCATTAGAAACACGCAGTGGATGAACCCGGAACCAGTCTGGGTCTCCCCCAACTCTCCTTTTCTGGCTGTTGAAGGAGTACTTGTGCACAGAGCCCATACAGCTCGATGCTGCCATTTTGATACAAACTAGCTAAAGTCAATCACAATAACCATCTCTGCCCTCACAGGTACCCATTTATTCCTGGGTGGGGAGAAGCAATGAGTGACAAAGTGCCTTGCCCAAGGGCACACGCACCACAACCCCAGACAGGACTTGAACCCACAACCTGCAGAATTGCGTGTAGATCTTAAGTTCAATGCTCCGGATCACAAGGCCATGGCACTCCATCAGAGTGATGGTTCCAAATAGTCGACTAGAGAAGTCCAACGTACCATTCTTCGCTCAAGAAAAAATTAGTTGATAAATAGTTTGCACCAGCATTTGGATCTTGCTGGCAATAGACACAGCCGTAGCCCTTACCTTAAACTTGCCCACCAGTCGACTGTCCCCATCATCGTCCCCTGTGTTTTTGCCGCGGTAGAGGTCAAAGGTGTGCAGCCATTCCTTGAAGCCATGAAAATCATGCACGTTCTCTAGTTCCGTCAGGAAGATCTACAAGTACGGATTTCCAGAAAATATCCAGGATATTTAGGTCAGTTTTGTTCCTGAACCTAGTCAAGGGAGTCGGGTTGGCGTAGCGGTTCTTTCCTCGCCTTCCACCGCTGTGACCCGGGTTCGAATCCCGCCTGGGCCAAGTGGATTGGGTTTTCGGTGCATGCCTGATTCTTTGGGTTTTCCCCAGAATTTTCTTCTAGGGTTTTTCTCCCACATCTAACACTGTAATTTCTTCTCATTTTCTCTTCTTTCTACAGGTTTCTTCAGGCTTGAGAGCTACAGTGCCTAGGGCGCTTTTAAGGAATCCTTGGTTTCATTACCAGAAATAAATAAATAAATAATAATAAGTTTATGTCAATTAGGAATCAAACTACAAGTAACGTCAAAGGTTTCTGGCGATGAAAAGTGACAACGGAATGCCTTTCAGTGATCTTGAATGATCAGAGTTGTTTAAACAATTTTCCAATCGTATTATCAGAATCCAACAAACTTTCCACCTACCTGAAACGTCACGCAGTCAATGTTATCCTGTAAAAGAGCAAATGTAAGCCATAAAAAGGAGGCATGAGTAAGATAATAGATGTAAAAAAACATACAGTCCTTTTTTTTTTAAATTCAAACAATTCAGTCAATTGTTACAACTGACCTTTTAACAAGTATTCAAGATTTTGAAATTATTTTTTTTAAACAGTTGGAAGAATCACGTGTACTTATCAGACAAAAACTTAAACAGGCATGTTATGTTGTACAATCGATCTGGGCAATTAAACTGTTCAGTTAAAAACTCTTTGTGCATTTTGGGCACATTCCGTGACAGACTCTTTTCAAAGTGGGTTGTGTATGTGAACAGTTAATAGTGATTACAATAACAATACGCAGGTGAACTCCAAGCATGTTGTGGCATAGTGCAGGGAAAAAATTCTGCTGGTGCTACAGTCATGTGTCTATAAATTTAGAAGATTATACTATGTAAATTACCATGTCCATCTTGTCAGATTTTCATTTTAAAGGTAGAGTATATCATTTCTGCATTATGTTCATTTGAAGCAACAAATGTGCTCAAAATCTGAAGAAGGATGCTTAACAACTAACCTGATGAAATTTTAGCTCAGTAAATGCTGTATATTATGAGAAAAAAGTATTCGCAATATCTCATCGCTTTCTGAATTTAAAGTTGCCCTGAAGACCTATTTGTTTCAGACCACTCAGAATATTCTTGTTTAGTTAAATTTAATTGTTTTGTTATTTCTGATTTGATATAATTTTTGTTTGCGCCATGAGCGTCATTAATGTCGGATATTGGCGCGATATAAGTTTCTGTTATTATTATTATTATAATTATTATTTTAGGATCTCCATTTCAATTCAAAAATTGCTGAGTCTTGTTATAATGAATTAGAATCCAGGACACGTTCTAATTCAGCCGATTGCAGCTATGCGATGACACGCACTGAATCCACTGATTAGAGCAACCGCGGGCATGTGTGCGTCATGTCAACGCTTGAGCGCACCCATTCACGGCTTCGCCGAATTAAAAATGAAGAACTAACGGAAAATTCTTTGGAAATGATGTTCTTTTATCGTTTTCTTAAAAAACGACAGCAGCATGCCAGAAAAAATAATTTCTCAGGGAATTTAGTGCCATTACTATCTTTCAACCAAGTATGCAACAATGATTTGATCTGTTTCTTTTTGGATAGCTGCAAATGATATTAACTAATGACAGTCTCCTGACGATGACAAGAGCAGGCTAGTCGCAGCGCCGAGACCAAACTTATCTCACCCCGCCTGAGTAACGATAATTATGAGAAGTCCCACCGCCTTCCAGCCTACTTAGCAAAAGTAGATAATAAGCAGGGCAAATTCTTTTTGAACTAAGCAAGACTGTTCTTATCAGAACTAAATCTACTAAGCAACAAAACTTATTACCACATGGTGTTACCACAAAACGAAACTATATGCAAATAATATACTCTAACTTTAAATTTTGCGTTTATCTAAAACTTACTTCATAAAAACTTGAAAAAAAAAAATTTGGTTGAAATTGTCCCTTGATTGATTTTCATGATCTCAATGATTTAAACTGATTGTGACCAAAAAAACCTTCGCCAGGATGTTCGTTGCTATCCACTTAATTCATTTCGGCCGGAAAACAGAATAAAAAACCCAATGATTTGGCCAAATTTGTCCATCCTTGAAAACGCTGATGAATTGTGCAATTTTAAACTAAACCATTGTGAACTTTTTTACGCTTGCAAAGCACTTGCTGCAAAAACAGTAGGTGTGCATGAAGTGGCTTGAGTGAAGCGCAGTGGTAAATGCTTGCTAGAGGGTGCAAATGCATCCAAATTTCACAGGAAACCCGATTTCAGTCTTATACTGCAATGGCCTAGATCCCTGGAACAAGAAAACTAAAACCTTCTAATGTGGGCCAACATCCCAGCAAACATTTGTCTTCACAACCAAATAAACGAACAAGTTTTATTTGAATAGATTTTTCCCGATCTATTTCTTTGTTCAATGTGATACTGAAGTTCTATTTGAAAATGTCACTCCTGGAATTTTACATGCAGAATACTTGGCCTATTTTGCTGGCCTCAAAAAAAATTTACATCAAACCGCAAACAATTTCTTTATCACACAACCAAAACTACTACAACTAAGACAATATACAGTGAGCGAGTTTGATAACACAATTTGTATGAGAAACTGCCAGGCATTCTTATTTGTATCGGAAAAACAATATTTTGGGGGGAAATTTGTGAATTTTTTGGACAGCAAGAAGCTAAAATTACCTGATGTTTTTGTGAATAAATAATAATTTTAAGGACCCCGATGGAATTAAGCCGTCTTATAAACAGCTTTTCGGGTTATCCTTGGCTTTGTATTTACATGAAATACGTTCGTTTTTTTATACCATTGTATGTTTGTTTGTTTTTGTCAAAATAAATAAATAAAAATAAATAAAAGGGAAATCGCTATCTGATACATGTATAGGCTCCGTGCCCGAACACGAGAGGGCGCTTTTTTATCACTTTTGAGAGCCCCTTGGATGGGACACACATGTGCGCATACTTGTTCGCTGGTGGATAGCGCGAAATAAACACAACATATTGTATTCTGAATATGCACAAAGATATGGCGTCTTCGCCTAAGCATCAGGCGTCGCCAGCAATGCGTTGGAATGCCTATCACAGTGGTCTCCCCCAACTCTCCCTTCCTAAACACTTGTGGGGGTACTTGTGCACGGAGCCCATACACGACACTCAGTGACGACAATTGATTGATTACAAAAACATGAATTCTAAGACAGCACCTTGCATGTATACAAATGCACAGCATTCTCATTCCAGTGTAGCAAAGCAAACTAGAAGCACGCAGTGCATGCTGCTGATCATTGTCAAACTCTTACCTTGTCCTCCTCCTGGATTTAGAATGGCAAATGATTTACAGAACAAAATGAGGGGAAAAACAAAACAAAAACAGGCATGCAGGGAGAATTAAGATGAGCGGCTCTTAAACACGGCAAAATGTCAAAATGAAAAAGCATGGTAAAACTGCCACGGTTTGAAACCACAAAATGATAATAAAAGCTGGAACTGAAATTAATTTTTTTTGAAGGATAAATTAGAACAAATCTGAAATATTGACAAAGTTGTATATTCCGCTGTAAGAAATTGAAGCAATACGCTGATGTATTTATGAACACTGTATACTCAGTGTTGTCCAAGACATGCAAGAACAATTCATAAACTGCCTCGTGTGGGACTCGAACCACGACCACTTACTAGTGCAAACGTCTTATCACTCGACCACTGAACTTGCTGGCGTCAGCTGGCCAGTTCGAGTCTGATGAAACAGCAGGTACTGCAACTAAATTTAGTGTCAAAAGGATTTGCGCCAGGAAATGTAAGCAGGAGGTCGTGGGTTCGAATCCAACCTGAGTCAACTTGTGAATACAGTCCAACCCTGATAAGAAGAGTTCTGTTAATACAAGATCCTGCTTTTAACAAACAAAACTGTAGGTCCAAGTCTTTGTTCTTTGTTTTCCAGTTCTGTTAATACAAGGTACCTGTTATAAGGTAATTTATTGTAAAGCCCCAAGGACCTTGTTATAAAGGTGTTCGACTGTATTTCTCTTGCAAGCCATCTGACAACACTGATATACAGGGTTTATAAATACGTCAAAGGGCAAAACCAAATATGAAAATGTTTAGAATGGTTACAACCTAAGTTTCAAAATGGCATAAATGAATGAATGTTAATTCAAATGATTTTCCAGCGCAAATGAACAACCCCTTTCACCAAAACGTTCAAAAGCTATTATTTCAAAGCTAGCAAAGACAACAGTCTTTACTCATGTTGAAGTTTGGAGGAGATAAAATAAGTTTTGCATGTAATGCAACTTAAGCCATGGGCCAAAACCTGTTACGTGCAGTTTCGGCTTAACTTTTTAGTGGTAACTTAATTTCTCAGTTCGTCACCGTTTTCACGAAGAGCCACATATGTCAAAAATTACAATTTTTTCGATTTTCAATATGTTGCTTTAAAACAATGTACTTAACCATTTTGACATGTTTCTGTAGGCAAAACATCATTAATTTCCAAGTTACATTAATGTTGCAAGGGGCAAAAATCTCGATAAATGAATTTTGCGTTTTCACGAAGAGCCACATTCATTTTGGCCCTTTGAACGCGTACAAAACCCATTGCACGGAAATACGTAAAAGTAGGTCAAATGAGATTTGCGTTTTCACGAAGAGCCACATATCTTTGTTACATTTTCAGCTGCGCGCGCGTACTCACGCGCGCCTATGGAAATACACGTTGAACAGAAAGGGCCAAGATGTCGGAAACCTGAATTTGCGTTTTCACGAAGAGCCACATATCTTTACTAATTAATTTTCACTAATTAACTGCTGAATTAAGTCTTATTACTGGGTTCATGTAAAAATTCAGCTCACACAGAATAGTGTGATGGTTTCCTTGCTTCACAAAGTTGTTGCAAAGTGGTATTTTTTGCAGTTTTAAAATATGAGAAACTTCTTTAGCGATTATCTCGAAAACACTTTTTTTTCAAAATCGACATATGTGGCTCTTCGTGAAAACGGTGACGAGTTATAACTAGTTTGGAACATGTAATTGATATTTTACAATGTGCACTCCACATCGTTTGCACAAATTAGAATCAAAGGGGACTGGTTCCCCAATGTAACTGTACCACATGAGAGCGATCGCGATGCATCGCTGCCATTCGTACCAGTCTTACTTCCATGGGTGTGTGTGCTTTCCTGCATTAACCCCTGGCCGTGGGGAATACGTAAACGGTGAGGCTGACTGGCTATTTAGAGCGTACTGCGCGCGCATTTCCTACACGTCAAGTAACTAAAAAATTTTTTTTTAAACTGCACGTTAAATAAAGACTTATATTATTCATGCCAACTTCCTATTTATCTGTTGTGTCAAATTTGAAAGCATTTGAACATAAAACATAGAAGTTATGGAAGCATACTATTTTTGACAAAAAAATGGCAAATAATGAGAGAAAATGTTGTCATAACATTAATGTGCAATTTAGGCCAATGTGAACAACCAGATTCAGATTCAGCACTTATATGGAATTAGTAAAGTTGACCTTATTGCAAGCTGACACCAAAAAGTTTAAGACGAACCTCAACGTCTAGACCTGATACAGATTTTAGCCCATGGCATAACTGCTAATGAATGTTAAAATGCCTGCACCATTATGCTGCGAATACAGCCGACATACTTTGAAAGAAAAACATGGACCAATTGAAGGCTTGAAAAGTCTGTAATTAGTACTCACGTCAAACATGTTGGCCATGAGGCTTATTTCATCGTCGTCTTTCTTGCGCAGTTTATTCAGTCCTCCTTTAAATTTACTCATCTTACTGGGGCCGCTCTTCTCCTCCTTGGGTTTCTCTTTCTTCTTGTCTTTCTCTTTCTTTTTCGGGTCTCCTCCAGGAGGAACATCTGTGTAAGAAAAGTAAAGATTAATAGTGGATGTTTTTGTATAAGTTAAAAGGTAAAGTCTGTCACGAGCCAATATGGCCCATCAGGCCGGCGTTTATTTCAGGTTTCAGTGGCATGAAACGACTGAGAACATTTCTATTCCCCCTGGACGGGATGCTAGTCCATCACAGGTTACTCCCCAGCTAATGCCGGCACCCATTTATACTCCTGAGGGGAGAGAGGCAAGTGGGGGAGAAGTGGCTTGCCCAAGAACACAACAAGAAATAGTATGAAACACAAAAAAGAGCATTTTATAACAGTAAGGTAGTAATAAAGTCTGTCACGAGCTAATGTGGCCCATCAGGCCGGCATTTGTCTTTGTTTCCTTAGCATGAAACGACTGAGAATAATTTCTATTCCCCCTGGATGGGATGCCAGTCCATCGCAGGTAACTCCCCAGCTAATGCCGGTACCCATTTATACTCCTGGGTGGAGAGAGGCAAGTAGGGGAAAAGTGGCTTGCCCAAGGACACAATATATGGCCAGCAGCTGGATTCGAACCCCTGACCCTCTGATTATGAGTCTCAAACCCTTACCACAAGGCCGCATTCCCTACTTATGTTTTTGTATACACTTTATTATTGAAGAGAACATGAGTATATAAGGTGGTTTGTGATAGCAAATTATGCTATACGTGTGAAATTCAGGATTTAGACTGGGGGCCTCACTATAAAATGTGGATGCTTAGATGAGCTGACGTGTCAAAGGTCAAAAGGACAATGACTTACTGACTGTTTTCAGCGGAATATTGAGCTATATTCAGAATGTTCAGAGGCAAGCCATGAGCCCAGTTACCCGGTAGGCTGATAGCTTAGTGGCTCAGATCTGCACAGTGATTTTTAAATGAGGTTCGGGAGACAAGACCAAGATGGCTGCAATATTAACTATGAATAATACTAAAAAATAGTCAGGTCCCTCTCAACTTTGGGTTCATGTCATTGGAATATCTATCAGTACCGTACTGAATCCTCAAAATTTACACAAAAAGTAGCTCTACCAATCTACAATGTGAAGTGTGAATTTTCTTTATTTATAATATTGTTTTTCCTAAAGGAATTCTGCTAATTGACGAACCTGCTTCTGCAGGTTCATCCATCTGCTCGGCTCTGTTCTCTTCATGTTCCTCCTCCATGTCTGGATTGACCTCCGTGGCTCCCTGGTTGCGAGCTTCCAACTCATTCAGCTCCTAAACACAAATCAGTAAATGAGGACTTTTCATCGAGAATTGCATTGGTACCCAGCATCCGTGAACCAGGGACAGTGGAACGTCGTCAAGTCATCATAAGGCAATTTGAGTTTTTAACGCTTCAGCATTAGTCTTACAGTGAACGACATTGTACTTATTCCTTGACAAGTACATAAAACCATGCTGGGGCAATTTGGGGCGGTTTAAGGAATAACAGGCGGGGCAGTTTGGGGCGGTACATGGACTATTAAACAGAACACTTCTAGCACGGAATTCCAAAGCTGCCTCCAGTATTTCATACAATTTATCAGACTCATCATTAAATTTGGCAAAACCTTCCTACTGTTTTATCAGTCAAAGACATTCAGAAATTCAATGCGCTTCCCGTAACGCACACACAGGCTAGTCACCAACAGTCACATCACATTTCTTGTTGACACTGTGACTGGTCATCAACAGACAACAGCAGGCAACTGGTAGGCACAGCTGGCTTATCAATCACCTACAGTCAAAGCATAGCTGTATCAAGTTACATAAACAGTCACAGCCAGTCAATCCTACTTCATGTACCGGTAGGCTTTGAGCTCTTAACTGTTGAAAACAGTCAATTGATTTTGACTGCTGGGATGGCTTTGTTGAGTTTGTTAGCCAGAGAGGGATGGGCCTTCTATTTGAAGAGTCTACTGACCTTTTCTAGTTCTAGTTTGGATTGGAAGTATCTAGACCACCAGTCCAATGTGCTCTCATCTGGTTCTTCAGGTTTGTCAGTCTGTATGCCCTCTACAGGAGGCCCACCTGTAGCTTCACCCTAGAGGGACACATATTCCACAAAAATGAATCAATATGGGCAGTCCCATCCTAACAGAGACTTAGATTTTCTTCTGAACTTTGTCATCACTTTATGTCAGAGTTGAGGTTGAGTCAATCACAAGTCTAATCAATCACAAGTGTGGTCACAGTAGGTACCAGAAAGTTCATTTTTGCGGTGCCAGTAACAAGTTTTCAAATGGTTTCATCTGGGATGAACACAACCTATAAGTTTAAAAATTGCATTTTTCCAACTGACGTAACTTGAAACAAGGTGGGGCCATAAATAAGCGTTTGATTTTTATTTTAAAAGAGCAGTAAGTTGGGAAAAAACATAATTGTGCTCCAAAAAACAGTATTGTTGACTAATAATTTTAAACAGAATATTTAGTGTTCTGCATTTTCATTTTGAGAAATGAGAGTTGGGTTGAAAAGAACATCTAAAGATATTGGACAGAACCTGAATGTCAACATTTCATCACTTTCCACCAAGATGTATCTAAAAAGTCTTCCCTACGCGACATTTTCTTCGTGTTATTAGTTAATTCCAGAGGTTCATTAATACCATTAAAGGTACATGAAGCATAAAAACACATTCGAAAGACCATAAAAAACTCACTTATGTTCCTACCTACCTGAATTGACAATTTTAGGGTGTTATGGAAAACACAGGGTTTTTTGGGCCATAGTAACTTTTATTCTGGTTATCAAATATTTTTTTCTGCTCCAGAGTCTCTTTTAACTTACCCAGGTAGATGTCTGTTTACCAAGGAGTACGTGGGACACATTGTGCAGAAGACAAAGCGGAGGAAGTCAAGGTGGTGAGGATCAAGTCAAGGTGGTGAGGAGTCAAGGTGGTGAGTTGAAGAAGGAATAAAAATGTGCAGACAGAAACCACACACCACAGTCAGAGAAACAGTTTAAATCATATAGTTGTTGCCACAAAGAAATACACTGTATAATGCAGAATATCATTCAACAAAAATGATCATTCACCAATATACTTTTATAAGGGAATAAATGTGTGCTCAGGAGGTTTTACTCACTCTATTTAAGACCGCTTGGAGTATGGGTGCTGATAATTACCCGAGCCGAAGGCGAGGGTAATTATCAGCAGCCAGACTCCAAGCGGTCTTAAACAGAATGATTAATATCGACCAAGTACATACTTATTCCCAATCATAAATACCTTTTCGGTAAGAAAAAATCAAAACTTTTTGGTAAAAAAAACTCGGCTTTGTTCAACAAGTTTTTTGAAACACCCCTCTAGTTAAATAATGGAGTGTCCAGCTGGCGAGTACGATGTTAGCAACTCCTTTTGTGGAGATTGGCGCACGCGTATTGCGCGTACTTTGGAGGTCACGCAGAATGCACCTGGGGCGTTGCATTGTGAATTTAGGACTATAAAATTTTGACTCACTGGTAGTATTGCGCATGCCTACGTGAGGATTGTGAACGTTTAACCAATAAAACGGTAAGAGGCACTGGATTTTTAGGAGTCCAAATTTCATGTGACACAGGAAAAGTGTTAAAGACCAGCTAGCCATGTCTTTATCATCCGTTTAAGACCGGCCACGTGACTGGCTCTCAACCAATAGGAATGGGTAAACTGTATTTACGAATAGGATATAAGAGAAAACTAGAAGTTTGAATAAATTAATACTACATAGGTCCTTGTAACTGACATGGGATTAGAACATGGGTCCTGGCGACCGTCACCGGATATTTATTTATTTTGTGAAAACAAGTGCCCAAAGAAAAACCTCATACCAGATTCACCTCATCAGATCAACAAAATAGACACTGTGACGGGAATTGGAGTGTAAGATGTATGAAAACATCATTCTTTCGATTCTCAGATATTTTTTGCCGTCATATATTTGTTATCTCATGATCATTCGTCAGATTATTTTAAAATCTTTGGTGCTCAAATGTACAAGTGTTAAATAATTAACCAAATAAAGACTGTAAAAAAAAAAGTTAGACTTTAAAATCAATACTTTTCTAACACGCCAACATAAAGTAAAATGTGAGAATGTTATTCAAAGTGCTATGTTTAATAGGGGATCCCACTAAAAGAAAAAAACTGAAAATTTAACACCATACTTTCACAAGATAAGGAAATATCAAAACAAACAAAACTCGTGCATACCGGTTAGGATAGGAAAAAGGTTAAGATTTAAATGATTTTTTTGTTGGATTTCCTGACTGGCTTTTCATACCTTTGGCTGCCCATCCGGTCCCAGTTCCACTTTCTCTCCCCCCTCCGGCGGTTTGGTCTCATCCGGTTTGCTGCCATCTGCTGGCATATCTATCACAGTCTGGCCAGGCTGTGGGGCTGTACCATTCCCCCCTGCAGGGGGTTCCACATTGATGATGATGTCCTCACCCACGACTGAGCCTGCCTTGGAGCCAGCCTTGGAGCCTGCTCTGGACTGGGCTCTGGACGGGGCTCTGGACGGGACTCTAGAGGGCGCCCTTGATGGAACTCTGGATCCCGGTTTGCCGTTCTGACCGCCGTTACCCATCAGTGCCAAGCCGTTCCCGTTCAGTTTCAGGCCGGGCAATAACGTTGATCCCAACATCGATCCTGCCTGAGGCTCTGGTTTCTTCCCAAAGTCCATGACGGCAATCACTGAAATTGAAAAGTAAATTCACAGTAACTTGCTGATACTGCCATATGTGGCCTCGTGGTCTGGAGCATTGAATTGGTGGTCTGCAGGTAATTCTGCAGGTTATGGGTTCGAGTCCAGCCTGGGGTTATGGTGCGTGTGTCCTTGGGCAAGGCACTTTGTCACTCATTGCTTCCACCCAGGAGAAAATGGGTACCTGCGAGGGCAGAGACTTAAGCTGCTTTGTGCTGAAATGGTGGCATCGAGCTGCATGTATACTCCCAGGGAGCTGATATTGTATTCAATGTTTCATGGGCCTAATGAGCAGGGTAATATTGATGTAGCGCCTTGAGCACCAATCCTGGTGGATATGCACACTTTATAAATACACATTATAGTATGTTTGTCGTCAAATGGTTCATGTGAGAACAGTAGAGGGCGCAATTCAAACTTAACACACAACCGAGTTTGACACACTAATGCGCTGCTTATAATTGGCACGAAGCTATGGACATACAAAGTTTAAAGTCAAGAGTTTGGGTCCTATTTTTTCAATAAGCCATTTGCGTGTAACCTATACCCTTTGGGATTTACATTTGAAAAACGTCTGGTACAATGACTTGCTCAGAATGCTTGGCACATTTTAACTGTGAATTCTCCAGACCAAAGACACTGTTGCTAATCACATGATTCGGGGCAAGCTCTTGCATAGTTACGTAAGAGACGCTCAGCACCAATACATCGTTCACAATGGGTGAGAATGGCACAAAGACACCAGACCATGCCGGAGCTGGGGGTTGCTAGCATAAGGCTTGCCCCGAATCACGTGATATAGTAACAGTCTCTTTGGTCGGGAGAATGCTAGGTTAAAACGTGCAAAGCATTGTATTAAGTCAGTGTTCCAGATTTTATTCAAATTTAACACGCCAATGGCTTCCAATGCCATCCTGCATATTCCAGTACGCGCATGCTGGACATTTGCCAAAGACATCAATCAGGGCTGTGATTGGTCAAATCATCAGTGGGCGGAGCTTAAAGTATCAATTACAATCACAATTTACCTGCAGTGGACATATTGCTCTGAATATTGACTTCCCACTAGGAGGGTATTAATGTGATACTTATAATTGGCATGGATCTATGGACATACCAAGTTTTAAGTCAACTCACCTGCAGAGGGCAGGGTATGTGACTGAGACTCTAGCTTCTTGGGGTCCATCTTGTAGCTAGCCAGGTTACTGACGGTGTGCGTCCCGACCAGACTGAAGCGTCCAAATTGTCGGCAGTCAACGACGCGGATGGTCAAGGGAGGGCAGTAATGCTCATTCTCTGGTAAATCCTAAGAAAGATAAAAGAATCACTTTTAAAGTTTTCTTATCTAAGAAAATCATCAAATATATATTAATCTGACGATGACAGTTGTAAACCATTCACGAAGTGACATCTTGTTTTCTTTTCTCCAAAGCTTAGAGGTAATTGCCAGTACGTACTCTAATGAGTTCTGGGACCGATTCCACAAAACCTGTCTATACTCTTAGGACTTCAGACGAGTTCCCGTTCTAAGATTGATTCTTGGCTAAGACACGTCCTAAGACTGATTTCACTCAATCCATCTTAAGCAAGATGCATCAAACTACCAATTTGATGGCTGTTTCATGTTTGTTTTTACCACTTGACAAAACAGTCGTTGAAATGAAACGCGCACTTTCGCCAGAAAGATTACTATACTTAATAAATTTCACATGCAAGGTAGTTCTACACAAAATCCAATAGAGTCGTTCTAGCTCCCCGTTTCATTACTCTATTGTAAAAGTCGACTAGGTGTTTGCATATAATTACATTTTGTAAATATGCTATTTTTATTGAAACTATTCACATATCAAAAGTCTTTTCAAATAGTTTTCTTCAAATGTTTTCTTTGTCTTTAATGACACTAGTTTCAGAACAATATACAAATTAACAAAGACACTAATAAGATAAGACGTCCCTCAGACCAATGTTAAATGAAGACGAGTTCAGCCACATTGCTCAGGAAGTTAAAGACGTCTTGAAGGCATCTTAGGTTTGGTGAATTCGATCCTGGGATGAGTCACGATTTAAGACTTTCCCTTCCTAAGATGCGTCTTGGCATTTCTTGAAATCGGCCCCAGGTTCTTAATCTATGGGCTCCGTGCACAAGTACCCCCTCAACGGTAAGAAAGGGAGAGTTGGGGGAGACCACTGGGAGAGACATTTGAATGCATTGCTGACGACGCCTGACGCTCACGCAAAGACGCTATGGCTTTATGTACGTTCAGAACTGAACAAGTCGTGCGTACTTCGCTTGAGCTGCGAGAACCAGTGCGTGGTAAATAGCGCCCTCTTGTTGGCGCATTGAGCCATACTCACCACTTCCATGAAGCGGACGTTGTCTGGGAAGTTTGGGTTTCTTCCAGCGTTGTAGATGATCGCCGAGTTGAGTGTCAGTCCACCGCACTGGATGTCACACCGCGGCTTGTCTACAGTCATCAGCTGAAGACGTTTCATCTCACGTACGCCCCAGAACAGGACCTGTAGCATAAAAACCAATAAATATCATCACTGAAATTCACCTATGGACTAATTCGTCAAACAAAATTAGAACGCACATATTCTTAAAGACGAGGTGTGCGCATTTTGGTAATCCTATTGGTCGAAACAGCCGGAATGCGTGTGTACTTCCTGAGCACAACTCGCGCAAGCCTAGTTCCACCTCAGAAAATGGCTGTACTTAACATCTTGTGAAATTATTCCATCTGGCTTGCTGTCATTTAAGAAGAAATCATGAAATGTACATGATTTCCAACGATCAGTCAATGGACTGATTTTTGAAAATAAAGAGTGCTACTCACAAAATCGTGTTTCATGATTTCAGTTTTGCATGTTTTTCACTGTTTTCTCAAAAAGTGTAATCCGCTAAGCTGAACCTCCAACAGGTTTAGTTTGGAGCATTTTTATTTGGATTTTGAGTGGTGTTATCATTGGAAACAAACAAAATGCATGAAAAGCAAATGATCCTATATGCCTTTAATATCGGCTCTGCAATCCAGGTTTATTTTATAAAAATTTAATCATGTCTATACCGAAATATTAGAATCATTCATGTGCTTGATTAAGACCCAGGAAATGTATCTTTGAAGTTCTAAAACCTACCTCAATCCTATATTTGCACATCTTGGGCCTGATCTCCAAAGGCAGCTCGATCTTAGGCGGTAGTTTGTCCTTGCTCTTAGGGTCGATGGGTGGAATCTCAATCTTGATGACGTCAGAGGGGATTCCCCCAGTAGGTGTCAACTGAAAAAGAGGTACAAAGCAGTTCAGTTGATGAGAATGAATCTCATCCTGTATATCACTTCAAAGTTGGTCTGAATTACTTGTGGAGTGCCGTGGTCCAATGGTTACGGTGTTCAACTCAAGTGTGATGGTACGTGGGCTAGAATCCTGTCCATGGTACATGTGTTCTTGGGCAAGACACTTCATATCAATTCCTTTTCGCTCCTTTTCAATGCACAACACACAACCGCTCAAACATCCCCCATTGGAACGATACATGGAATCAGCGCGGCATTTTCAGTTTTTATGTCATAACTAACAAACGCGGTAAAAGTTTTCGTCCTTGATCGAGTATTATGAAGACTTTATAATATGCTTCCAGTTAATGTGATTTATATTAGAAAAGAAGCCGATTAAACGTCATTTTTGGGATAAACTTCACAGCTCTCCCCAGTTTTTGGTTCAAATGTGTGTAAAGTCGCTTTTTCGCTTAGTTTATGCTGCACTGACCATCTTCAACTCGCCATAATTTCCGCTAGCGCCCTCCTTCGACTTTCTTAATCGCACAGTAGACTTGGTGATTCATAAGCTAACTATCAATGTAAAATTCATCATGATTGGGCAATGTTAACCCCCGTCCAAAATGAGACACAGAATATCCATCCAATAAAGTAAGCTCTTTGATCCATGGACAACTATACACAATGCAATGGGCCACATACACACACGTGTGTGGTCAGACAGGGGACATTGTGTTTACACAATGCTCAAGGCCAAAGATTAAGCGATAAGAGTGCAGGCATAGCAGTTTTAAGAGGAGCGTTTTTACTATGGAAGGAATTGATATGTACTACCATATTGCCTCTCTTCACCCATGAGTACAAATGTGTTCCTTGTGAGAATACAGACCAGAATGCCCTGATGCCAAGCTGCTGCAAGGAAATGGTTTCATGGCCTGATGATCAGGGGTAATAATTGTGAAGCACCTGAGACGTTGGTATAAATCACTGCATAATCACCACATGACTATTATTAACAGAAACAGCAGCAACTACAGAACAAGTCAGGGAGTCAGGCAATGGTTCTTTCCTCGCCTTCCACCGCTGTGACCCGGGTTCGATTCCTGCCTGGGCCAATATGTGGATTGGGTTTTCAGTCCCTACCTGATTCCGTGGGTTTTCCCCAGAATATCTTCTGGGGTTTTCCTCCCACCTCTAAAATTGTAACTTCTTCTCATTGTCTTCTCTCCACAGGTTTCTTCAGGCTTGCGAGCTACAGTGCCTAGGGCGCTTTTGAGAAATCCTTGGTTTCATTACCAGAAATAGTTAGCAATAATAATATTAGTCACAGCAATAATAAAAAAATTCTGTACCACAATAATTACCTGGATCATTTCAATAGCTGCCAGCATTTCTCCAGCTGTAGCCTGGCCACGGTAGATGCTATGCCACTGTAGTAGTGGTGGGAACATGGGTTTAGTGTACGGATCATCCAGGCACTTGACGTAAGGATGAACCAAAGAACGACCGATAAACTCTGCACCTCCCTGTAAACGTCAGAAACAAAAATCTCAAAATTATTTCCACTCATGATGATCTTTAATTCTATGTGAACCGTTAAAACAGTGCTGCGTTTGTTTCTAGATGGTGTAAATTGAGGACATACACGTGCAACATCATCAGTGAATCGAGGAAAGGAACCAAATCGAGGACGACCTCGATTAGAAAACTTGTACAAAATTAAAGTACCGGTACAAACAAAGGAAGAGGAACAAAAGAAAATTCTCAATTTACAATATAGACAAATGTGTGTGAACGTACCAAGCCTAGTAAAGCTGGACCCAGAGTGCACAGAATTTTATTCAATTGATATTAAGAATGGCTTTTCACTGGAATCCTTTTCATTAATCTTGTCTACACAATGGGCTGGCTTTAGCCTGTTTGTTGGCTTATGGGGTGATCCTATACAATAGCACTACTCGGCTAAAAGGTCAGCCAGTCAGTGAGATTGGTGCAAACAGAACACTACGCTGGCTCTCTAGGACCGGCACAAATCAATTCAAAACCACAGGTTGCTGTACAGCCTGTCTCAAAAAAAATGGTACAATCAGAAAAAAAATTGGTTGAATATGAAATTTCAAAATAAGTCATTCTTACTTGGCATAATATTAAAGAACAAAGACTGGGCTTTCCAATAGTGTTTGTTTGATCTCATTTGCTTTTCTCAATTCAGAGATATAATCAATTCAGTGTGATACACCAAAATCGATTTTGTGCCACTTTTATGCATGGGCAGAGTTGGTTCGAGTACTGTGCCATGCTGTCTTGAAGCTCACAAAAGATTGCAACTTGGCAAAAGAAACAAACTCGATTTTTGTGTTCCGCAGTAAACTGGAGTTATCTCTGGATTGACAAAAGCAAATGAGATGAAACAAAAAGTATTGCAAAGCCTGGTCTTTTTTTTTTAACGTGATGCTCAAAACGACTTACTTATGTTGAAATTAAATATTGAAAAAAAAAAATCGGTTTCGATTGTACCATTTTTTTTAAGACAGGCTGTATAGTGAGAAAAATCAGGGGGATTCACTACAAATGAAACAGGATAAAAAGCATGATGTCAAACACTCATCACATCAAATTTTACAAATTGCAAAAGAGAAACGATCGTTACCTGGATCTGAATTCCATGGAAAGACATTTAATAAGTGAAGAAAATATGTCAAGTTAATCAAAAACATATGCCTTATTATTTACATGTACTTTTTTGAAATTCCTTATTAATTTTTAATTTCAAATTTATTGCAAATTAGGGAATGGCTCAGAGACATTCATTAACATATCTTGGCAACTCCTTAAAAACTTGTGAAACATTTTTTTTTTAATTTTTTTTTTTTACATCTCTATGGGAATTAGCCTTTACTGGCTATATGAAGACTTTGCAGCTGGAAAAACTTATTAAACTCAACAATTGTGATGCGATCAAGCTAAATGAGTCAGGAACTTTCATTTGGAGATCCAGGCCAAAATAGGGCCACTTCATCACATCTCTTGGTGTTCCGACTTCCGTAATTTTTTTAACTATGATGGTACCCGCATGCGATTTTCACAGCAGTAATGCTGAGATTGTGCTCTTTTCAAATCTGTAAAAAAGAAATTGACCAGGGTCGACAAACGACTCATTTAGCTTGATCGCATCACAATTTTACAACTAGGACATTTTTAGTTTTAATATCCAACCAATAATATCTGGTCTTTACTATATAATGACTTCATTTGATCTCAAATGTTCAATGGTACTTCGTTCTGCTTTAATAATCACAATATTTCACAAAAATAGTAAACATGTGCATGGTTTTGTGCCATCTTGTTCCTCATTCTCCAAATACAAAAAAGTTGTGATCTGATATACTGTGCTTTGTGTATGTAATGATGTGTGTGCTCGTCTCAGTAGGTTTGAGTGTCCACACCAGTGTTGTAGGACTCGAGTCCAGGACTCAGACTCGAGTCAGACTCGAATCACATTTCTCGTGACTCGGACTCGACTTGAGTCACGTTGGAAAATGACTCGGACTCAGACTCGACTATGATGACTCGGACTCGAGCTTGCTGCCCTCGTGACTCGAGTCACGCACTTTCATCGAAAGAAAAAAACATAGCGTTACGTATTTGTGCGACAGACGTAGCATTCTTTTTACTCCATAGACAAAACAAGGCGCCGCGGAAAATCGTATCCAGGGGCTGCGCACGCACGCATCGTGCCTGCACGACAAGCATCGGGGCCCGGGGTCATGTTAAAAAGTGTCCGGTACCAAAGAGTATCATGTGAACAACTAAAACCAAGTGACTCGGACTCGGACTCGAGGCTTGTCACTTGAGACTCGGACTCGAGGCTTGTGACTTGAGACTCGAGACTCGGACTCGAGGCTTGTGACTCGAGACTCGGACTTGAGGCTCGTGACTCGAGACTCAGACTCGGACTCGAGGTTCGTGACTTGAGACTCGGACTCGAGGCTCGTGACTCGAGACTCAGACTCGGACTCGAGGCTCGTGACTCGAGACTCAGACTCGGACTCGAGGCTCGTGACTCGAGACTCAGACTCGGACTCGAGGCTCGTGACTCGAGACTCAGACTCGGACTCGAGGCTCGAGGCTCGTGACTCGAGGCTCGTGACTCGAGACTCAGACTCAGACTCGAGGCTCATGACTTGAGACTTGGACTCGAGGCTCGTGACTCGAGACTCAGACTCGGACACGAGGCTCGTGACTCGGACTTGAGGCTCGTGACTTGAGACTCAGACTCGGACTCGAGGCTCGTGACTCGAGACTCGGACTTGAGGCTCGTGACTTGAGACTCAGACTCGGACTCGAGGCTCGTGACTCGAGACTCGTACTCGACGTTGGTGACTCGACTACAACACTGGTCCACACCCATAAAATAGATGACGCAATGATAACCGTAGAGTTATGTCGTGCAAAGGCCCTGTTGCATTACATGCAATAAAAGCAATACCCATACCAAAAAAGTTATGCTCAACACTAAATTTACTTTCCATTTTGAATTTTCTGAAATTGATTCTGCTAATTTTTTCCCCCAGCATATAAAGTTGGAACAAGCAATGGGACGTTTAAGCCATGCTGCAGGTTTTGTGGTTTTTAGAAAAAAAACAGGGAAAACTTTAAGCAGTAAATGGACTTTTGCTTGAAGGAAAAGTTGCAATTCTTCCCAAGAAAAAGTTTCTTCCAAAAGTATTTTTTAAAGGCATACTGACTTCTAGAAACCGTAGGTTAAATGGAAGCATTGAAGACCATGAATTTCTGCCTTAGCTTCAGAACATTTATGCAAGGATAAAAACAATTTAATTTGCAAAAGATTTGGCAAAACTTGGGGAGTTAGGTTGGCATAGCGGTACTTTCCTTGCCTTCTATCGCTGTGAATCCCGCTTGGGCCAATATGTGGATTGGGTTTTCAGTCCCTGCCTGATTCCGTGGGTTTTCCCCAGAATATTCTTCTGGGCTTTTCCTCCCACCTCTAAAACTGGAATTGTTTCTCATTGTCTTCTCTCCACAGGTTTCTTCAGGCTTGCGGGCTACAATGCCTCGGGCGCTTTTGAGGAATCCTTGGTTTCATTACCAGAAATGATTAATAAAAAAATGATATATTTAAGTCCTCAGATAAGAATGCCGAAGAAAAGTTTCAAGAAACATGCAGGGAAAAAAATCCACAAATAGATAAAGCATTTTCATCCCATTCCCTTCTAAAAAAAGAAAGAAATAATGGCAGTCAACAATGAAACCAGTTTGAAGTGCTTCAAGCCAGTTCCCGCTCGATAAAACTGGTTCCAGCAAACCAATTTAGTTAGGCTCCTACCTTTTTCATTGGGTTCAGCTATCAGATTACCAAGGAAAGAATGTTAGCGATGAAAGCAACAGTGTTAAAGATTACATTTTAGAAAAGACTTTTAAGATCCAGTGAAAATGATGTTCTACGGATGCACTTTCTTTTAGCAATCAAAACAGATTCGATAATCAGTCCAATGCAAGGTCAAAATGCAGTGATCTACTCCGAGAAAAAAACCCAAACAAAATAAGAAAAAGGTTGAAAACTATCAAACAATATGTTGCTGATAATATGAACTTTTTGTCAACAAACGTTGAAACATGGCTCAGTCCAAAGTTTTGGGGATTTTAAATATACTTTAATTGATTATGTTAGCACTTCCTTAATAACATTTGCACATATTTTGCTGATATTTTTGTATCCCAATCTTCAGATCTTAATGTGCCTAACTCATAAACTGTTCTCAATTTTTGTGTGTTTTTTCTTCTAGAAACTCAAAAGCCAAGCTTATGTCAAACATTGTGTAACTCATTTCCTTGTTATGGTCTGATCTCCTGTTGTTTTTCATTGTATTGTGCTGTTTAATGTACTCTTGTAATAAGTCACTTGTCCTTGTTCTTTTACGTTTAACAAATTTAATGTTATAATGTAACTATAATACGGGGGATATAGGAAATGGGATAGGGGAGGAATAAAAGCCCTTGGCTTCTCTTGACCCCTATGCTGACGTTTCTGTAGATCCATCTTAAATAAGTTAATCCAAATTTAATTTATGACTTGTTTTTCCTTGCACATTAATTTTACTAATTAGGTTTACATCCATTGTTAATGTCAGTATGAATACCCCCCCCCCAAAAAAAATTGAAATATGAAGTAAACATAAAGTGTTTTAGGTTTTGTGCTTACCCCGATGTCGATGTCGAAGATTTCCACACAGATGAACGGTGGATTCTTCTTCAAGTCCTTGTGTTTTCCGTAGATGGTCACCTGGTCAAAGATCAGGACTTCATTCCACGTTGGACTCAGCGTTTCTTCAATCACCTAGGAAAATGAAATATGACAGAGCCAATAAAAGGTTTAGTCCATCATTTGTAATTTGTGCATTTTGTTCGTTTGAAGCAACGAAACTGCTCAAAATCTAAAGAAGGGTGCTGAACAACTGACCTGATGAAGTTTCAGCTCAGTTTCAGCTGTATATTCTGAGAAAAACAGCATTCTAGGATCTCAATTTCAAATCAAAAGTTGCTGAATCATGTTTTGAATTGGGTCTAAACTAATTTCAGTGTCCGAGACACGTTCTCACTGAACCGATTGCAGCTACGCGATGTCGCGCACCGATCCGACGAATTATAGCAACCACGGGCGCGTGTGCGTTGTGTCCACGCTTGCCTGCGCTTCGCCGAATAAAAAAAAATTTCAAAAAACGGAAATTTCCAACGGTGCTTCTTAAGACGCACTGTTGGAAAGGCCTTCTTTCGTTGATTACTTCAAAATGACAGCTTGCCAGAAAGAATAATTTCACAGGGAGTTTAGTCCCCTTACTATCTTTCAACCAAGTATGTTTCTCAACAATAATTACGCCAATTACTTTTTGGATAGCTGCAAATGATGGACTCTGGCTTTGACCATGATATCTAATTATAATTCAGAGAAATGATCCCAAACTCCTAGTCTGTAATCTCCTTGACCATTACTAGATGAAAAATGTATAAGATTTGAAAAATAAATTTTCAGGTTTTTTCACTAAGCTCTTGACCCTAATCTTCCTCAATCCTCCAAAGTCTTCTGTATTGTTTTGGAGGATTTTGTAGGATTGAGGATGAATGCAACATACAATTTTGGAGGATTGAGGGCACCTGGACATTCAGTATCAGTTGATTTTGGAGGATTGAGGCTAAATAGTGTTTGAAGAGGAGGATTTTGTAGGATTGAGGATGAATGCATTTTGAGAGGCAGGGCTGTTGGATGATTTTGAAGGATTGAGGCAGTGGGTATCCTTCATTTCAAAATAAGTGAAACAATTTTGAGGATTTGAGATGGTTCCTAGCAAAACGGTCCTAAGGGATTAGGGTTAAAACACAAACAAAATTTATCTGACAGTATTTGAAATAGAAACAGGATTGAAAGGATGCGCTGTGACATTCAAGAAAATATGCGGGTTCATCATTTGGGCAGAGTAAATTTTGACTAAGACCGACAAAAATATTCCAGGGGAGTGGCTCACCCTGGTGGATCGGCTCTCACTGCCGAAGATGACCCTAGCAAAGGGGTCGGAGAGACCTGAGGAATCCGAGCCAATCAGGCTACGGGCCTGGTAGATGTGACATCGCAACATGAAGTGAGTCTTGTCTGCAAAGAAATCGGGGAAAATGGAGACGATAATTGAAATTGCTCAATCCGTTCAAAGAATATCACCATTTAAACGCAATGACCCTAAAACCAGTTTCGTTTAAAAAAAGCAATTTATTGTGTATTGTGAATACTTGTCTGTCAACAACTGTACTACACAATATCTTTATTATTACAACCCTGGATAGGCATACAATATGATTTAAAAAAACATTTTTTTTTAAAAGACGGACCTTCAAAAGGACTTTGTTGAATATTTTTAACATTTAAACTGAGGTTTAGGCTGGTGATGTTTGAAGACAATTGTGACGACGATTCTTGAAATCACATTTTTGGACGAAAGAGGTTTTAGGGTCATTGTGTTTAAATGGTTATATTCTTTGAACAGATTGAGTAATTTTTTCATCTCAACGTAGCTTAGGAAATTGGCTTTCTAGTCCTTATTACTTTTGGTGCTACACATTTTTTTAAATATGAAATATAGTTTGTGGGGTTCGGGCTCTGCTCTTTTTTACTCACCCTGTAGAAATATGGAAAAACAGGCAATGTTAAAATGATTGTCACACTAAAAATTCTAACACTAGGGATTAGATTGTGGATTTAAAAAATGGTCTGAAAATGGGATTGAATGGTCTGAAAGATGTATTTCTCTCTACACTGACGTCTTTCTCTCAGATTCAAAACTTCTGATTACAGTCTGAAAATCTCATGCTTGTAATACAACATTTTTTAAATGAAATGACAATTGGTTTACCTTTGTACGTGATGAATGGTGGTGGGGTACCAGCCATCTTGATCGCTTGTTTGAGTTCCTTGGTGGCCTGGTAACCGGCCGGGAGTCCTTTCAGCATTTCTTTCTTGTGTTTGACTAAGCCGAACCACATGTAGACGTCCAGCTTGGCTTGAATCGTCCAGCCACTTACTCCCTGGACACCCTTCTTGCCAGGTAACTGTGGTCAACGGCCAAACGAAAAGATTTCAATGGACTTTTAATCCAAACAATTTTTCAATAAAAGTTTTTTAACCCTTACCACCCTGAATCCATCAAAATCCATACCCGTTTTGGAGTATTTCGGCGGATTCAGGATACCATATTGAAAACAGGGGGATTTGATGGATTCAGGATTGTAAGCCCAGCGGTACTGCAGGATTTTGATGGATTCAGGATACCTCCATACTGTCACCAACACCAACATTGTTGTGCATGACACAATAGGTGGATTTTGATGGATTCAGGATACTTTCTAGTAAAAGTACTCAAGGGGTTAGGATTAAAGTTGAACAAAATAATTGACTTGAGCAGGGTTTGAACCTGCGACCTCCGGATTGCCGTTCCGGTTCTTTACCAACTAGAGCCAAGTTCACGCAAGGACTATAGTTGACCAATGGTTAACTAACGTTTGCCCGAACTCTGTCTAGTCAAGGGTGGTTGACTACGCTAGTCGACTATTTGGAACCAGCCTACTGGGGTTGGTTGCTTCGCTGGTAACCAATAGCCGCGCGCATTCATAACGCTAGCAGAGAGCCAGGATCCAGAAGTTTTGCGATGACATTTTGACCAGCGTTTGACTAGAGACGTTCGCACGTTGCTATCAGTGCGCAGGGTAAGGTATGTCACAAATCAACCACTAGTCGACTAATGGTACTTGGTCGAACTTGGCCCTAGCTATCCTGCCTGCGGGTGGCATGATATATATATCCAGCCCTATGTTGGTGGTTCCTCATTTTGTCAATGTAAAGGGCGTTAGTCAGAAGCCATAAACCATTTCATGTTATGTAGCCGGGATCACGCCCAAAGTCAAAATGCTAGCAACGTGAGCAATACTGCAAACCTGGAAAATACCAAACAGGGATCACTCAGAGATTCCTAATAAGCAGAATCCCGTAGCCTTCTTCAAGAACATCAAGCCTCAAGGCCATTCACACAAGTCTCTCCCAGTGGTCTCCCCCAACTTTCTCTTCGCAACCGTTGAGGGGGTACCCCGGTAGTTGTACACAGAGTCCAAATCACATTTAACTCTAAGTTACAAAATTGTAATTTTTGACAAACCATGAATAGCACAACCTAGGATCAGATGTGATGTCATTTCGCATTGAAGAGCGCCCCCTTATGTTGACTGATGTCCAGTCCCACCAATTAACTGCTCAACTCATTGATAAAAATCTGGACTGTTAGTACGACCTGCTCCAGTTTGTCCACATCTTACCTTCAGGAACAATGTCTGCATTTCACCGCACTGTTCTCCTCGCTCCTCTTCCAGCGCTGAGTGCAGCAGCTTACGAGCTGGGATGCGGGTGTAAGCAATGCGCTTACCGTTACTGACCATCCAGATGATGACATCAGGGATGCTATGCTGAGGCTACAAGACAAGGCAAAAATGGTGAAAAAATAATTTTAAAAAATGTGTGTTTAGGCCAAAAAAAAAGGCTCCGGTTTCTGGTATGGAGCTTGCCCAAAAAGTGGTGCGGCGACGCAGCTTTTTTTTTTTTTTTTTAACCCGTTTTTTTTGCTTCAATTGTCGGCTGATGACTGCAAATGGTGCCCGACTAAACTTAGCGCAAATATATGTGAGTCCAGAGAGGCCACATAAAGCTTATTCTTGATCATAACCCCATGTAACAAAACGTTAAAATTGTGCAGCAGCAGGATTCCAATCAAACCAGTGAGTTTGGCGGTTTTGAGACATCATCTTTTATTGAAAAAAAACCTTTTTCATTTTGCCGACGCGCATGGCTACGGCGACGCGCGCGCATACCAGAAACCGGAGACTTTTTTTTTTGGCCTTATAGTTTCTGAAAATAACATATTTGAACACTGTCAGTGTGTTTGTATCTTGGGTAGTTTATCAACTTTTCATTGATATCATGTTCTTCAGTACCACTGACTGCAAAACAGAAAATACATTTTATCTCTGGTCAAACAAAGGTTTAAACAGCAACAAGAACATGCTATGCATTATAATGCAGATGGCTATTGGTAACCAGTGATGCAACGGACCTTGTTGGCTGTTGCTGCAAAGTATAGTGAGTTGACTAACATCAGTTCAAGCAAAGATAGTTAAATAACAAAAGTTCCACTGCATAACACCCCTCCAATCTTTCAGTCTCCTGACAACGGACAGATCGAGTTTACTGTCTGAAACATTTAGTCCCCCCCCCGGTTCTTTTTACAACCTCACAAAAGAGATTCGTCTTGTGGTGCTACCTTACACTTGATCTAATTCATAGTTCTCTAATAGATGCTTATCCGGAAAAATTGGCAATCCAGGACCATTCAGAGGCAAGGCAATACAAACAATAATTCATAAGATTACAGAGAATAAGACTATGCAGGTCTGATGCTCTTAAAGGGAAAATACAACATTTGCAAAAATAAAAAAATAAAACTACCAAATCATTTTGAAATACCTTGCTGGACTGTTAGTGAATGACAGTGTAAAGCGCATCCTGTAAAATCATGGCACCTGGTATACTGTCATTTTCAAGAAAAGTGCCATTTTTGTACCAATTTCCAACGCTATCGGCCGATCAGCGTTGGAAAAAACTGGCTTTTTTTCAAATACTGGCCCCATTTGACCATCGCACTTGTTTGCAATCGATTACACACACTATATGAACGGGTACAAGCCAGCTAGACTGGTTCCCTGACCTTACAATTCCCCAATGTATGTAAACTGCTCTGTTTCTTCTTCAATGGAGTCAGGGAACCAGACTACAGGAAAATGATTGTTTTTCTTGGTTTTTATAGCATTTTCGAACCCAAAACCTCAAAAAAGTCAGTGTTACTATATTTGCTATATATTTCCAACCCCCCAATTCCATCCATTTCTGAAAATTACAGCAAAAGCAAATGATGTATATTCCCTTTAAACCAATATGGTCAAAGGGGTCCAGGTAGTCCATTTTTGGGGGACCAAGGCAAGACTTTATAAGCAAGTCTACTTTACAAGTGACAGTAAGTCAGTCAGTCAGTCAGTGAGGTAGGCGCAACCACCCTACAGAAAAAAGTCAGAAAAATCAGACGAATTGCCAACCTCGTCTGCAAGGAATCTGATGCGATGCAGGAACATCTTAGCGGCCTTGACTTTCTCCTTCAAGGCTCTAGGACTCAGCTCCTTCCTGGGCATGACGTTGAGTCGCTTGGCTTGCTTCGCTATCTCCTCCTGTGAAGGTGACAAAAGTTTGGACGACATATGATTACAAAATTGCCACTATGACGCAAATCCTACATTACCAGCATGGACAAATTTAATTAACTCGATTAACAAAAACAATGGACAAAAAAGTGGGAACTGCCAACATACGGCTGGAAAGCTCAGTTGGCAGAGCACTGGAACGGCAATCTGGAGGTCACAGGTTCAAACCCCGCTCCACTCAATTTCTTTTTAAAATCGTCTTAGCTGGAATGCTAGCTCTATATTATTATTGGTCACAGAAGACTGTGCCTTATGATAACTGTGAAAGTTTAAGTTCAGCACACAAAACTCATCTATAGATCCATTTGTGGCACTGGAAAACAGTTTTCCTGTTATACAAAAAAATGCTAACTTCTGAATGGTTTTACAATGTTGGGACATATTTTGATTAACTTACGTCAATCTAATTGCATACATGTACTTACCTGAAAATAAAAACCTAGCAACATTATTAAAGCAATTATACACATTTATACTCTAAACAAGTGAAGCTTTTTAAAATAGAATAATACTTATTTAATCCAATAAGAATATTTTTAAAATAACCCCAGCCAATGAAATATCGTAGCAACACCGTTTAACCGCAACAAACAATGCACCGATGTGCTACCAATGTCTTCACATATGCATGACGATCATGAGATCACCATGTGTCAGCCATATGTGATAGCCATGTGACAGCCACATGACGAACATGTGATGCCCATGTGATGAAGAGTGTTTTAACATGCCTCAGCGTTCATCTCTGCCAGGGATGCTGTTTCCTCATCTTCATCCAATTCCACCACCATTTCCAAAGCCTTGCGAATCAGCGGGTGAGAAGCGAAGCAAATGGGTAAAAAAGTATGTAAGCCAAAAAAAAAAAAGTGCGGGAAACGGGTGCGGTAAATTGTGTGAAGGTGCATCACTCGATTTGTAATGGCTAAAACAATCCGGATAACGGCAATAAAGACCAACATGAACCAGTTCGCATCAGATGATGTGTATACACGCTAAGGTTTTGCAGTATTCAGAACGGATGACGGATAAACACGCAACGCGCAAGGCCTGAAATATCTGTTAGCGACCCGCTCACAGCGAGGGAGGCCGGAAATATCAGGGTGTGCTACCTGCACATGACGGCCTAAACCCGTCTGGCATCGAGGTATGTGAAAAAAATCCTGCGCCTCGGTCCGGTCAGTGTCAAAGTAATTCTCGTGCAAACTGGTTAATATTAGATTCACACTGTGTTTGAACAATCACAAACTTCACAGCAAGTACTGTAGTCAAGTGAGAACATAAAGTTTGTCTGGAGTCAATAAAGTTCATCAAGCCAAAGTTTCTCTCTGGTTTCTTTGGTATGAAACGACTGAGAATATTTCTATTCCCCCTGGATGGGATGCCAGTCCATCGCAGGTTACTCCCCAGCTAATGACAGTCCTGTTTCTACTCCTGGGTGGAGAGGGGCAAGTTGGAGTAAAGTAGCTTGCCCAAGGACACAGCACATTGCCAGCGGCAGATTTGACCCCCTGACCCTCTGATCACGAGCCACAAACCCTAACCACACTCTCCCAAACACATACTCCTGGGTAGAGAGAGGCAAGTTGGGGTAAAGTGGCTTGCCTAAGGATACAACATTTTGCCAGCAGCTGGATTCGAACCCCTGACCCTCTGATCACGAGTTACAAACCCTAATTACACTCTCCCAAACACATTGTGGTAGTTGATGCTCAACGATTAGACTACAAATTAGGGCCTTCTACTTCATTCTTTGCAAGATTTTGAATTGTTGTGCTCCCATTCGCCTGAGGTCCTTACTGATTGAACAGAGTGCACATGTAAATGGTTCTGTGCAGTGAACAAGCAATATGCTTCCAATATTCTACCACCCGTTCACACGTTGTGAACAGTGATGAAAAAAAAACATATCTGGCGTCAATTACCTCCAGGACTTTCAAGCCAGCTCGGCTCATTTTTCTGTTGCGCAATTTAATGCGTCTGCGTCGCCCCTTGTGCGACGGCTTTATCAACGACGGCTTTATCAACACACGAACAGCAATGTAGCATTAAAACATTAAGGGTTAGACATAGTTAGAAAAGTGTTCAGTTGATATCATCATCACTCGGTGAAAAGTGTGGCCAGTTCAATAAAAACACAAAGACTTAAAAACTTTCAATGAACTGGTGGCCAACACATTCACGTCTTAAAAAGATTTTTTTTTACAATTTACAGCCGGACTTTTAAGATCATTTGCAGTGCAACATTTAGCCAAGATGTTAAATATTTTGCATTACTTTCGTAATTTTTTTCAAAATGTTTTTGCAGGCAAATTTATGCAGTATGTAAGTTTATAGTAATGTAAAGATTGGTTCACACTTCATGCGAATGTGAATACGATGCAAATTTGACGTCACAAAGCATTCGCTGCGAAATTCGCCCGAGAAATGTGTTCAACTTTTGTGAATTCGCAGCGCGATAACCCGCAATGACGTCACAAATTCGCGTTCACGTTCGCTTTCACGCCGAGTATGAATACTTGGATATCTGCAAGCATTTTTTCCCCAAAACCCTTTCAATGAAAGCTCTTAAACAACAACACTTGTTAAAAAAGCAACACAACTTTGTGTCTCATCACAGCTAGGTTCAAAAGCTGAAGCTTTTTCAAGCGGGGAAAACAAACATCAATTTAATCACGCAAGCACATCAAATGTAAGTAACAAATGCTTGACATTGTAACCACAGCATCTGCAAACAAGTGCTCGAATCTGTGAATACAATGTATTGGACATACTCTCTCAATACAATCACGACACAAAATGTATACATTACATAAACCATTGTTTCATACACAACATTTTATGCATCACACAACAGACATAGGTGACAACAGAATGATGTTTTGATTAGAAAACATGTTCTTCAAAACATGCCTTTGAAGCAATTTATAAAACTTTGATAATTAGTAAAACTAATTTTTGCTTTGCTATTTTTTCATATAAATGGGCAAAAATTCGTAACATCTTCGCAGTGAATAGTTAAAAAAATGTCCTCAGTTTTTTTAATTTTGTGGACAAACACTTGCTCAAAGAATTAAGTGTCACTGGAAAAAAGTTTAAAAAGCAGGACAAGGTGGCCAAAATCACACAAAAATAGCGGGCTGTAGCACAAAAACTGTTGGTCTGAGAGGGCTAAAACTAGCTTTTTCAGCCAAAATTACCCAATAAACCAAAAATGAACCAATTTGAAGGGGTGGGGTTTAACCCATTGGGTGATCTGACATACGACCCTGATTTTAATGTTCCGGTAAATTTGTTCCATTTTTCTATGATCTGGTCAATAAAAGCAAGCATGATGGCACACCGTAAATTATAAATCATTTTTTTTTTAAACAAACAGACAAACAAGTGTATGGACAACATGCGACAATCCCTCCCCCACTCTGTACCTCTGAGGCCCCGCCCTTGCCCTTACGAGGGGAGGGGCTAGGGGGTGCTTTCTGCTGTGTGGGGGTGTCGGCCGCCTGGCTCAATGTTGCCAGTAACTCCTGTACGCGTGTGCTAAGTTGGGTCTAGGAGCAAGTTATGTCATGATTAGCAACAGTATAACTACACTCGACTATCTAAAAGTACTGTGCAAGTGCCAAAAGAATCTGGCTTCTACTGAAAAGGAAGGAATTAAAACTAAAATACAGGGCGAGTAAAAAAAGAAAACCCAAATGTCAGGACCAATTTTGCAATGAAGTTCTGCATGTACCACTTTCAAAATCTAGGATATGAAAGCCCAATTAATAGGCTTTCTTTTAGTACAAGAATGATTCAAATCACTCATGCACTTTTCAAGTTACGGAATTTTGAACACAAACACCGTTTTAAAGTTCTGTCCACGGATCACAAAGGCCAAAAAAAATAAGTCTCCGGTTTCTGGTATGGAGCTTGCCCAAAAAGTGGTGCGGCGACGCGGCTTTTTTTTTTTTACCTGATTTTTTTGCCTCAAAATGTAGGCTGATGACTGCAAATGGTCCCCGACTAGACTTAGTGCAAATATATGGGAGTCCAGAGAGGCCACATAAAGCTTATTCTCGATCATAACCCCATCTAAAAACACGTTAAAATTGTGCAGCAGCAGGATTCCAGTCAAACCAGTGAGTTTGGCGGTTTTGAGACATCATCTTTCATTGAAAAAAAATTTTTCATTTTGAAGACGCGCATGGCTGCGGCGACGCGCGCGCATACCAGAAACCGGAGACTTTTTTTTTTGGCCAAAAGAGGCAAATGTTCTTTCAGCAAAACGAAAACAATTCATTTACATGTCTATGTGAACTCTTTTTGTTTTGCTGAAAGAACACATCTTTTTTGTGGTCTGTGGACAGAATTTTCAAATGGTGTTTGTGTTTAAAATTCCGTAACTTGCAAAGTACATGAGTGATTTGAATTATTCTTGTACTAAACATAAGCTTATTGATTGGGCTTTCATGTCCTGTATTTTGGAAGTGCTACATGCAGAACTTCATTGAAAAAATGGTCCTGACATTTTGGTTTCCTTTTTTTTACTAGATGGAAAAGTGGAAGAAGATGCATAGATGCTTAAAGATTACACACACTTTTGATTTTGATTAAAATTGAAAAGGTTAAAAAGAAAGATAATGGATCAAAATATGCTACTAAACTACAACAGCTAAAGAAAGGCTTTTTCGGGATAAAGTCAAGATCATAAAATCAGTTCAAATATTTGGCAAGAGAAATACAATGTAATCAGTTTTCAAAATAATTGAAAAAAAAATACATTCTAACAATTTTAGGCAGATCTTGAGAAGTGCATTATCAATTTCATCAGATTTCGCAAAGTACTGTACAGTGGAACGCCGCTATAACAAATATCGCGCTATCCACAGAAATTTTTCGTCATAGCGATCGTTCGGTATAGCGATTTTAAGCTGCTGGTGCTCCGGTACTCACTTTTCAATAAATAGCGCCCTTCAGAACATCACCCTGCACGCCCTGGTAGTTACTGAAAGACGACTTTGAACATGTGCCGACTATTAAATTATGTAATAACACAGTTTTGAGCTTACTAACTCCAGCAACGGGTGGCGTTTCCCTTCTATTCCTTGGGGAAATACATGCAATAGCCACTTGTCGCTCTTCTGTTGACATTTTGCAACAAAAACGTTCGGTACATTTTGTACACGAAAATTGGGAGCCAAGGATGATGTTCGGTATAGCCGAATGTTCGGCATAGCGGTATTCGGTATAGCGACGTTCCACTGTATATTTCTACATGGTTATAATACATAGAATGGAAACCCTTTTTCTTTTTCTCTGAAGTATAATCAGTTCTTAATTGTGGAATACTTGTCTACAGTACGTTGATCGCAAGTTCTAAGTTTTCCATATAATAGATAGATACATAGAATGGAAACCCTTTTTCTTTTTCTCTCAAGTATAAGCAGTTCTTAATTGTGGAATACTTGTCTACAGTACGTTGGTCGTAAGTTCTAAGTTCTCATCTTAAATACACTGGACCTCTTAAATTTGACAGCTAAGAAGGATATTCCTCTCAGGTAGATGAAAGTACGTACCATTTCTCTCAGGATCCACTTGTGTCTTTCTTTGTCCAGTTTGGTTTTCCCGGCTGTGCCTGCCCCCTTGGTAACTTTTGCATAATTCCTAAAATTGAAAAAATAATAATACATGTATTAACGGTGAACAGGCAAAACAATCTTACAAGACATTGGATTCTGTGTGTGAATGTATCCTTAAAAAAAATTAAATGTAGTGTACTTAAGCACTATTTCAGTCACGATAGTAGTCTCCGTATCAACTGTTGTTGAAAGGGGCCCTCTCTGTAACCAAAGTCTGATATATCTGAGCGATGCAAATTTTATGCGACCCTACGAGCCAGCCAATCGGAGTCAGCTTCAGAAATTGTGACGTCGTTTCGATCAGAAATGTGGACTAAGCTATTGATTGGTCAATTTGGATGTCATGATTTTGTAATACAACATGTTACGGAAGACCCGATAGAAGGCGCCCGCTGAATGGTCAGAATCTCAAGGTCAAGATGCAGTCTTATTTTGCATAATTAATTGCCGAATCTGCTCACATATCATAGACCCTTGCTATGCAGGGGGATTTTACATAACCTACAACGCTAGGTGCATTCCAGAAACACAAACTTGCCACAGATTGGTATTTCGCCGTTAAAGAGTCGGCTCAGCAGTTATTTTACAGTTCAGAATTTAATTGTTTTTTTTTTTAGAACGGATTCCAGAAAATTATTTGTAAATCCCAAATTCTGTAGGGGTATGGTCCTTACCCTAATCCATAATTGAAATCTCGCAGCGCTGCTTTCAGCATCTTCCCCGGGTTGCCTTTCTCTTTGGCGATCTTCTCCAAAACCTCGGCCAAGGAGTCATCCTGAGATGGAATAAGTGGAAAATTATGACAAAGTTATCCAGATTGGGGCTTTATACACAAAAGAGAAACTGTGACATGCAGAGTCATGTAAAACTTGTTTCAGACTTGCGTTCAAGAATCGTACGATCATGAAAGGTTCAAAATCTGATACAGTATAAGGAGCAGCTACACTGAAAGAACAGTTGAATCAAAGAAAATAAAATTAATAACCTTTACATAACTGAAACCGAAGTTTGAGTCAACCTGACTTATTCCTTAAGGCCTGTTCATACTAAAGTGCGAATGTGAACGCGAATTTGTGATCACGTCAAATTTTTCGAGCTGCTAATTCCAACAAGTTTACCTCATTTCAACTTTGGCGAATTTCACAGTCGACCTGACTTGTTCCGTAAGGCCTTTTGATACTAAAGTGCGATCGTGAACGCAAATTTGTGACCCGTCAAGTTTTCGCGCCGCCAAGTAAAAAAAATGGAGCTCATTTCAAGTGAATGTTTCATTGCGCCAAATTTGCTTCGCATTTTTGCGCATGTATGTACCAGCTTAACACTTGTTTGATTACATTTCAATTTGCATATTTCGCAGTGAATGTTTCCTGATGCCAAACTTGCTTCCCCTTCAAATTCACGTAAAGTATGATTCGGCTTAAAACTTTTTGGTTTGGCGCAACGCTGGAACACTAGTCTGAACAAAGGAAGTCTAACATTTGAAGAACAAAAATGCACAAATGTAACATTTCTTCTTTGTCTTCAGAGTATCTGGGTTTTTTTTTAAAAAGAATTTATGGTTCCATGACCAGAAACCATTAACAATAACAAGATGAAACATATGCAAAGTCTATGGGATTTGAGATAGAAGAACAAGAAGAAGAAGTAAAAACAAAATCAGAACAAACACAAAAGCTTTACCACAAATTGCTAAAAATGTCAACTAGTCAGCTCGACCGAAGAGACTCAGTTAAGGAAAAGAACGTGCATACTCGGTGACTTAGCCAGTCAATTAATCAGTCGGGAAGTCAGGCAGGGAGTCGGGGGGGGGGGGGGGGGGGAGTCAGTCGGGGAGTCAGTCAGTCCCTCAGTCAATCAGTGACTCTGTTAGTGAGGGGACAGTAAGCTGGCTCTTGGATCCAGCAAAAATGAGAGGATTCTCACCAGTTTCTCGGCAATCTTGAGCAGGATGTTCTGGTTGTACAGCCGGCGTCGATGCTCCTCTGTATTGAACTTGAGGTAGACGCAGGGTTTGTTCTCCCCCAGGGGGAGGTAGTAGTAGGTCTTGTCGCTACTCAGGGGCTGGATAGGGGGCACGGTGGACAGGCTTTGCTCCGGCTCCTCCGTGGAGGGTAAGAGCTGTTGCTCCTCTTCGTCGGAATCCACGGCTACCCTGGCGTGGAGGTTGCGACCATCCAGCTGGTTGCCATAGTTACCTGAAATATAGAATTCATCATATGAACTAATACTAATTTGACAAAAATGGGTTTCACAGCTATGTGTACTTGTTCTACATAACCTCCGAGGACTAACACACAAAGGGAGAACAGATCCTTTTAAGTCCTCGGGAGTTGCGTCTTTTGTTGGAAACGGTCCTCTGTAGTAAGTTTGTGTGCTTAGTCTATGGGAGAGTGTTATATTACAGTGACAAAGGGAAACGCAAAGCATTGTCCACGGGAGTATAGTAAAACAAGAGTGTGTGGTGATTACAGTGTTTGACACGTGAAAGCTTGAGGGTTTAACCCCGACGGGCAATGTGTTGCTTGTGTTCTTGGGCAAGATACTTTACTACAATTGCCTCTCTCTATGAGGGAAGAGACCAGATTGTACTGTTCGTCCACTTGAATAGTTTGTAGCTTGAATGTTTAATGTGTGACTAACTTGTTAGTGCCTATTAGGACTTGAGTACTTTAGTACACTTCCGGCATCTCTCACAAACTTCAAAGGTGCTAAAATATTTCAGCCCATAAAAACATTCTCGCAAGTGGTTTAAACCAGGGCCCAATTTCTTGGCTCTGCTGTATTCCTGCTTACTGTAGCAGAAAATTGTGTGCTTACGGTAAGCATATTTCTCGGATTAGCGAGGAATTTTGGCTTATGCGCATGCGTAAATCTCGTCACTAAGGATTCTGTGCTTACAGGATTAGCACAGAATTTTTCTGCTAGCGCGGTTAGCACAAAATGGTGATCATAAGCACAAAACCGTGTAGAATGTTTCTTGTTAGCTTACAGAGACACTGGCTAAAAGTTCAATTTGAATGCTGTTCTTACCGATTGAGAACTCAAAAGTGACTGGCTTGTCAGCGGCCGATTTGTCAATCATGTTGGCCTCGAAGATCGTAGCGAAGAAGAAGAAATCATCCTTCCTGCCTGCTGCACCCTGAAATACAAAAAATACATTTATAATTATTTAACCTGTACATCAGAAAGATCTAGGACTAATTTCACGAAGATGAAACTATTATTTATATGGTGAAGGGTTTCAACAGAAATCTGAAAACCAAATTCCATGACTTTTCCTGGACTTTCCAGGACTAAAATATGACAATTTCCAAGACATTAACGCCATTTCAATCACAAAAAAAATTTGAATCACTTGTAATATCAGTCCTGCTCTATGGCTGTGAGACATGGACAATCAATGAAAGTGATAATAAGAGGCTGGATACATTCCAATTCAAATGTCTAAGGAGAATACTAAAAGTCAGATGGCCATATGTCATATTCAATGATGACATACTTAAGAAGACTAACATGAAACGGATCAGTGATGACGTCAAAGAAAGGTGGTGGAAATGGATTGGCCATGTGCTAAGGATGGATGAAAACTGCCACTGCATGACGGCTTGTCATGGGTACCAGAAGGCAGAAGGGTTCCCTAAGACAACATGGAGGCGAACTGTGGAGAAGGAGAAATCACTGGGGTGGACATCCTGGAGCAAAGCTAAACCAATCGCCAAAGACAGGGTGCACTGGAGAGAGATCATTGCAGCCTTATGGACCACTGGGCCCGAAGAGGATAGGTAAGGTAAGGTAGGTTAACGCCATTTTGCAGAAAAAAAGTTGTTTGGTATTATGATACTGATGAACCGCTGATGTTAAGCTAACTATTTGTAAGCTTTTGAAAATAAGTTTTAATTTTGTTTTAAAATAAATTTTAATGGCCTCCTCCCTTCCTTACAGCCATCCTTAATGCGCCCATCAAAAATAACCCTCACATGATCTTGATTTCCAGGACTTTTCCATGATTTTTTTAATTTTTTCCAATTTTCCATGACTTTCCAGGACAACTTTTTTCCAGGGCTTTCCATGATTTTGTCCATGACCGTGGGAACCCTGATGGTGGTATGAGTGGCGTAGTACGTGAAGTGCTCGCCTCTCATCAATGTGGCCCAGGTTCGATTCCCGGCTCGGACCATATGTGAGTAGAGTTGTTTGTTGATTCTCTCCTGTGCCATGAGGGTTTTTCTCCGGTTTTCCTCCCTCCGCACAAATCAACACTTTCGATCTGGCTGTGCTCCGTGGTAAGGCAAGGTATGGCGGCTGCCAAAGGCTCCTTTCAGTGTTGTAGTACTCGTACTCGGTACTCGTACTCGAGTACTACTCAAATATTGTTTTGTCGTACTCGAATATTGTTTTGTCGTACTGGTACTCGTACTCGAATGTCAAAGTCCTTGTACTTGAAATGACAGTACCCTTACTCAAGTAGCAAAGTACTCATGCTCGTCATGTTCAAATTGTACTCGATCATCAAAGAACTCGTACTCGAATAGCAGTACTCGGGGGGAAAAAATGGTATAGCTTGACTTACCACGGCCTTATTTCATCGATACTTTCAGTTTTAAATGGTTAATTGGCTTGTGGAGAAACCGAAATTTCCTGATTTTCCTCTGTGCCCGTCCGGACAAACACATTTAACAGCTAGCCGTGAGTGGGTCTGTATATCGGTCTGACTGGGCCTGGGCCAATTACTTAAAATGAACCATTTGCTGTATGGCAGTATTCGGAAATACATGTACAAGTACTTGTATTTGTACTCGGAAGTACAAGTACTTGTACTAGTACTCGTAAACCTAAGTTCTTGGCAGTACTCGGTACTCGGAAAAAGTAATTGACTACAACACTGCTCCTTTACATGCCTTGGCTCGACAAGGCTGTAGCTGCGTCCTTGCCAATTGAACTTCAGCTGCAAGTAAGGACAATTCGCCAACCCCCTCCCCAAAAGTTTATTTTATGATATTATTTCAAGCTCAATGTTGCAGATAGTATGTTGTTCCTGTCATTTTGAGACTGTAGAAATCCCGAGTTTCCCGCCCGTCATATTTTTGGAAGCAGTTCTTACCTCTGAGATGGGCAGCGTGGGCTCCACGTCCACCCTAATGCCACCAGATTCCAGCGATCCGTCTTGGACTTCTGTCTTGAGGGACATCAGGAGCTTGCCGCGGTACATGCAACCCTCTCCAAAACCCTCGTTGAGCTTACGTGTCTTGTCTACTGTGTTGTATTCACGTTTGGAGCCGTATAGGTTGACCCAGCTGGGCCCGAATGTTGGCAGAAATCCTAGAATGAACAAAAAACAGTTCCAATACAATCACTTTTAATGACTAGGGATTGACTTGCCATCAGCTTGCGATCAACTTGTGATTGACTTGTTAATGACCTTTGATTGACTTCTGATCACCTTACTATTGACTTGTGATCGACTTCAGATATACTTGGGATTGATTTACGATCAACTTGTGATTGACTTGTGATCAACTTACGATTGACTTGCGCTCGGCTTCAGATATGATTGCGATTGACTTGTAATGGACTTGCGATTGTCTAGTGACTGAATTGGGGTTGACTTTCGCTTGGCTTGCGATGGATTTGCATTCGGCTTGTGATGGACTTGTGAATGACTAGTGATTTACTTGTGATTGACTTGTGATTGACTTGTGATTGACTTGTGATTGACTTATGATTGACTTGTGATTGACTTGAGATTGATTTGTGTTGGACTTGTAACTAACTTGCGATTGACTTGTGATTGACTTATGATTGACTTGTGGTTGACTTGTGAATGACTTGCGATTGACTTTCGTTGACTTGTGATTGACTTGCGATTGACTAGCGATTGACTTGTGATTGACTTGCGATGGACTAATTGAGATGGACTTGTGATCGACTTGTGATCGACTTGCAATCAGATTGCAATAGACTTGTGATCAGCTTGCGACCAACTTTCGATAGACTTACGATAGACTTGCAAAAGATTTCTAACACTTCTGCAGACTACTTTCTTGCCTTACCCTCATTGCCTTCGTAGGAGATCTTGGTCATATCGATGAAGTGGGTCCCGACGATGTCATCCACCACCGAGTCTTTGTCACGGAGCTGGACGATCATGCGGCTGCAGAGCGGGGGAAACATCTCGCTGAAGACAATCTGCTCGTTCCATTTGGGCTCATAGCAGTGCTTCTTGACCGACGTTTTACCCTACGACCAGACGCATCCAAAGAACAAAAGAATGAATTCAGTTCAGTCAGGAAAATGACGTCCCGCTTTCTTTAAAAGCTTGCTGGCCTCTTGTTCCACCTGGCTCCCATAAGAAAGCGCAGGTGTAAACAGAGTGTGTTATTCAACAAAAAACCTGAAAACATTTAACCCTTTCCTTACCACGGGCGACTTTTGTGGACAAGAAAACCCCCCCTGCTGGTTCCCATGGGCGACTTAAGTCGACCAGGAAACCACACACAGAACACCCTCAACACAGATTATTTACTACTTTTCAGAAAGGCAGCATGTTGATATGTTTGGCCGCCCATACATCAACTATATACCAGCTAGAAGAGTATTTTCGGATCGTTCTAATGGTGTAGTTTATTCATAGTGTTACCATTACAAAAAAATTAGAAAAGTGCTTCAGAAATATCCACCCACAATTGAGGTATGGAGTGCCATTTGGTCATGTGGTGAAATGGCTTGCAGTTTGATAAATGGGACCAAATGAAGAAAAAGGCATAACTTTCTTATATTTGCACGTATGGACTTCATTCCTACATCACATAAAAGAGTAAGGTTCAAGGAACAAACTTTACACACAACACCTATGATTTAAATCACTCCTTGGTAGTGAAAATCTGGGTTGAAAAAAGTGAGTTTTGGACTTGTGGTCGTTTGTTTCACGCTCTAGTGATTTCCGCATGACTGAGCAAACAATTTGGTCATGGGGAGAGCCAGGTCAATAAACAATGTGGTAATGAAAGGGTTAATACAAATTTCACGACGTAATGGAAAACTCATTTACCGCTTGTCCGCCGAAACCAACTTTGACATACGGATCCACAAGGTCGTTGAAGGCTCCTGTGAACGCTTTCTTGACATTCGCCAGGAGACCAGAGTTCATGATGGGGAGACCCTCAGCTTTGAAGATGCGGACTGTATAGGTGGCTCTCTGCCGGACTCGCGGGATGTTATCTGGCAGGAGAAGGTTCCTGAAATGAACAAGATAAGATTAGGCTTGCTGAGATGAGTAGGATCTGAAAGGCTCAGTTTAGGAAATTTAATACTCAGTCTGTCGGTCAGTCAGGCGGTCTTGCAGGCAGGCAGTGACTCGGTCAGTCAGAGGAAATAAGGCTGGGCTTTTCAGTCCAGCAAAATGCCCTTAATTCTCCAGGGGTGAAATCAGGGGGAAATGAAACATCCATCCAATCATCGGCAAGCGTTTTGTTTTGGTCATCGAAGGCCACAGAGCAAGTTGGGTCTAAGATAAAACCTCAGAAATTCCACATTTTAAAAGGAAGTCTTTAAAAAGCCTGAAAAATGAGGAAAAATCCCGACAAAATATCTTCAAATCAGAAAAAAAATCCTGACAAAAATATCGTAAAATCAGGAGAAATCCTGGCAAAAATTCCTGAAATCAGGAGAAATCCTGGCAAAAATTCCTGAAATCGGGAGAAATCCTGGCAAATATTTCTGCAATCAGGAATGATCCTGGCAAAAAAATCTGAAATCAAGAAAAATCCTGGCAACAAATTCCTAAAATCAAGAAAAATCCAGGCAAAAAATTCCAGAAATCAGGAGAAATCTTTTCAAAAAATTCCTGACATAAGGAGAAATCTTGGCAAAAATTCGTGAGATAAAAAAAAAAACCAACAAATATCACCCCTGATTCTCGGATGCTTTCATTTCACAGTCCTCAAATCACCTTGCACGATGTATATTCATATTCGGCCATTCTTTGGAATTTATACACTACTTACGCCTCCACGTCGTCATCTTTCTCCGACGCTTTCTTGGGCGGTTTGACGCTGTCTCCTTTAGCCAGGCAGTTGATGTCTACCTTCAGGTAACCTTTGACCCCTCCATTGATGTCCTGCAGGTCCGTCAGTATGGCCCACTTGCGGTAAAAGCCATGGTCTATACACACAACAGAAAATAAATTACGAGAACAGTCTTATAGGATAATTTTTGTTCTACAGTGCATCCCAAAATACCTGCGTGGCTCTAGCGTTGGCGCGGAAACACATACCGCCATAATTTTTATACCATTTTAAAGCTTGGAATCTTAACTTTATCCCTGGTGAGTATTGGTTTGATATTTAAAAGATATTTAAATAATTCATGTTCAAATAAAGGCATGTAGAAAACAAACTCAACCGATTTCAAGGAAAATTGATGATGCGTACACGCAAACTCGAGTCAACAAGCTAGTAACAGAAAATTTGATTTAAATTAAAAACACATTGAACTTGAAATGAAGAACAGTATTGTGTATTTAAGGTGTAATCTTATGTGGATCGAGAAGAAAGGGAAACACAGAAAGTAAAAGGCAAGAGATTATCATATCATGTACATGATGAAGCATTTCCACATTAGAACAAATGCGCATGATTGATTTTCCTTGGAATTGGTTGACATGCCTCTTATACAGAGATCAGAGCCTGTACCACCCCCAACCGCCTGAGATCTTATGGTTTTACAGATTCAATCAATGAATAAATACAATTAATACAATTTAGTAAAGATGTAAGTTCCCATGAGAGAACTGTCAATGATTTTCTTTAAGGAATTTCATTGATGAGAAATTCTTACCTTGTGCACGGTAAACGGTTCCGACATCAAACTTGAACGAGCCAATCACAGTGCCCGATCTTAGCAAGTTGCGAGAATGCATCGCCTGTGAAATTTAAGAAAATGCTACGTCAGTGGTTTTCTTAAAACATTCAACTATAATAAAACCATTTTGACATAAAAAATTGTGTTTCCTATTAAATTGAAAAGAAAATAGGGTAAATAAAATATGTTAACAATCTTTTAAATCTCTAAAATCTTTTTAAAATTTTGAATTTTTGAAAGCTAGATATGAAAAATGATGCAGTAATTGACATTAAAAAATGGCTTAAATTTCGTGTTGTTTTCATGGTTTGCAATCTTTTTGTAACATTTTGCTAATGGACTTACAGAAAGTTTGATGATCTTGTCAAAAACCATCTGACGAGGATCATGGAAGTCAAACACAAACAGCTACAGAAAAAAGAAGAGAGAAACATCAATTAATTAACCAGATCCACAAAAGTATTCTTCAAAGTCATGTGTCATTATTTTTCAGCTGTACCTTCTGAAAAAGCTCTTGTTTTCGTTAAATGGGATTGATGATATAAGTTCAGTCAGGATACAAAAACCAGGCTAGTAAAAAACAGCAGTGCCAGGTCACAAGTAATAGTCAGTCTGCTCAGTCAGTCAGTCACTACAGCTGGCCCTCTACATGACCAGCACAAACCTACCTCATTATAGAATGGGCAGTTGGTGGACTGTTTGACGCTGGTGTATTTCTTCTTATCTCCGACTTCAATGCAGATGACGGGATCGATGTCCAAACCAGCCAGCTGTCGAGCCTCATGTATGGTCACAGATATCTGAAATCACCACAAAATTGTAACAAAATTCATCAAAATACATTAATCAGACTAATTCGGTGAACAAAATTAGACTACATTTTTTGAGATAGAAGCACGTCCATGCGCATACCACATGCGTTTTAAAGACGAGGTGCGTTTTTAAAGAAGGGTTATCTGCATATACCGAATTCTCGAATATTCTATCATCAACTGAATTTTCGAATAGCTTTTGCCATTTTGAAAAAAAATTTAAAAATTTGCACATACAAACACGACTGTGATGTTATTTTATAGTAAAGTCGTTTTACTGTCAAGTGGCACAGTTTTGTCAATGGTAATTTTTCGTTTTGTCATTGGCTGTACATCGTTTATATCCTTTTAACAGGTTAAAGCCCTTGATAATTATAAAATGCTTACTGCAAAACACTCTAGCGCCCCATATCGATCACCGCACATAAATTTGAACAGGCGCACTCTTCGTGCAGATTTGTACTGGCACAGCACGCAGTTACAGCTAGCAGTTTCGAATATCCAAATACTCAGTCAAATGCAGTTTTGAGTAATCAAATACTAAATTATTAGAACATGGACAGCCCTACTAGTAAGCAAGTTTGTGAAATGCTTGTAATACAAGCATTACACAAACTTGCTTAATACTAGTTAAACATATGTCGATGTCGAACAAAACATAAACATGAAGTACCTTATTCTTGCTGTGTTTAAACAGTGTCAAAACTGATGTGTGGATGTGGGAGTTGGAATTCAGAAATGAATAGTTTATATAGAATGAATATATAGACCATAATCATGTTGCGGCCATTTCAACTTTTTCCCATTCAAATCAACGTAACCAAAGCGAGGCTGGAAGGAAAGAAAGTCTGGTTCCTTTTTGCACAAAAACATTGTCACTCAGTAATGTGATTGGATACAGGGAACATGACTGAAATGGTGGCAGCATGATAAAGGTCTATTACAAGCGACACTGACCTGATAGTCCTGTGATTTGAACGATGCCTCCAATCCCATCATAGGACGGACTTTCCTCAAGGCTGGTATATGGTCATCGTCATCTTCATCACTTTTTCCTGACGTTTCCGATGCGGCTTCGTCGTCTTTGATACCGAGGAGCCCAGAGGCTATGAAAATAGCAGGAAAATACAATTTTTGTAAAACGAACAATTTCGAGCACCGTGGTGTAATGGTCACAGTGTCTGACTCATGTGTGATAGTATATGGGTTTAAAACCCTGCAAGGGTATACGGTATTGTGTTCTTAGGCAAGACACTTTACTACAATTGCTTCTCTCCACACGAGAGTACATATGGGTTCCTGTGAGGGTAGAGACAATTGCACTGATGTTTGTGTTCTTCGGCAAGAAACTTTACTATAACTGCCTCTCTCCGTCCAAGAGGATAAATGGGTACTTGTGAGATTGGAGACCAGATTGCAATGATGCTTGTGTTCTTTGGCAAGACACTTTACTACAATTGCCTCTCTCCGTCCAAGAGGATAAATGTGTACTTGTGAGATTAGAGACCAGATTGCACTGATGCTTGTGTTCTTCGGCAAGACACTTTACTACAATTGCCTCTCTCCGTCCAAGAGGATAAATGGATACTTGTGAGATTGGAGACCAGTTTGCAATGATGCTTGTGTTCTTGGGCAAGACACTTTACTACAATTGCTTCGCTTCACCCAAGAGTATAAATGGGTACCTGGGAGGGTAGAGACCAGATTGCACTGATGCTTGTGTTCTTGGGCAAGACACTTTACTACAATTGCCTCTCTCCACCCAGGAGTATAAATGGGTACCTGTGAGGGTAGAGACCAGACTGCGCTGATGCTTGTGTTTTCGGGCAAGACACTTTACTACAATTGCCTCTCTCCGTCCAAGAGGATAAATGGGTACTTGTGAGATTGGAGACCAGATTGCAATGATGCTTGTGTTCTTGGGCAAGTCACTTTACTACAATTGCTTCGCTTCACCCAAGAGTATAAATGGGTACCTGGGAGGGTAGAGACCAGAATGCGCTGATCTGAAACTGCTATTGAAAACACTTTCTTTAGAAATAGGATTCTGCCCCCTCCCTTTGAAATAAAAACAAACAAACAACCAACCACCCCATCAACCCAACAGACAACCAAACAAACAAAACATGAAAGAAGTGCGAGTTATTTTGACGTTACCTCCATCCAGGAAGTCCATGCCAAACTGTGGGTTGTCCATACCAAGAAGATTCCCAAAATTATTCTTCTTTTTCTTTTTCCCGTGTCGAAACTTCATGACACTGCCTATCACACTCTTGGAGCTATAAGAAACAAAAGCAAAAATAAAATGGACAAAAATTGAAATTATACTTCAAGATAAAAAAAAAAGTCTATGGTGACTGATTTTAGTTGGTTTGTATGGTGGTTATCAATACATAATGAATTGCTACATTAAAAAAAAATTTGCATCAATTTTTTGGTTAATCTGGTACCAATACCTCTTAGTTGTTGCAATAGTATTGAGACTAGTCTGGGAGCCAAACTGGCGGCCGCCACGGTAGTCGATATCATCGTCATCAAACAGCAGATTCTGCTGGGAGCGCGAGCGTTTCTGGCTGAAGTTCTCCAGCATCCAATCCCCAGCCGTGCCGTCTGGGGGCTGGTAATGAATCTCAAAGTTGATGGTGATCTGTAGAAAGGTAAACACAGAACCAATGGAATTTTATTCAGTTAGACTCAAGCACATTTGCAACAGCGTAACCAGTGGTATGTGCTTTTGGGTAGTACTGGAACCCAGTACCTTATGGAGGTAAAACACAGTACCTGTAAAAGAACCCCAACCCAAAATTCAAATCCCGGAAGTTGTCTGAAAGGTTTATAGCTTTACGGTGTAAACTGCAACTTTCTCGAGCGTCATCTGTCACGTACGCGTTGTTATACACATAAACGTGAAATCTACCTTGGTTTTCCATGTAGCCTGGTTTTCATTTTGAAAATTCCCCACAAATGACCTTCAAAATCTTTCTTTTTCATTGTCTGAGATGTGACTAAGTAATTTGCAAAGTTGGTTATGGGTACCCGATCCCATAATGTGGAGCCAGTTCTTGACATCAGCGGTCGGGTATCCGATTTCGATGCACACCCCAAAGCATATACATCTCAATATATAAAGTTGGAAAAGATCAGGATTAGTGTTAATACCAACATTTAGTGTGTGCATCTATTTTCAGACTGAAATAGAAATACAAAGAATGATAAATATCCATTACCAACTTTTACTTGGATAAGTGTCATGCCTGAAATAAAACAAATTTTGAAGTCTAAACAATGGAAATAATTTTGTTTCCAACACAATAAACTTTAAAGGCTGGTTTTTAATTAATGTGAAGTACATGCAAATTTGTTAATCCTTGCTGAAATTGGCCAGTGCAACAACTTGCTGTTACATCACAAATGTTTGTCTCTGCTTTTACATAGAGCTTTAACCAGCCTATGGGCTCCGTGCACAAGTACCCCCTCAACGGTAAGAAAGGGAGAGTTGGGGGAGACCACTGGGAGAGACATTCCAACGCATTTCTGATGACGCCTGACGCTCACTTGAAGACTTTACGGTTTGAAGTTGGTGCACATTCAGAATTAAAACAGTCATGCGTACTTCGTGCTTCATGCGGGTGAGCAAATACGTGCACTATTGTTTGCGAATGGGAGTGGCAATTGTTAGCACGTGACCTACCCCTGTTGCAGTGTTGTTAGCATCTAGGAGCGGCTCCGAGATACTGATGTGTGGCTCATGGGCCAGTTGCTGTAAAATCATCTTGAAACTCCCAAACAATCTGAAGAGAGTAACGGAATAAAGAAAACTAGCATAAGTGAATCAACTTCAATAGGGATATTTCAAAATGTATGTCTACAAATACGGCAATTTCAGTGGTGTTAACCAGTTTGCGTCGGAGGACATGATAACATGCACTGGCTGTTTTTTGTACACAGCTAGGCACTGGTTAAAACGTCAAGATTGCCGAAAGGGGGTTCGAGAAAAGGGATGCAATCCAGCTAAAGGCTCGATCCACCTCGCGTTTACACTTGCGGTTAAGCAGACTTCGATCCTCCTTGCTGGATCGGATCCCCCTTCGATCCCCCTTGCAGGATCTAGTGTAAACGCGGTGAAAGTCGGTGAAGTCTGTGGAGGCGGACCGTGCGTTGATCTTAAATTGGCCGTTGTGCACGGCCTACTGTTGTACAATTTCTGCTCCAGTACACACCCCAGAGTTTGAAACATGGGGTTTTGGCAAGAAATATCGTACAAATACTGTTGAAATGACTCTAGCGAATCAGTAGAAAAATTATCCCGGCGCGAAGCGGTCAAACAGGTATCGCAAAAGTACATCAGTGCAGATGGTTTTATGGAACTTCCAAAACAATTTAGTATTGAAGTATTCATTAAAACACAAAAACACAAATCGTCTTACTTTTTTCTAGAAAATAACTATTTTCTATAAAAAAAGTTGATAGTCATAAAATTTGAATCAATAGACTAAAAAACTCTTGGGTTCCACGAAAATTTGGAGAAAAGCCAAAGAAAACTATTTTTCGAAAAAAAAACCCAACATTTGGCAGGATCTGGGAACTCCCTACACCCATGCACTCTTGAACTACATTTCCGCAAGCAAAGCTGAAGGGACATTATTCCACCAACTCACAAACCTTCAGAACCAACTACAATGCCTCGACTGTATTTTCCGGAACAAAGAACTTTATTATCAAAGCTCAGGTGCAAGGCACTTTGCTGCCCTTTGTAATGCAAATTTGGTTAAAATTTCTCAAAATTTGATGTGGGTGTTGAACAAATGCATATTAATGCATCTCTTGTACATGTTGTTTATATTTCAGAATGTCCATACTAAATATTTCACCTTCTACATGTACAAAGTGGTAAAAAAAAAAGGTTACACTTTTTTTCGAGGCAGAATTTTCAAAATCGGGGAGACACGTTGAAATCGTTTAAATATATTCTTAAACTTCAAGATCTTGTTGGTATATGGTGAAAACGGCTTTGAAAATAAAGCTGAAGTTAAGAAACAGCAACCATTTACAGACAAATGTGAACGGCTCCACAAAAAAGGCTATTAAAGTTGCGCTGTGCTTTATTGTGTATTACACAGGGTGAACATTTCGCCAAAATGTGATCTTCTTTTTTTGCATTGAATGACATCTTTGATACCTACAGTTTCAGGTTACATTCACAGAAATGTTGATTTTGATGAAGGAAGTGGAAAAAAACAACCATTTTGAGTGCATCGTTCTGTTGTTCTACAACAAAGCCAGCTATTTCAAAGCCTGTTTTCTCAGTTGTGTAATTTGAACTCCAAGGAAGTAATTAATATACAAATACATCATATCTCCAGAACGGGAGGGGCTATGGAGCTCTATTATATACCAAATTAAAGCTTACATTGTGGGCTTTCCAACCATGTATAGAACTCAATTTCACTTTTTTGTGACATAATACCCTTTTTTGTGGAGCCTGTCACAAATGGTCAAAAACTAGTTGTTTGGCCTTTGCAGTTCTTTGTGCACGCAGCGCTATTGTGTTGACCATATCTCATAGATTTCTCATGTGGATAAAGTGGTTTTTAACTATCTTTCTTTAAAACCACCGCCATTTTTTAACTAAGGATTTATTATTAGTGCAGTATGCACCATATACCACAAAATGCTGTAGTTATGCAATGCTGTAGGAATACTTGAAAACAACTTTAACTTGTCTCCCCAATTCCCAGAAATTCCCAGAAAATTTGTTTTGGACCACTCTGTAGTTCAAACTGGTGTATTGGCCACTGGAACATGAAGTTTTGGAGAGTGCACATTGGAAAACATGTTTAGAGAGCTACTGCTAGGAGATTGTGTCACAAAAAAAATATTTATTTTGAACAGATAGTTGCTCTGGTATGGAATTGGACTCACTTGTTGTTGAGGATCTTATTGAAGTTGTAGACTCCAACTTCAATAGCCTCATGGTCTTCAATGGCGCTGCCGAGCTGCCATTCAAAACCCTGACGTAGAAACAAAGCAAAAAAGGAGATAAAACAGAAGAAAAATTAAAGTTGTAAACTAAGCACAGTAAATGCATTTGATTATGAAAGAATATCTAGCGACCAACTAGTTTCGTAGGGAAAAGTAAAACTGATGTAACAGGCATATTCTAAAATTATATTTCTCATTTTAAACAGATTAAACAGAAGCACAAATTTATTGACGTAAATAAGCATAGTAAATGCAGTTGATTATGAAAGAATAAATAGCCACCAACTGCCAGGTATTAAATTATAAAAAAAGGTAACAGGCATGTTTTGAAATGATATTTCTTACGAGCCCCTCTTTGTAAAATGATCAATTTGCTTTAAGTGACTAAATTATTGTACTAGGAACACAAAAATAGAATTTTATGAAAGCGCGCAACAGTGCAAAACTTTGCGTGGACATGAAGAAAACGTTACTCTTGAATGTCTCAACCTTTCCAATATTAATTATTTTTTCTTTCTTTCATAAAATATGTATTGTAACAAAATAATTAAATTCAACTCAGCATCTACAAGTAACAATAAATTCCCAGTTGACGTATGCACATGTTTTTCCTGTCATTATTATGACAGGTACCAGCAGAAATTCAGAGCAATTGTGTGGGTTTTTCCATGCATACGTAAACGTGTATAAATCATGCGTGACCATCACGTATAACACTACTCCATAGGTTTTGACAGTTATGTGGTTTAAGCCACCAGCCTGTGCAAAAGCTATGGGAAAGGAAAAGGGTTGGTTTCTGGCAGTGTTTGATAGTTCTATCAGCAGTTAATGAATATTTCCTTTCACCTTTGAAGGAATACTTGTAACTATTTTCCCATTACAGCCAATAAACTTCAATTTCAATTTCAAATTGTCTTTTTTTCATTTATGATAATCCTATATTCTCTTTCAAACACAAAACAATTTTGAAAAATATCTTTTCCATCTTCACCAGGTATCACATTTTGTAACTAAAATCAACAGAAGGGAACACAGTTTTCTCCACACAACATTTTCACAACATCTCTCTATAGACTAATTCGGCAAACAAAATTAGAAGCCATTTTTGACGTGGCACCACACCTGTGCGCATGTCGCATGCGTTCTTAAAGACAAGGGGTGCTCGCATTTGGTGACCTACGGTACATGTATTGGTCAAAGGAGACCAGAGTGTGTGTGTACTACCGCAGTGCGACTCACGTGAGCTAGTGCCACCACAGAAAACGGCTGTCGCCAAATTAGTCTATAAACTAAATTCACTTTGCTTAACATATTTTGTATCTCATTAATTGAATATGCTGAATACTGCACCAAAAGGGCATACATTTGTTAACTAATCCACTAAATATTTGAATATACTCACCTCTTCCCATATAACTTCATCCCCATGATTCTCAATAACAGCAGTGGTCTGATTTACTCCTGTCAGAAAAAAAAAATACATGCAAATCAAAGATTGAGACAATTTAACTGCTCAATTTGGAAGTTCAAAGTTAATGCTGTAATTTTCTATTAAAAAGATTCACAGGAAGCTAACAAATTTAATATCCGGACAAATCCTTTGTACTGTACGTAAAGCATCTTAAAACGTTCTCTTGGGCATTCTCAAAACCTCGATCCTTCTTTAAATTACATTCAGATTCCAAAAGCATGGATTCATTCAAATTTCCATACTCGTATGAAGCTGTCCAATAAAGCATCAGCACAAACGTGTTTTGTAGCCCAGGGTTTGGGTTTTGGCAAACTTATTTTTATTTTTGCTTATTTTTTTAGAGCATTTCTGTTTGTTGTTGTTGAGACAAGTCTATCACTGAGACTGTAGCACACTTTCAATGTTTTTGTACCTGCCATCAAAAACTTGATTAATTAATATAAAAAAGCCAATAAGAGTTGTAATGAGCGATCAAATTGTTTGTTCAGTAAACACAATTATATTTCTTTCAAAACAAATAGAATAGTAATGGGTTCATGGATCCATCAAGCCAAACTAAGCATTCAATTATTTCTAAATATTAGTCACACGGGAGGATGAAATTATGGTGATCTGACATTTGTAAATTACCATGCCCGTCCACACAACTTTACACAGTAAATGTACCGTAATTTTCGGAATATAAGCCGCGCGGCGTATAAGCCGCAGCACGCAAAAATCTGCAAATTAAGATTTGAAGTCGGCGTATAAGCCGCACCGGCGTATAAGCCGCACCAACCGCAGCAGTTCAATTTTGTAAGGCCTCCAAATTCTAGTCAAAATGCTCTGAACCAGTTCCATTTGCACTACGAAAGCTATAAAAGGGCCACAAATGTTATGTCAAATCATTTACAGTCGATTACTCTTACAAACAAATATGGAAATTGATGATAAGAAATAAAAAACGGGAATTGCTGCCGGCTGGCTAGTCAGTGAGCCTGTGCCGGCGAATGACATTATTTTCCCCCAGCACTTGAGAGAGTATGCAACCCACCATGTGTTGTCTGACTGGAGCGCTACAAATCCTGCTTTGTGGCAACAGCCCCTGAGTTGTTTTGTCCTAAAGGATAAACAAGTCCGTTTTTACAGCAAAACTTATCAAATTGTTGTGATTACTAACAAGTAGTAACGTCAAAACTTCAAGTTTGGATGTAACTTTCTTCGAAAACAATCAACACGATGCTGAGATTTTTATGGACGAATCCATTAATTTTGTAGGGGTGGTTTCACCCCTGTTTTGAGTTTTACATTGTTTTTTGAATACATTTCAAGAAAAAAAAATATATTGTGACGTTGAACAACTGATTATCAAATAAAGATATGTTTCAAACTCCATAAAAAGTATTAGTTGTCTTTTTCCTTTTTTTAAACTGGGGAAATATTGGTAATTATTGTTCCCAAGAAAGTGCACCCCTTTATTACCACAAATGGTGTGGTCCATGGGAATCCCTGCAGCATGCATGCAGCATACATGTAGGCAGCATCACGTACGGCCGGTTGTCGATGTCCAAGGGACAGCTTTCACTAGCCATACTTTTTACCGCTCGGTACCTTTCTGTGGGATGTGCTTTCGGTTTGTTAATGACTTTCTTAATTGATAATTATTTCAGCAACACATCTCTTCTTGTACCAGTACATTAAATACACATGTAAATGTCATTTTTATTCTTCAAGTCTCGGCGTATAAGCCGCCCTGTGTATAAGCCGCAGTAAACATTTTCATGGGCAAATTCAACGTATAAGCCGCGGCTTATATTCCGAAAATTACGGTAGTCTACGTGCTTGGGACGACCCAAAATTGATTGAACTTGGTCTTTTTTTTGTCTGAACACTTCTTGCGTCAAATTTCACACTCTTCAAACCGACATATATCGCACATTAATTTAAGAAAAATATTAATTAATGGTACTAAACTAACAAAGAACAATTAAAAACAAAATAATATATAAGTATCTTATCATTCAATGTTAATATAGCCGCTTTTATTTAATAATATAAAACAATGTAATATAGCCTTTAGCCGTGGGTTGTAACTGATATACTGTAGCCGGTTTTATTACCAATATTTGTTTTGTTATTGACACATAAGTACAAACACTGGGTATGGGAAGCAGCTTATTACATGTATCATTTACTGTAATTTTCGTTAACAGATGGTCACAACCAGTTTCAAGGCTGGCAGGCTTTTGTTGATATTTGCATGGAATTTCTCATGCATGGTCAAACCTGACGCAACTAAATAGCTATGTGCGTTATTATTTTGCATACTGATTAAGTACTGTCGACGTTTGTTTGTTTTACGATTGGAATAATTAAAAAACATTATTAATTGTAAAGACAAAATGATGTGAGACTTGTACCATTTCTGGAGGCTTGTTTGTTAATATTGACGGCCACGTTTTGAATTGCACAAAAAAACATTATTCATCATAGAAACTGTACAACTATTAAGAACATCTGTGTGAATAACATGTATCTTTCTTGAATAATTGGAAAATTCATTCTACAATTTTCAAAAATTTGTATCCAAATATTTAATTTATGGGAAAGTTTTTAACCCTAACTCCCTACTGTCTTTTACTAAGTACTGGACCAAGTCTGCCAAATATGGCTTAAATACGACAATAGCAGTACAGGAGGCTAGGCAAAATCAATCGGATACCCCTAGCACTGCTTCAGGTCTCCAGGCCCAAGTCCATCATACTCCTTCAATATTTATAGTCAAACCAGGCCTGCAGGACCAAGTCCCCCAAAATCCACTAAAATGGGGTGGGGGATTTTGATGGAGTTGACAAGGTTAAGGCAAAAAAAAAAAAAAAACAGTTCTGCTTCTGGTTTCCCTACCTACCCTATTTTGACAGCCCCTACCCTAATTTTTTTTGTGGAAAAAATGTAAAAACAAAACACCAAAAACATCAATTTCTACCTTTTAACATCATCAAAAAAATTTGCTCAAAAAAAAAATTCCCTACCTACAGTATCTACCCTATTTTTGAATGCCATGTAATCGGAAGCAGAAGTATTTTTGGGGGGGCCTAATGAATTGATGTATTAAACAAAAAACTTCTTAAACAATTTGTGGAAATTTGTTATTTTATTCACTTAAGTGCATTTCAACAACAAAAAATAAAACAAGAATTAAATACATTTACACTGTAAATGCAAACTTTTTTTTTCTTCTTTTTATTAAAAAGAAAACAAAAACATGCGCTGCTCATATCAGGCTTCTATCCTGTGTGTACTTGGGCACTGGTTTAATAGGGTATATCAATAAAGGTATGTGGAATGTTTGCTTAATATGCAGATAAGCAATGTTTGCTCAGTCGTTGGGTGTTGATCTCCAAATAGTGAACTGCTGATAAGACACCATTTGGGTGATATCGGGGAAGTTATTGGCGTTTATTTCGCCATGATTTGCTCTTTAGGTATTCAATACGACAGTGGCACACCTGTTTTGGAATTCCACACCGCAGAAAAAAAGTTGGTTGACAAAATTCTCGTTAATTATTAAAATTGTAATAACTGAGGTTGAAAATTTAGAAATTCTTTTTAACTTGAACTCAACTCTCTGGCTGTGATGTATGTATAGGTTTTTAAAAGTATAAATTTATAACTCATAAATATGTACATTATGCACTGCTGTGTTCATATTAAGTTTTCTCTGATTATGTACTGCACGTACTTAACATCTGTTGCAACAGCATAAATGTAGCGTAATTGACCTTAACATTTCTGCTTTGTGAAGATTTATAATATGAATATATACATGTATCACCAAAACGCAAGGCTGAGGCCAGTCAATGGTGCAGGCTACAAACTAGGAAAACAGGAAAAAGATAGAAGTAAAAGTATCATAAGATATCTGCTCTCATTTTGTTTGAATTGTGAAAGATTATTGGTAGAAGGGAAGCAAAATTCAGGTAGGGAGTTCTAAAGAGAGGCAGTACGTGAATATGATGCTATTGATGGGGAAAAATGACAAATTACTGGCAGTACTAGCCTTAGGAACTACAATACTGAATGGCTTAATTATTGAGTTAATTATTAAGTTATCATTTGTTAAGGTAACAAATTAATAGGGTTGTCCCAAATATATCGAATATTCGATCATCATCCGAATATTTGAATAGTTAGCTTTTTAACAGTTTGAATATTCGGGGAAAGAAAAACTACCCATGTACATGTACACACACGATTGTGATGTTATTTTAATCATAAAGTTGTGTCGCTTTATTATAAGATGCCACTTTTTGGACGACCGTAACCTTTTTGATGACAGCAGTTCATTGTTCTCATCCTTTTAGCATGTTAAAGCCTTTGACAGTTACAAGTACTGCAAAACACTCAATAAGACCATAATATTCATCGCTAACTGCACACAAAAACTGGGGCGCATTGCGTGCAACTTGTCATCCGCTTGGCACACAGTAAACTTGATTGGCTAGGTTCTAAAATTCAGTCAAACACAGTTTCAAGTAATTGCATACTTAATTATTCGAAAGTGGACAGTCCAACTAATTGAACAAAACACAGGATTCCCGAAGAAATGTTGACATAAAATTCCATGACTTTTGTAGGACTTTCCTCGTCCGAAAATTTGGGACTCTCAATACTGTGTATGAGAGTCAGGCCTTCAGGCATTGAAAACATGAAATACAAGAATATAGCCTGGCACCTGAAACAACCAGTCCAACACCGCTTTAGTACTACATCAATCAACTGTGCTAAAAGAAACATAGCATGAACCGGGAACTAGTCTCTGTTTACTACATATTTATCCATAGTCAGCCACCAGACTACTTATGACACTGAATGAGGAGGTCAGTTTTTTCAAATAGTTGGACCATGGTTGGAAATGTATCAGTCTAGTAGTTAACCTCATTTTGAAATCACTTGACTTCCCTCTCATGTGCAAAATATTGAAGAAATGTCTCCTTTAAAAATTGAATTGAGTCTGTAAACTTGGTTGGTGAAATACTGAGGACCTTTTCTTTGCCTAATGGAATTTTTGGAGAAATTGGCTGCCTGAAAAGTGAGTAAACTTGGCCTGATTTAGTTGTACACATTTCAGAGAACTCCAGGTCCCAAACTGGGCTTTCCCCAAGACAAATTTTAAGATTTCCAAGACTTCAATCCGATGCTGTTTTGGCATCTTAAGAGCCTCTTGCTCTGGAGGTAAAGACATCCTTTCAGTCTTCAGCCTTCCAGTTTGGCACAATGAACACCACAACAGCATTACAATGGTGCATTGAACCAGCAACAAGTATTATAGAACACACAGCATAAAGAGGAAGTCTAGTAAACTGGAATGCAAACTGGAATACTGCCCAAGCCAAATAAATTACACAATGGGTTGTGCAGGACTCTATGACTTTTTACTTGGAACATCAACTTTCCATGATCCTTATAAAACAACAAACTTCCATAACTTTTCCATGGCTTTCCATGACAGCTTTGAATTCCAAGATATTCCAAGAATTTGTCCATGACCCTAGGAAGCCTAAAACACTACATGACCATACAACATAAAGGAATGAAAAAGTTCAGATTTTGTAAACCTAACCCACTAGTAGTTTCTCAGGACTACCCTGCTAAATCCAACAGAGTCCAACCGGACTTTCCTGCTCTATGCCTTATTTTCAGTTGTCTGGTGAATCCAACGGAGTCCAACTTGGCATTATAATACGGTTCAGTTGCCTGCTGAATCCATCATTTTGCATCAGGAATGTACATGTAGGCCTACCTAGCTAGGGGTTTACTGCTCAATCCAACAGGCTCCATCGGGTATATGATATAGTTGGATCCTATTGGATTCAGCAGGTTTAGGGCTGGGTGGGAAAAAAGGGTGACATCGAATCATCCATGTGTTTCACGATAATTTATTAGGCAGATTTCTTGACCATTCAAACGATACAAGAAGTACCAGTACCATTACAATGCGATGGAATGAAAAATTTCACTCCGGTAAATTGTTCTTCACAAAAACTATTAAACTTGAAAATCAATATGTTTTGGAAGAGCATACAGGCAAAGTCCAGCCTTTATAACATAAATGCCAAAAAAGGAATACTGTTGAATTCTTTAGGGACTAAATAAGAGGTGAATTATTGAGGATTTAAGGAAGTTTCAAGCAAAGACACTAGAATTTAGCATTAGGTCTTGGTTTTTCTGTTAGAACCCCGAATTTAAAGTGGTTAACTGCTGCATGCAAATGGCTCCAGATTAAAATCCAAATATAGCGGGAAGCGTAACAATCCACAAACAAAAGCAGGAACTCCAAGAAGGCCAAACGTCAATACCCTGGGAGTGGGGAGGGACTACACCTGCGTGCATGTAACTGTCTTTTATTGATTTGGCAGAGGAATTAGATGTTAGCCTACAAGTTGCTGCAGGATTTCAAGATCAGGAAATCAATACTTTGATCAATACTTTCTTTTGGGCTGTGGTGTGAAGGAGCAGAAAGTAAACATTGAAGATGAACTGAGAATCATGTTGAATTATGCAAGGTCAAGCATGCAAAAATGTTTTTAAACTATATAATTACTGAAATTTAAAGGTAAGGCTAAACATGTGTTAAAGAGCTTGTAGAAGCCAAAACTGTTCAAAGCGAATCTAGCACACACGCATTCAAAGCAACTTTTGAGAGATAAAAAGTCTGACTGGAATGACAACTAGCTCCATTCTTGAGGAAAAAAAATGTTGTACCTCGATTATTAAACTACAGTCCATCATTTGCAGCTATCTGAAAAGTAACTGACGTAATTATTGTTGAAAACCATACTTGGTTGAAAGATAGTAAGGGACTAAACTCCCTGTGAAGTTTCTGGCAAGCTGTCATTTTGAAGAAATCAACGAAAGAAGGCCTTTCCAACGGTGCGTCTTAAGACGCACCGTTGAAATTTCCGTTAGTAGTTCGTTTTTTTATTCGGCATAGCGTGCGCAAGCATTGGCACGATGCACACGCGGTTGCTATAATTTGTCGGATCGGTGCACGACATCGCATAGCTGCAGTCAGCTAAGTAAGAACGTGTCTCGGACGCTGAATTCAGGCCCACTTCAAACTTGATTCAGCAACTTTTGTTTTGAAAACGAGATCCAAGAATGCTGAAGCTTCATCAGGTTAGTTGTTAAGCACCCTTCTTTAGATTTTGTGCACTTTTGTTGCTTCAAACGAACAAAATGCACAAATTACAAATGATGGACTATACCTTAAATTCATGCAATGATTAAGTTTTAAATTAAATTGAAGCTATAAGTTTTCAAGGCAAAACACGGAAAGAATTCATTATCCAGATGCCACTTCAGTGGTTGTGCAACGTCAATGGAGAGTCAAGACCATTTTCAAAGTATTTTTAACAAAATTACAAATGTTTCTCAGTCTTAGATCCATGTCATTTTCAACATTTTGCAATGACTGACCTTCACTGAGCTTATTACGCAAAAAAAGTGGCGTCTGGATGCAACATACTTTCTCAAAAGATACTTATCAGGACAAGTACATAATTATTAAATTATTTTTGCAAGCATACCCAAACAGCTAGGGCAAATTCCAGTCAAGGCTCTTCAAAACTCAGTGAAATTAATAAAAACGTCTGTGTACCAGTACAATGTACAATGTTTACTTAATCTCTGGTTCTTTGTTAATTATTAGAAAAATGCATTTGACACCTTGTAAGTGTATCAGTCCAGCCTCATACTGAAAAGCAATTAAGTTTATGGAATGTCGTTGACCATTATTGCAAGCCTACCTGCACATTTTATTTGCAAATATGCAAATGATTCAGGCCACACAATGAAACTTCTACGAAATAATAAACTGACATATGTAATTCAGCTGCGCAGTAGAAACAAAATTCGATATGAAAAACCATTGAACCATGCTGTGTTTATTTTACACATTGACACTTTGCAATATTGTCGTTACAGCTGTCGGAAAAGCATATGAAACGACACGTACGTTGAAATTAGCTGAAAGTTAAGCCAAATTAAGAACTATTTACTTTTCATCAACACAACTGCAGTCGTAACGTACTGTTCAAGTGTATGTTAGCGTGGTTTTAATAAATAAAACATTTTATTTTTAGTCCCCCCCACCCAAAAAAAAACACTGCAGTATCGCGCTGCCTTATTTTGTTATATGTTTGGGGGAAAAATAGGGGCCGGCCATCAATAGTTGTGAGAAGTTTGTATTTTTAATACAATTCTAGGAATTAATATGGTATTCTTGGCCAACTCAGTGGTGTTTTTGTACAACTAGGAAAGTGGGTATTTAATATGTATTTTCTAACAAATGTGTGGAAGTTTCTGTGTCCAAAATGCATTTTTTTTCGCAATAATTTATTTCCAAACACTAATCATCACTGGGATTAAATAATTTATATAATTCTGCCAAACTTTTATCAACCCCCCCCCCCCCACCCCAAAGAAAAAATCAAAAAAGAAAAGATTCCCATATCTGGCCATCACTTGTCACCCTGTGCACAAACAGTATGATAATGGTCTGAAAGTGTCTAAGTGTTTTCTTAGTAAATACTTCAATATTTTTCCAGCTAAGTTTTTGACTTTTTAGGACATATCATCACTTTTTGATTAGTGATGGCCAGATATTGGATTCTTAAAAAAAAATGTGTTCAGTTGTTCATTTATCACTATCCGCACTTTGTCGTCTTTCATTCATTTATTGTCAACTTTTAACCACTGCAAGAAAACAACTTACGAGCAGAGAAACCCACTTTTAACATAACATAAAACAGGATTACATGGTCTGAGGTACAATAAGTCATGAAACATCTAAATGAAAATGTCGGTATTTATCACTATAGCGAAAGACTGCACCGACGTACACAACAACCGTATAACCACAGCAAACATCGTGTCGCCTTCAATGCACGGCCCACCGGACACGACGGAAATACTTGTCAAAATCATTTCCTGACTCCTCAAAACCCAACAACTTTTGCAACCACTTACCTCGAAAAGAAATCTTGGCAACCCGTTCTGCCCTTGCCCGAAATCCCTGGGCACTTTTGAGCTGAAAGTGTAGCGACATTCCTGCAAGATTTCAGCCTCAATTCCGGCCGGAAAGTAGTTGAGGAAAAGTTTCCGAGAGCACGTCAGCCGGCCATTTTAACTGCGTCAATGGTCTGTGTTGTGTGTACAAAACACGCATACCCATGTACAATCGACCTGCAAATAAAAGCAGACGACACTTGTTGCGTGTGTACTGAAGCGTGAAACATAAATTGTATACATGATACATGGCCAGCTTTACATAACACAAATTTCGAGGTTAAACTCGGTGCTGACATAAATAATGTCTTTTAAAATGGCTGTTTATGGCTAAAGTTTAATCCAAATCGGAATTTATTGTCATCCGTTATCGGATCTTATACACTTTATATTTCGATACAATGTTAATCGATCAAATCGAGAGAGTTATTGCCATCATGAAATCGTTGCAATTCCATTCTAATAAAAACTTCAAAGAGTACATTATAGACGCTTTTTTTTAAAATACAATTTGACACATTTGACGCAGAAGAATACGAAGACAGAGAAAGAAACTGAACAGCAATAATCTTTTTGGGCGCCTCAGATCGAGTCAATCACTAAATAAATTTGAACAGCGCTTTAATTGTTTTTTTGTTCAGTGCACCGTACCACCTGCTGAACGCGATTATAAAAGTGAGGGCGCTCTTCAGTTCCACCGGTACGGATTTTCTTGTGTTATTTACGCCGATCACGTTTACATCTTTTGGCCCACGTCACCCTTCTGGAAAATTGTATTGTTTGTTTGTGTACAAAATGCCATTTTTTTCTGCGGCAAGTTTCGTGTAAAAAAAATTCTAGCTTCGACGGTTCTTTTTTTTCACGAATATTTTAAGAGGGCGGACATTGTTTTTTTTCTCTCCTCGCCCCGCCCCTCCTCCGGTTGTGGAAATAATGGAAATTTACATATCTCCCCTCCTATTGGTTAAATCTTGGACACCTCTTGAATAATTAATTATTCATGAACTTTCTCTTGCAGTGAGAAAAGTGAAGTCAGGATACCGTATACGGCGTGCAAATGGATGGAAAGTAGAATCAATTTTCTTTTTATAATGTTTTATTCATTATTTTGTTTTGTTTATACATTGTAGCCACTAGGCTTAAAGTTAGACTTAAGACAGAACGGCAATGGCAAAGTGTTAAAAATAGTGCTTAGCTTTTTAAAGACGTTTTACGTTTTTCACATGTTTAGTCTGAGACAAGTTTAGGATTTTGCACAGTATGATATAGCCTGATAGTGCCATTTAATAATAACTTATGAAAAAAAGTCAAATACATATTTTAATGTTCGCATTCGTAAACAGATCATAATGAAAGTGTGAAAAACTGTGCATTCAGCCTGTCATTTGACTTCAACCAATTACTTCATTTTTATATACTTTTATAATGTATACTTGATGGTACTAATTGGCTTTCGTACGTGCCTAAACGTGTCAGGGAGATTCGTAAATCTAAATGTCGTGGATTCAAACAAGTGGATATCTTGAAAAAAGGTGGGTTGTTTTCCCAAAACTTGCCACGCGTCTCTTGAAAAAAAAATGAATTGACTCTCTTTAATATGTTTAATTATTGGCTCAGTACGCTATATGTGACAAGTGTACATAATAGTTGCCTTGTGTAAGTCGAGTTTAAGACAGCCCTTTAATACTTTTGTGTTCAACACTTTTGTGTTCAACACTTTTGTTTAGCGACCTCGGCTAGTCGGCCTTGTTAAATTATTTGCGTGGAATTCGTCATACCACGAAGTCATCATAGTACGAAGACCGGACAAGCATTAATGTTTTGTCATCGTCTTGCAGGTAATGCTATTTGATTTATTTCCGTATTTCTTATGTAACTTTACTTTAATAACTTTAGTTTAGATATGCCATTTTCAAGATATATATATCATTACTTTGTTTGATGTAACCGGAACAAATGCAGATGCGCCCAAGTATATTTTCCCTTCGATCGTCTTACAGAAATTGAATAAAATCAGAAAGCAAATTTCCGTTTCCTCAATATAATTGCCCGTTTTAAAACAACTCGTCACATTTGGCCGGGTCACAAGTCGATCAAAGGTTGTAACAGAATCGTTTCCAAATTTCTTATCATTTTGTCACATGCTAACCGGCTACCGTGTACCACGAAGGCAGGGTGACCGTTTTAGCCGATATTCGGCTAACTTTGACAGAATTTTTGTTAAAAAAACGAGTTTGACAGAAAATTTGACAGAATGGATTTTTTTTGGGCAGATTTCTGGCAGAATTCTGCAAAAAATGGTTATTTGACAGAAAAAACAGCAAATTTGAACAAAAAAGTGTACATTTGTTTAAAAAAGCTTCAATCCTTGCAAACAAACCCTTGCATAATGGACAGGTTGGCTGGTCTAGGTGCTGAGGTTCACTGGGAAACGGACTTGATCGTCCGCGTTTTGCCCAATATTTACCAATAATTTCACAACATCTAGACTAGATTGTTTTTGTAATTTGAATCTTAGTTAAGGCAATACTTCCAATCTGCATGTGATGTTTTTATAGTATATTTCGAGTAATTCTGGGGAATTTGGCAGATTTTTTGATAAATCTGACAGATTTTTGATGTGCATTTAGCAGAATTTGGCTCTGACCTTACTGCACGAAGGCTACACTGTACAAAGTGCATAGTTCAGTAGACACAATTCTTTTCCTTTCGTCTTTTCTAGTTAGCGACTCGAGTGTTTTGTTGTCAAAATGGCTACCCACAAAACTGCTGATGCGTACCCGGCTACGGGGATGGAAGTAAACAAGGTATATAGTCTTTATTCAGTCTTTCAGAGATCAAAATAATACATAGGCCTATGCAAGGCCCAATGCGTAATGATTCAATTTGTGCTTCATTTTCAGTTCGAGTACTAGGCCTAAATGCCTATGTGGAATTATGGTCATGCGTATTATATTTAGCGGAAGGTAAAATTAGCGTAGTAAATGTGAGTCATAAGTGACGAAGCTTTGTTGTATACAGGCAAGAATAAGTAAAGCAGGATAATCCCGGCCCAGACCTAGATCGGGCCTGGGCAAAATGCATTTCGCGCATGAGCCTTGGAGCCAGCCTAGAGAGAAGCCTGTACCATACAGGCGCAATTTAGCGAAGAATCTGCGCCGCAGCTGATATTTTTGTTTTACCACCAACGCTTTTTGCAAAAAGGGAATTCATTAAATTCGTGTTCATGTACCCTTAACGAGACATGTAAGTTACACCTTCAGGGGAGATACCGGGCGCGTATTCTTTTCCTAGGAGGGTTAGGGGCAATGTCATGAATAATTCAGTTTTTCCTTTGAATCATTGCAAGACTTAGGTTCTCGTTCTATTTTCCCCTTAATTTAAAATTATCTCAGTGATAAATTTGGAGAAGAAAAATAGCTGATGAAAATGATCAGCGACGACGTGGATTCGAACCAGGGATCTTTGTAAGCTCATCTCGCTATCCACTAGGCTACTGTGTGGTAGCTCGACGACAACCGTTCTTTAAAATGCTTTAATGTATTGTAACAAGTTGAGTAACTAGCAACAATGCTGTTGATGTCATTGTCCGTTCTCATAATTTTCCCATCGAAACTACTGAATTATTCATGACATTGCCCCTAACCCTCCTAGGACTAAAAATTACGCATACCGGGCATTAGGGAGACATTTCAATGTCACAGCTCCTATTGAGCGGCAAAATAGGCTAGCCTCGATTGCTCGTGGTCCAAAACATAAATACAATCCAACACCTTTATAACAAGGTCCTTTGGACTTTACAAAAAAAAACCCGGAACAATTGGGGTTAGGGCCATTAAAGTTGGGGGGGGGGGGAAATTGTGCGTAACCATGTGGGAATGTCTCCCAGTCCCAAGGTACCATTTCCCGTAATAATAATAACTATAATAACCTTCGCCCACAATAACACACAGCTATAGCTATATACAGATTAAAAAAACTAGCGGCTCAGTGATGCGACAACTTGAAACCGTTAACATCGCAACCTGTCTCGCACCATAATTGTACCAGATCGATAGCCGTTTTCCATCTAATTTGCATAAGTTAGGCACAAGACAATATTAAGAGTGAAAATCACTCAAATTTTGGACTGAAATACTGAAAAAGATTACGTTAACACCTGTGAAAACTCGAATGAGAACTCGATCTCATTGCTTGCCAATGATTACTCTAATTAGTGAGTTTTCCGACACTCGAGCAGAGTTAATTTTAACGATAAAGGAAGTTCCCAAAATTCAAGGCAAAATATTATTTTTTTTTCCTTTCGATCTCTCAGGCTCCCGAGAGAGGCAGCATGGCCGGTAGCATCCGAATGCTGGTTGTCATAACAACCAGCATTCTGGTGGTTGTAATTGCCGCCAAAAACTCTCTGACGTGGCTCCTGGACCAGTTTCTCTTGGCGAGTGGATGCTTTTGGACCAGACAGTACGAGGTCATCTACAACCTGTTTGGCGGGAACGAGTTCTTAATCCTTTCATTAGGTTTGAATTTTTCTTTTTGTTTACCATCAACTAGAACGCCCTGTCATTCATACATATTCATAGTGTCCATGGCTTCCACTTACATGCATATTCATAGTGTCCGGCTTTGAGATTGACCAATCAGAAGATGGGAAACCAGAATAGGAAACGTTGATGAGTATAACACTGACAAGTTTTTATTTATACCACGACAGGGACCTTGCTGGTGTCAACTGTGGTGTACTGGACACTCGCCTCCGGATGCTTGTTTGTCGATGCAACAGGGAAGCCATCTTGGATTCACAAATACAAGATACAGCAGGACAAGAACATACCGGTAACAATGATTCTTGCCTTATTTTCACCGATCCAGTAATCACCAATTGATTCGTACATTGAATGTGGATGATTACCATGAATGAACCGATTCATGAAACCCCGCCCTAATGATGTTTTCACCAATCACAGCCTGGCTTAATATCGCCTGCGTGCCAACTCCAACACGCGCATGCGTACACGTGCGCGCGTACGACGCGCGCAACTGGTGGGCGCGATGTCAACTTGGAGCTGACGAGCATACGTGCTGGTTTCCCCACGTACGAGCTCAGTGGGCAGGGCTTATGATCGGCCTTTTACATTGGTTGTTTGGTTGACAGTGGTACATTCGTACTTTTGTAGTTATGAACGTTTCTCTATGCACATTTTGGAGGGACTACTTTGTTTTTACTCAGATCTCACACAAACCAAGCAATGTCTTCACACTGTGTTCGCCATAATCTCCCAAAAAGGCAAAAATGGGTTAATATCATACCACTGAGTGGGACAAACACCAATATTAAAGAACCTAAAGGTAGAATAATTAAACCGCCTGTGATTTTGGGTAAACAGGTGGATCCTGCACTGCTCCGGCAGGCTGTGACCGGGACCCTCTTCAATCAGTTCGCAGTGGGTCTCCCGTTCCTCCTGGTGTGTGCCTGGCTGAGTAGAATGCGCGGATGCAGCGCTTCTACACGCTTGCCTGAATTCCACTCCGTGTTGCTGGAGATGTTGGTGTTTCTGGCGGTGGAGGAGATTGGTTTCTACTATTTACATCGGTAAAAGAGAACATGCTTTCTTTTCTTCATTGAAAAAAAATCCTTGGGAACATTCAATTACAAATGTCATGAGTACATAAGCTTTACCATCCCTTAGCCTACACATCATATCAAGACTATTCTTTTGTTGTTTACAAACATGAAATGTATTCCTTAAAAGACAAATGTACTGAAACTTGGTGCACTTGTAAAAACATCGATGGTTATACTCAATTTGTAGTTTGACTAGCATTATTAATTATATCGTCATTAGATTCACGTTTATCTTGACATTTAAGCGTAACATTTTACGGCACCCATTTCGTTTGATTCTACACTTTCGAGAACGGTAAACGTCCAAAGTTCTGTTGAAAAACTCATTTAGGCTTGGCACGAACAAAATGGTGGTGATATATAAAACAAATGCACATGTGTCAGATGTGCACAAGCAGGCTCTTTCAGTAATGCAACCATACTGCATTTTTATGACTGAAGATTTGCGTGACTTCCATTTTTCAAAGTCACATTGGCAACGCAACCCACACTTCAAAAAGTGTGGTGTTAAAATTTACACCAGTTTTTGCAGTGCCTAATCTCTTTTTGAACATCTGCCCTATTTTTCAGGTTGTTTCATCACAGTTTCTTCTACAAGCGATTCCACAAGCGCCACCATGAGTACACAGCGCCGTTCGCCGTGTCCAACTTCGACGTGCACTGGTTGGAGCACGCGGTGGCGAACCTAGCACCCATGGCCGCCGGTCCGCTGATTGCGGGCTCTCATGTGGCCACTACCTGGTTCTGGCTGACTATTGGTACGTTCTCTAGCCTCCTGGCCCACTCTGGGTATCACCTGCCATTCCTACCGTCGACCGAGGCTCATGACTTTCACCATCTCAAGTAAGTAATTGTTACTTCTAATTTCTGGTAATGAAACCAAGGATTCCTCAAAAATGCCCTAGGCACTGTAGCACACAAGCCTGAAGAAACCTGTCATCATCATCAGAAGACACTGAGAACAACGTACAGTTTTAGAGGTGGGAGGAAAACCCCAAAAGAATATTCTGGGGAAACCCACAGAATCAGGTAGGGACTGAAAGCCAATCCACATGTGGACCAGGGCAGGAATTGAACCCGGGCCGTAGAGGTGAAAGGCGAGGAAATTAACCTTGCCAACCAGTGAAGCTATTTTTTTTTAGAAGTCTATACACCAAAATTAGTTGGTCTCGCTCCGAAATCTGATTTAATAAAAAATTAGATCTTCAAAAGAATTGTGTTCCAATTCTTAGCGGATGATTTCGATGATCTATGCTTGACATCAGGATTAGGACATACATTTCTTCATTTAAAATTATTTGGATAATTTCTACTATTTGTAATAAGAGTGACTATTGAAATAAAATCAAGCCATTCACACATGTACAATTAACAGAGTTTAAGTTTGGAGTTGATTTCAATGTCAGAGAATTTCTGTTTCAGATTCGTGAATAATTTCGGAGCCTTGGGCATTCTGGATCGCCTACACGGCACGGACGCCATCTTCAGACAGTCACAGAACTTCCAACGTGACGTGTTGCTGACTGGATTCACTCCAGCTTCTGAACTGGGTACAGCCAAAGGCAACTAACTTGGAACAAGTTGAACAGTGTAAAATTATGGAAGAGGAGGTACTGCACAGCGTAGCCTTGACCAAGGCTATCAGCTTGTTCCCATATGAGCTTGTTCCCGCTACCGCACACGGTGCGCCCAGCAACACAATGTTGTACTACACCGTTAGCCCCAACGACCCTTGCGTGTGCTTTGTGTGCATGTACGTACGCCCCACACTCACTTCCGCAAACAGCCGTACAGTAAGTCGAGGCAGAAGATAGCCTTGACGCAACCGTGTATGCTGAATATGATAATTAGTTCGCGCTATGGTAAATAGTCTTCTCTCATTGGATAACGGCTGACAAAAATATGAATATTTATTAAATTGCATAATACGACCAAAGGTTTATAAACCAGACGGCCTGTGGTAACAATAATTATTGTAAAACACCCCTTTAAAATCTTAAATAATAGTAGAATAATATTTTTAAAGTTACACATAGTTTGGGTCGAAAATGAAATGAAAAGGATGAAAAATTTGACCTTCAAAAAACGGCAAACGGTACAAAACCGCACGCCGGCAAAAACGATGTCACCATGCACAGAGGCCACCGTGACGTTGGGGCCGTCCACTGTAGGCACCGGCCCGGCTGGCGCCATGCAGTGAGACACGCTGCGCTTTCACGTTCAGCGGCCAAAAAAGCGCTCACACTATTGAGTATGTATCTACCGCTGACTTTTTTTTGGGGGGGGGGGTATCTCTCCTTCAGAAAACTTATTCTGTAAGACTGATTTTAACTTGTATGAACAACTTATAAGTTATATGTCGTATGTACGACTAATATATCGACAGGGTACGACATATTTCGACAGGGTACGACTAATATCATCGACAGGTTACGACATATATGTCGACAGGGTATGACATATCAAACATATGACATAATGTCGACAGGTGCCGGTACGACATATATGTCGTGCATAAGTCGAGTCGACAGGGTACGATATATGTCGCATACGACAAAGTCGTATATATAAGTACGACTTAATATCTCTTGTGTTCAAAATATGAATTGTAACTCGTATGTTCGACTTGTTTGTCGATTATGTCGTACATACAACATATCTTGTGAGAACGACTTGTATCTCGTGCGATTTACATCTACGACTTACATGTCGTATGTATGTCGTAGGTACGACATACGATTCATACGTACGCGTTAAAATACATGTGTCGTACGTATGAGATGTACATGAATGGATGAATGTTGCACATGGTACGAATTCAGGGAGAGTTTTTTTTTCACCATGTACCTGACAGTTTCGTATATTTCCATCTCAAAGTCAATAGCTCGTTTCTTGCACTTAATTCATACGGGTGCTTATTGATACGAGTTAACCTGCATTCGATTAAATGGGTACGATTTGACCTGGGTCCGAGTTGACCTGTTCCCTACATTCGCTGTCAGAATAGCACGGGCAGGTAGCGGCGTGATAATGTACGCTGTTGCACCGACAAAACGTCGGCGGACTGTCTTGAACTGTCCAATTCGCAATACATTGGAAATATATCATTTTGAACAATTGTTCACTCATATAGCGGCATATTTTATTTGTTTGTAATAAAACTGGAGAAATGGTTTAAAATGGGACCAGTAATTTGCGGGTCATGAATATGTATATCGCGGGTCAAAGTTTACGGGCTTTGATTGGATATCGTGTAATATATGCACATCAGACATTTTCGGCCGATTTCGGTCGAAACTATAAAGAAACACATAAGAATTCGCCACGGTTGCGTCAAGGCTATCTTCCGCCTCGACTTGCTGTACGTACGGCTGTTTGCGGAAGTGTGTGTGGGGCGTACGTACATGCACACAAAGCACACGCAAGGGTCGTTGAGGCTAACGGTATAGTACAACTAGTGATTGTGTCGCGGCGCGCGCGGTGTGCGGTAGCGGGAACAAGTTCGTATGGGAACAGCTGATAGCCTTGGTCAAGGCTATGCACAGCGAGGAGTCGTAAAAAAAAGAAATTATACTTAGCTTTGAACCCAATGCAGAAGTTGCGCGTGCCGAGTTTTCACAAATTGATCGTCCTTCTGTTTGTCAATTTTTTTCATTGTTAAATGTACAGTGGAATTCACGTAACAAAGTGCAACCTCGTTCCCATGGATACGATGCCGCACCATGTTGGTTCCCATCATGCCTTGCGTGATCTTAACCTTATTGGTTAAGAATTGGTTAGTGAAGGAATGCGCACGCGCCCATGGGGTCGAGGCTGAACGAAGTGAGATGGGTCGCCTGCCAGATTTCACCTCCAAGTTTGATTTCAACAGCGCATACGTGCATATAAATATAAACTGTAGTATTATTAGGGTAAAACAAAAGAATCCGCTATGTATAGTAAAGTTAGTGCGAAATCGTATTAGTTATCAACGAAATTAACCGGTAAAGATCTTCTAGAAATACTAATGAAGTTTTCAAAAGAGTTTGAAAACACATTTCTGCCTTCTTTTTGACCGCATAAAATATTGCAGAATGCGGAAAGGAAGACCGATTCTCCACACACTTTATGCTTTTATTTAACTGATTTAAATATGAGCAAGATTGTAATTCATCTCGTAGTTAAAAAATAAAGCCGACGCCGTTAACTTCCGATTTGCATGTTGTCAGTTTGTCTTGAGAGTTTAGTAGCTGTTGTGTTTTTTTTTTTGGGGGGGGGAGGGGGGTTAGTTAAAATGAAGGTTCCAACGCTGAAAAAAAAATAGGTTCAATTCAAAATTAGGTCTAATTACAGAGAAATCCTGAATAAATAAGACACCAAAGGTTCTCTACTTTGCAATGGAGTGGTTGGACTTTTTTCTTTTTATGGCGATGGGCTTTAGACTACCTTTATAAGGATTGTAATCTTTTGTGGAAGTGTAAAATACCCAAAAATTCATTTGATAAAATTTCCCAGAAAAGGTAAGTGAATTTTATCAAGTTCTAATTTGATCTGTGTCTTGAACACCATTGTACCTAGGGGAGTTAAATTTTCTCAGTTTTGGAAATTATGGTATTTGTCTGTCGTGTGTTTTTTTTGGTATCGTCAAAGATCTAAGATTCCAGCGGCTTCATTTGTAGACCTTGTAAATCATTGCATAAATAATATACAAAGATTATCAAATTGTTTTTAAACTAAAACTCTGGCCGCTAAGCAAATTTTGTCATGACTACAAAGCAAAACAAAAGTGAACAACTTTTTTGCTGAATGAATTTCATAACATTATTTATTTCACTGCATACTCAGGTGTGGTGTCTAAGGATTCGGCGACTGTACAATTTGATTCCACTAATTTAAAAAACAAATTTTGAAACATGCTAGCCGACAACATATAGAAAGCAGCAAGCAATACTGCAGTAGAAAAAACAACTAAGAAATAACTACGAAAAGCTCAGAAAAATAAGAAAAACGTATAATAAAAAAACTACGAAAAGCTTAGAAAAACTACGAATTAAACTTATAATAAACACTACGAAAGCTTAAAAAAACTACGAATTAAATTTGCAATAAGAAAAATTCTAAAGGCTTAGAAAATGACGAATTAAACTTATAGTAAAAAAACTACGAAAAACTACCTGGCAGGCATGAACCCCCAATTATGGGACAAGCCTGTCTTTAGCCTGTAAAACAGATGAAGCGATTTATCATTCACCATAATTCTTTATCAATGTCCAATATTTCCATTTAACCAGCCAAAAAACTATAATAAGGTGTACATGTACATACATTTTAAATTTACTAGCAAGCAATATCGAACAGTAACATTTCTAATTTAGATACTAATTAGAGAGGAAACAATGTTTTAAACATGTATTTATACAAGAAGTTTAGGGAGATTGCATACCTTTATAAGCCATTCGCCTGACGTTGGTCATCCATTGTTTCGTCCTTTATACAGAGCTGTTGTACATGTACTTTTAGCAAACCGAGCCACACTCAACTGGCGACCACATTACAAGCAAATTCGGAACAGAAGTAGAGCAGGGACCCAACGCAAGAAGGAATGACGATGTTCATTCCTTAGCAGGGCCTTTTATACTTATTTTACGGTTGAGTGTGACTGGCACAAATAAAAGAATGTCCCTTTAACAAAGAACATGCCTCCACTGCTGCCAGTTGTTACAATGAATCAATTTGGCGATGAACGCTAACATTTCTACTGGTTACATTTAGTATAATGTCATCCAATTTAAACCAAAAATTATTCAGTTAAAGAATATAAGTTTTAGAGGAAATAAATCTATGAAGAACAAAATGAAAACACTGCGATGACTCTAATGATTACTGATCGCCCGTCGTTTTGATCATTATACACTATAACTGTATTTTAATGATTTTTGGAAGTGAGGAAGTAGAATCTAAATAATATAAGTTTGTTTACTGCTCTGCAAGAATACGAGCGGTCATGCTTTTCCAGATGCATGATGGGATACATCCATTAGTTTTCCATTAGCTTTTTTTTGTTAACACTTTGAAAGCAACAAACAGCTGTACTATAGTGGAAATTGAATTTGTGTCCTAACTTCTAACTTAAATTTGAGTCTTTCAATGATAATAAAGATCTTAAATCTAAAAATCTATCTAAAATCTATCTTAAATCTAAACATCGCTAGGGAAGTTTTACATGCACTGATTATAAGATTAACAATCAACTATCCTTCCTTTTAAAAAAAAACCCAACTAACTCTGAATGCCCAGTACAGGATACTGCGCTGACTGTGATAGACTGTCTATAGTGCCCAATGCGTGTACCAGAAATTATTCTGCTCTTAATATCTTCGAGGAGTACAAATCATGTTAAGTAGACAAACTATTTACAAGAAATCCGGTTGTCAGGGATATTTCCAAGTCGTCAACGTGAAATGAGAATCAACAGCACGAAGCTATTATAGTGAATATATCATGGGCAAAATAAAAACCGTTTATACACAAAATTGTCACAGTATTTGGGTTTGGCTTGTGACCAGAACGGGTCATGACTGACTTTGATGGTATCAAATTAAAAGGGAGAAACAAGGCCTTATCTATTGAGCGATGTGTCATGTGAAAAGGAATATGATTGATTGTCTTTTTATTAAAACATCTTTTTGACAGTTTGTGTTTACATGCAAAATACAACTGTGTTACAAGTAATCGCAAGACGATTCGACAGTAACTGTAGTCTTAATCACTTTCGCTACTGGAATGTGACTTCCTCGAGCTTGTGCCGGGCTTCAAAAATGGTTGCCCTGTTTCGGTTTCGGGTTCGGGTGCGTTGGCCATGGCTACATCACCAGCACCAGGAACAGGCTCATCTATTTCCTGATCCTATAGTAAAAAGAATACAATTAGACACATGGTTAAATACACGACTACAGAATTGGTACGATGGACCTGGTTTTGTATGCACAAAGTTCATTCACGACTGTGTGTCACGTTTTTTGTAAAAGGCCAAAGGAGTGATCTGTTATACGGTACCCTGTGGAGCCATAAGGAACAACAGACTGTGTACGTCTCCACAGGGCAGTTCCTATTGGAAAATACGTCTCCAGAAGGTTACTACGAAATGTATGTATTCACTCAAAAACTAGGAATTTCTAAGGTGTGTTGATCCGTCGCAAATTGAAGCATTTTATGCATATCAAGTCCGAATTTCAGCTCAATATTCCTCCATGGTTAAATGGAAAAACATGGACCCTTCAGGCATATAATATCCCGCTATCTAATGATTCATCTACGTTTATAGAAACCATAAAACTAGGAGGTAAACTGAAGAATAAATCGAAATCTTCATACTGCGAAATCTTTAGTATATTGTGCTAATTAAGGCTTTTTCTGCTTACTTAATTATAATACGGTAAAGCATGGTTTGGATGACTTTCAGTCGACACGAAATATGCGGCCCTGTTTATGTGTCACTATGCAGCTACAACATGACACGAAAAGTAAAAACTAAAGAGGAATGATGCATACCTGATTTTCTGGTTCACTATGTACACGGAGTGCGAAACGGCCCTCATACTGTAGTAAAGAAAGCAAAGAAATTAATTAATGACTAAAGGTCTATGTCTTTTCGATGAACAGAACGTAAGGGTCCTCCGCGTTATCATTATTTTAGGAGTTCCTGCTTTAGTGTGGAGGTGTAGTCATGCAAATGATCAAGCTCATGTACCAACAAACTTCAAAGTGCATATTTTGTCAGATCTGTTGGTACAACAAATGTACAAAGTTATCTGTTTTAAAATGAGGTCAAGACATCAGCGTGACGTCATTTAGATTTGTTTTTACTCGTAACATTATTTATTTACACCAAGTTTTATGATGATCAGGCCTACCTTTATAATGTGGTAAAAAAATCATAGGTTAATGACGTCATAGTGACGTCACAAGTTTGTACTTTTTTGCGCTAACAGCTATGACCTAACAAACCTATTTTAAAAAAAATCGAATTAAGCATACAGCTGCCTTTCCATATGCGCGTTTGAAGTCCGTTTTTTTGTCCGTTGCGTATTGATGCCCATACAACAAACAAAAACGGACTGAAAACGCGCGTATGGAAAATAGTGAGATTTGGCGATACTCTTAAAACTATATATAAAAATCGCATGATCACGTCATCATGAAGTTATTTTAATTTTCGTCTATGACGCATCCTTGTCTATGATTATACAACGTTTTAATCCAATCAAATGTAGTTCTCTGTATATGCGACCTAATCCACCTTTAAAATGGCGTCACATGAAACTTGATGACGTCACATGACGTCACTTGTAAATGCACACATGTACAATGAGGTCTTAGTTTGTGTTAAGTTTGTCTGAACATGTAGAATGGAATCTTTAAAATTCAAATTCTCATTAAAATGACGTCATCATGACGTCACTTCGGTTTTCGATTAAAAAAATAACATTAACTGACTACCCACCAAGTTTAATGACATTCCGACATGTGTTTGAAAAAAATTAGCATTTTTGATGTCATATCATGATGTCACACACGTCTTGTCAAGGTTTTGTGAAAATATCTATGGCCTTACAAACCTATTAAAGAAAGAGTTTTGAACTTAGCCTATCCCGTTCGTGAGACGTATACTTCAAAATGTCAAAAATGCATGATGACGTCATTATGACGTCACCTCAATTTTCATCTTCATCCCGTAATGTGTACATGTACATATATTTTAACCCGATCGGCCTGGTAGTTCTGTAGATATAGGCCATTGAAAAATTGACCTTTAAGATGGTCACACGTGGACTATGCCTGTGCTTACTTTGAATGATGTACGACAAAGCTGAATGTTAAGACTTGAATAGATTGTATTAATTTGTTGCTTTTTGGGGTGTTTTGATTTTGTTTAATATTTGTTTCTTGATATTTCGTTTAATTCATACCAAGTTGAGTGTTTATTTGTTTACTTTTCAATTTACATTTTAATTGATTTTTTTTCTTGTTTATTTGGTTTAATTGTATAACTGAATTAAAATTTCCTTCCAATTATTCCCTAGTTTTCCCAGTATTTTCTTCAGATTTGTATTGCTTGTTAGGGTGACAAACGGCCCAAAACGTTACTTCCGGAGCAGCCTTTTGTTGCGCGCGTTATACCTACTACCTTTTCTTAAAGAAATGTGAAAGTTTGCATTTCGAAAGAATCTAAATATGAGAAAATACGTCTCACTCAGTTAATAAGGCCTTGGTGAAATTGGTGTATACCTTTTTTGGTTGGCGCTTTCGTAAGAGCAGTAGCCTCAAATAGCCGTCATACTGTAGCAAAGAAAGCAAAGAAATTGACATTCCTTATTAACGGGACCCTACTCATACAGACTTGAACTACATGTATAGTAGGCGGTATAGAGGAGACTTCATTGAGACAAAATGAATGAGGGTACTGGCAAGGGTGGGTCTGGGGGACCAACAGGGGCCATGCCCCCCCCCCAAAGAAAACACAACCATTTTTTTGTTAAAAGTGATGTCGCAATATTATAAAGGCAGGCACTGCGTTCACCACCATCTTTTCCTCAAACACATTTGGTTAAAGGGAATGTGCAACATTTGCTTTTGCTGCACTTTTTCGGGAAAATATTGATTTGGAGGATTAATATGTTATAGCAAATATTCAGTGTTCAACTGACTTGCTTCGCGTTTTGGGTTCAGAGGTGCTGGAAAATCCAAGAAAACCAGCCATGTTCTTGTAGTCTGGTTACCTAACCCCACTTAAAATAAAATGAAGCAATTTATAGACTTGGGGAATTGTAAGGTCAGAGAATCAGTTTAGCAGGCTTGTACCCTATCACAGGTGTGTAATAAATCGCAAAGAAAATGCGCAATAACCAAATATGCCTTTTCATTGAATGTTTTAACGTGTATACTGTATGTTTATATATTTAATGTTCTGTATTGTAGGTATTTGAAAATTTATGTGCAAAACGAGAAGGAGAATTTCATGCTGAATTGAATTAAAGTGAAAAATAAGGAGCAGGTTTTGAAAAAGCCAGTTTTCTCCAACGCGGGTCGGCCGACCGGCGAAAATACAAGTTTTCTTGAAAATGTCAGCACAGCAGGAGCCACGATTTTACAGGATGCTTTAGACTACCACTAGTCCCTTTCAATCCAGTAAGGTATTTCGTGGTATAATTTGATCATTTCGTTTTTGATGTTTGCAAATGTTGTATCTTCCCTTTAAAGTGGTCAGAAATTGCCTCAGATCGCACCACAAAGCAAGTAGCATCCAAAAAAATTCAAGGCCCTTAAGCGGGCCCCGAATTTTTCTGTCGCACTCGTTTTTTAACAAAAAGTCAGTCAAAGTTAGCCGAAAATTGGCTAAAACGGTCACTATGCCCATTCTATCCGGGTATATTCATCTGTTTCCATGCCACGCGTGGATCACAGCATTGCAAGTGAAGGCTTTCTTTAGACTAGCCGTTTTGATGACACTGATGCTTATATGCGTCATAGGCGTAGCCAGCGGGAGGGGGGGGGGGAGGGGTATACCCCCCAATATTTTGTAAAGACTGCCTTTTTTCCATTCAAATGCCCTTTTTTCAACGGGCTTACCCCGAAATAATTTGTAAAGAGTGCCTTTTTTTTTACGAAGTGTCCTTTTTTCTGAACAAGTGCCCTTTTCAAAAAAGAAGTGGTGCCCCTTTTTTTCTGGCATCTGCCGTTTTGGGTGTCTTGTTCAGAATTTCCCACATGTATCGCCCTAAAAAGCACCATATATTGGCCCTATGTGTGCATAATTGTCGGTTTTGAACAGCGCCCCCATCGACAGATGGTACCAGTCCCCCACCCCCCCCCTCCTTTTTTTATTTTACGGAGGCCAAGTGTCCAGAGAAAAAAACCTGTCTACATTTCACAACGGATGTGCAAGTGCCCTTTTCAACAAAATATACAAACAACTGTGTTTTATTGACTTTGGGACAGCGCCACTGTAGATTTTCACTACAAGTAATTATATCCATTGCTTTTCGTCATGGATCGAGAGTCTCCACAGGAGTTTAAATTGACTTGCTCTAATGCTTTTTTTGTAAGGATTTCCAAACATCAAGTGCAATGCGGTTCATTATTTGGTCACTTACCAAACCAGCCCAAGCGGTACATATAGGCAGAAATAGCATTCTATAATGATACTCGTACATCGCCACCAGTGCGTCATTACATCCCTGCACGGTAAAGAAACCAAAGTAACGATAGTTTAACGTTTTTAAAAGTTACAAACTTCTCATAAAAATATTTTAAACAATCCCCCCAAATTGGTGTGCGTTTGACTTTTGAGACTGCTTGACCGTGTCAATACACTCGTCACAGAGCAACGAATTTAACGACATTTTCTCTAATTAAATCCACGTCCGATTTTCACGAACAAAGTTAGCTTAATTACCTTAATATAAATTTTGCTTATGTTAATTTTATCAGCAGAAGTAGCATTCACACAGCCGTCATCCAGTAGTTTGAAACAGGTCACGGGCAGTACTCGGCCACCGTACATTGGTGAGCTAGCGAAGTAACTGTTGAAGTAGTCAGCATAGCCTGTAGCACCGCAACACTTTTCCTGCATGAAAATATCACATGATTATGAGCATCAAAGTTCACAGTTGTTGGCCGCGAATAATGTGAAAGCATTCTACTCTTTTTTTTGAAATCCGATGTTCAAGGACAAGTGATTAACCCCAACATATCAGCGCCTTGCTAATGGCGGTTGGGTCAATCGAACTCATGTCGCAGCTTTACATGGATTTACGCTACTGACGTATTGAGCGTAGAATATAGTCGTCAACCTGCTTGTTTAGAAATGATTTTTTTAAATTTCCTTTTCAAATAAGATGTTATTTCATAACTTCATAATGAATAGACAATTAAGTACGTAACTTAATTGATAAACAAAACATAAAAGTAAATGACAAAGTTAAATAACAAAGATAAATGAAAAGCAAGAAAGTTATGAGGAATATGTTAGAAGTCCTGCAAGAACTTATGAAACACTCTCTTCCCCCCTCCATCCCAAGAGAGAAATTCCCAAGTGTTCTCGTTACGCCCAACTACCACATTCCAACCTAAGATGTTCCATTAACTAAATAAAACAAGAATGTATAAAGCAATGTAAAAACCAATTCATTTCCATAACTCACATTTATCTGGAGTCTATTAATTGCATCAGTGTCAGCGGCATAGCCTGGCATCCCATAGAGCTCAGTCACATGATCGTACAGTATAGGCTCTACCGTGCCTTTTATCTTCGGGAAAAGAGGGAGATTTGAAATAAAATCAAAAATGCTATATCCGCGAATTAACACTGGACCAAATATGAATGGTAAAATTGGACATCTAAAACGACTTTCTGATCTGGTTTAATAATGTTACGATACTAGTAAAATGGGTCCCGAAAAAAATTAATCGAAGTTCGCAAATTCATTCTCAAATTACTTTAGAATGCAGGGGGAGCATCGTATATGAATTCCTCAAAGTCAATTTCGACACTTAAGAAGCTTCAACAAATGCTGTGCATCTGCCCATAGGGTTACGTGTGTGCCCTTATCTCACGCAAGGTCTGTGAGGTGTTCGTTCATCCATGAAGAAGGGCAATGAGCTGATGGAATATCCCACTTTCAAAGCAGGGGTGGGGGACTAGGCTGCATAAGAGGAAGTGGTTGTTGAACATAAACAATTGGCGACACAAGTACTGATGTGGTGACTTCATTTATTACTAAAAAAAACAATTGATCTACGGGTGTACATATATTCCTGTTTTATTTTATTTCACACACGTCAAACAAGGCGTATGGATAAAAGACAATTATAATATACAATAAAAAACATCAAAATACACAATACAATTACAATGGCTATCAGGAACAACTAACATACGTACATGTACATTCATATACATGATTTTTAACATAAAATAGTTCGAATTTGGTGGCAAAAGTAAGCTCTGGCAATGAGATAAATGTGGCTAAAGATATGGCAGCTCTGACTTCCTCTGATTGGGCGGTCTATTGTCTCAAATCAGTCCACAGCTTTTGCTGTTGGCCACGTCTTCTCCGCGACAGCTTTGATGGGCTCACCTCTGTCAAGGGCACAATAGTCTATCTTTTTCTTCGTCCTTAACTCCATCGGATTCTAATAAAGAAAGAAAGGAATTAAAAAACATTTATATTTTATTTTTCCTTTTCTAAACATAGAAAATGCATACGGGGTCTTCAGCTTGTTAGGCCATCACATGAACATAACAGTAAATGGCGTTCCTTTTTGAGTTGATACCTCCAACCAAGTTCAACTAGGCTGCCAAACATTACAGAAATATCTACATGAATAATAGTAAGTCATTAAAACGTGTGCAATTAGTGCACACCATTGTTCACCCACGTACAAACACTGTCTAATCACACCTAAACAAAAGTGGACTTGGCCAGAAATCACAGCGTGCCTTGCTCAAGCCACGCATGGCGTGCCGAGAAAGCTGCTTCCATCGCATAAGAAGCCAACTTTTACATCACAGTTACAATGTCTTCTGATAAAGTATCTTCATATTTTTTTAGATGCAGAGAATCTTTATACTGTAAGCTTGCATATCATATAGTTTTTAGAGTCCCTGAGGAATTGTAAAGGGGAGAACTTACCGGAGAGAAACAGCAAGTTGGCAGCACAACGATGGGAGTAGGTCGATTATCATCTGTTGATCGTACACGTTCCAATGCAGTTTCAAACAACGCTTTTGATTAGCGCAAAAACTTTAGGCTGAAATGGACGGGCTTTAACATTGGCCAATCAACTTCATTTTTACATCAGCTTTGGACAAACTCATGCTGTTTATTTTATAGCTCGAAAGAAATCGGTAGAGGGCGTCCAGAGTTGTGAGTTCATATGAGCCGCTTTGTGGGACAGGATTCTTCGTGAACATCGTTTTTCCATTGTAAAATTGGAGATACCGACTGTTTGTACTTGAAAAATGACGGATCTTTAAAGTAATTAAAAAAATAATCTAAAAATATCATTAAATAGAGGAATAATGAACTTTCAATTTGCCGAAAGAACAAACTTGAAAGCATCGAGGGTTCAAAAGTTATGTTCTCAAAAAGGAAAAAAATCGTGCTTTTTTTGGAGGTTTTCTGGAGGATTTCCGCTTTGCACAAAATGCAGCGGAAGCCTGTCGCTTAGGTTGCGCTAAGAAATTCATATCGGCGGGCCAGGTACGGCGAGATTTCAACATTTTCCGGGGGATACCCCGGACCCCATAGCAACCCGGACGCCTTCACCAACCACCCCTCCCCTCTTATAAATACCCCCCCCCCGGCCCCTCGCCGTTTCTGGAAGTTCAAAAAATATAAGCAGAGAAATGTTATACCAGACAATTGCGGACCCAACATTTATAGAAAGGAGGCGAAAATCGGACATACAAGCGGGGCACAAAAATGTGCTCATTGTCAAAATGTCCGTCTTTGAAGAGACTAAACAGCAGAGGAAACAGGAGAAAAGATCAGATGTACCTCCTAAAAAAAACCTGTGAAAAATACGGGGGCGCGCCGGCTGCGCCCCCCCCCCTCCCCCACCCTGCACCCGACATTACTTCATTTGAATTTATTTTAGTAATTGGTCGGGTTTTATTCGGCATTAATCGAACCGAATAACTGCGACAGCCTTTTGCACTGACTTACATTGTTTCCAAAGATGATGTGGAATCCAAGGAAACCGCCCGCCGCCAAACACACTGAGATGATGAGACAAGAAATGTACTAAAATAGAAATAAATAATAACAAATATCAGAATTTATAAAAAATATCAGGGACAACAAACCAGTTGGTTATTCTAGTATAATACAATGTATTGGGTTTTTTTTCTATTAGAATAATACAAATCTTAATTATACTGCACCTTAAATTAAAATAATAATAATAATAAAATAAAATTGAGAATTGATCTTGACGATGTTTTGAGAAAAACAATTAATGTGTCGTTCTTTGTGTGATGTAAGTATGTAAACGAGTGGGGAAAAAAACACTCCAAAAGAATTGTCTTCCACATGGCTCCTTGAAAAAGTAAGAAGTTTCCCTCTTTTAGAGTGGTTTTCCACTATGCACCACAATAAAAAAAAAACATTCCAAAAGATGAAAACTCACAAGAGTGAGGCTCTGCTCTTTCAAAGAGCCATGTGGTGGACACCTCTTTTCGAGTGGCTTTTCACATTTAAAGAGTATGCGTGTTAATGAAAATATTGTGCCCTAACCCTTTTGTCCTGGGTCTATGTGCCACGATTACCGGTGTTTACCCGGTCACACACGCGCACCGATTGCGCTTTCTAGTGTAGATATATCCGAGCACTTTACAAGGCTGTCAAGAATGCACTTAATTCAATGTGCTACTGTTCAGATAATCACTGGCCAGTTGCGTTGCACAATGGCGTACGTGCACAATGGTTTAATTGAAGCCTCTTGTGTGTGAAGTGATCGCGTGCTCGAAAATTGTACACAATGAAGGGGAAAAAACACCTTTTTGGCGTATTGTACACAGAACCGTCTAAGCAAGTCTTGTAAACAGGTTATGTTATGGCTTTATACAATGATCTTATTATGAACAGTTGGAAGTTTTCTGTTCCTGATCTTAGTACAGGGGATTGATGGTTTTATCTTTGACAAAGGACTAGACAATAGCCGAAAAATCAAACGCGTGGCGGAGGTGAATCGTTTTACAAGTTGGCCATTATATTTGAGGGGCAATTTGTTCGAAACTTGCACTTGTTATTCTCGTATAATGACGCCAGTCCCTGACAGCCTCCGAAGCGCGGTAGAGGTATCAACAAGACGTCCCAAGGTCGAAGACTGGGTTTGAGGATCTCATTGATAGCTATAACATAGCGCATTACGAGCTTGTCATGAACTGGCTGTATTATAGGAGAATAAATCCCAAACCCAGTCTTGGATCAAGGTTGCCCCCCTCCGCTATGCCCACGTCGGTTATCTCTGATGTTGTTGTACGTATTTCACTTTGTTGGAAAATGTTCGGTTCCTTGAAAAGCTTATAGCCTACATCACAGGCGAGGATGAACATACCCGCCACGACTATTATGATCACTAAGTGACGTTTCAAACGTAAAAGGTAAATCAGACCCACCACTTTCTTGACAGCAGATCTGTGATTTTCGATGGGGCTGCTTTTCTCCAAGAGATTCGTCAACAGAACGACACATTCATTCAGGATAGTGCAAACATAGATGGCCATCTGTAGGGCCTCCAACCCTTCGAAGAGGTGTGGGTAAGGTAATTTGTCGTTTATGGCGAGGATCATGCTCATCGTCTGTGAGTCGAAAATAAGATGAAAGAACAAGGAAGGAGTAAAACAGTACCTGGTGTGCGGATAGTGCACCTTAATATAAAAGCAGGGGGCAGGTTATTCCTGGCTGTGGCGTTCCTATGCTGAAAGTTCGGAGAAAGCAAAAGGAGCTTTGTATTGTTTGCGAATTTGACCAATCCCAAGGTGCCCCCCAAAAAGGAAGCCTCCCTAAACAATTTAACACCTCGTGCAAATCATGGGTATCCACTCCGTTCACAAGTACCCCCTCACCGGCAAAGGAAGAAACAGTTGGGGGTGACGGGACCGACGCCATCTTGCCTGACTCCAGTTCATTTGCCGCGAAGCGCGGCCACTGCGTGTACATAATAAAAATCCCCTGGGGTACGTGCGTCGCACACAAGGAACGGTGCACGTCAACCAGCGAAATTGTTAGTAAAAGGGCGTCCTCTTTCGTCGGCGCACGGAGCCCTATCCTGGGCAATCTGCCAAATTTAACTTATTTGACCCTATATCTCTCTGTTTGAAATGGCTTACGTGCATGCTCTCCTTTATTACCTGAGCTCTGGCAGAAGATTCTACATGTCACTTGGTGGTCGGGCGGTCGGATGGTTTGTCTGCCTGTCCGTCTCCGAAAATTCACCAAAAGTATGGTGTTCCATATGTGCCATGGGCGTCGCATTTTTCAGCTCTGGCATGAATCATTTTGATCGATTTCATACAAGACTTTCATGAAAGACGACCAAAGCTTGTTGTGCACTCGCTACAACTTGTGTTACTTTTTGTGGTTTATTTTGATACAGGATAAATGCTCTGCCGCATCTACTTTTTGTATACACCAGAAACATTACAAGAACCCGTTTCAAACTGGTGGTCCAATGTCGCGCCGACCAAAAGTAGTCCTCAAATTGTCGGTTTTAATAATGAAAAGTCCGAACGTGAACTGAATCAGAAACAGCCAAATTTATATGCAATAGGTCTACTGATTGTTGCAGTCGTTGCATCTTCAGAGTCTCAGACGTGGCGTTCTAGTCAAGTAGTCCGTGCATTGGAAGTTCGAAAGTATGAAACCGAAGTCTTCAGGTCGACTTTTTGGTATTACTCGACTCTGGAACGCAAAGTTTAAGTTTATCAAAACGTGAAACACTGATAGTCAATTAAATGTGATGGCGAAAATTACCTGCTTTTGCAAGCAAACGATGTTCTGCGCCAATGCATGTGTTTATGTATATTATTACAGCGGATTTGTTTGTACTCACCGCAACAGCAGCATGGCTACTTAAGGCGAGGCCTGTTAAGAAGCCCATTGTATTTCATGCAGTCCGTTAGCACAGTGTGTGGTAGATCTCTGTTCGAATCTGTGCGATAGTATCAGTAAAACTGGTATATACGTGCTTTTCAAAATTTCAATTTTCTTATATGAACGAAGTATGGCCTAAATGCATATAACTTAGCGCACTCCAGTTCAGTCAACAATGTAATAATTACATGTATAACACATGTTTTCATGACTAGGAACCTAGAATATAAACAAAGGCTAAAATAAAGTAAATCGTGAATTTATTTCAAGCAAACGTCAAACGTGAATTAAAAGTTTCTGCTTCAGAAATAAAAAACAATTTAAAAATGAACGTGGGCAAGAATTAATGCAAACATCCTATACGGTATCTGCCAATAAAACAAGCATCATTCACGGATTTCACAATTATCAAGTTCTACCCTGTTCATTGGTTTTTTTTTCAGTTTGAAAGGTATAGGCCTATACAGTAAAGTATGGAGTCAAATTGAAACAAGACAGGGTGAGTCAAAAAAAGCAAAACCCTAAGCCAAAGAAACATAAATTAGGCCAATTTAATAAATTACTTTTCGATGAAAAAAATTGCTCAGTCAGTTCAAGTTATATCACCATTAAACGAAATGACACACAAATCAGCTTCGTCCAAAGATGCGATTTCAAGAATTGTCGTTACAATTGTCTTCTAACGTCACCACCAATAAAAACTGAGTTCAATAATAAAACAATACTCACCAAACTACAAGGTCTTAAAAAAAGGGGGGGAGGATTTTATTAATCCTATTGTTAGCCAAAGCAGGTTATGTTATTGTGTACTACAGTTGTCGAACAAGTATTCTTTGTCATTTTATTTGTTGTTTTAAACACCCAGAACACACAATATTTTTTTTTACAAAACTGATTATAGGGTCATTTCGCCAAGCTCAATTCTCAATGTGAATTTCGAAAAGCCACCACTAGATTTCATTGAAGGTCCAGAATAATTCAAAGTTTTAGCATACTGATTCGTGCTAAATTTTTGAAATTCGTCTTTGAGTTTCGCTTGTTTGACTCACCCTGTAAAGTCGAAAGAAATCAGTATCCAACCGAAATATATATTATATATTGGGGAGGGGGGTGCAACCCCCTCCCTCCCCCACTGGAAATTTGTTAGTCCTTTAAGTGACCATGGTTAACGAGCTTAACAGAAATTGGGCGCACCCACTATAGCTCCTTACCCAAGCGGCGTACCCAGGATTCTCACCACATGTGGCGAGTGGGGGATGTTATAGTGCACTATAACATCCCCCACTCGCCACATGTGGTGAGAATCCATGTGGCGAGTGGGGGATGTTATAGTGCCCTATAACATCCCCCACTCGCCACATGTGGTGAGAATCCTGGGTACGCCGCCTTACCCAAGCGGCGTACCCAGGATTTTCACCACATGTGGCGAGTGGGGGATGTTATAGTGCCCAAGCGGCGTACCCAGGATTTTCACCACATGCGGAGAGTGGGGGATGTTATAGTGCACTATAACATCCCCCACTCGCCACATGTGGTGAGAATCCTGGGTACGCCGCTTGGGTAAGGTGCTATATGTACAAATGTCATTTCATCGTTAGACTACATAATATTTACGCCTAAACAAAATGCGAATTTTGAAGCGACAAAAGTTTTTAAATGTTGCAGTCATGGCAATAACTTGTACACGTTATGGAGAAAATCATCCATTATAACTTACCAAATAGACACCAGAGTGTAATGTTGAGCCTTGATTCATTAAAATCAATACAAAATGTTTCCAATCACTAGTTTGTAGAGCAAAGAAGTCGACGACGCTGAGCCGTCCAGTATAATCTACCCGTTAAACTCTGATCACGCGGCAATTTTATGCAATTCGACGGTAATATATAGAAAGAATTCCATCACGTGATGCTGCAAAGGGAATTTCCGAAAGGGGAGTGTCCATCACGTGGTGGCTCGCCCTTTGTATTTCGAACACTATTAAAAGGTTGAAGCTGCGTTCCCCTTGCTCTTCAAGAAACACGATTTTTTGTCTATTATGTGATACATTTACAACTTGTATGCTATATTCCCCTTCCTCCCACATTTTTGGACGTTTGTAACCCTATAACAAAAAAGGGTTTTTTGTTTGTTTGGGGGCACAAACAGATCGGCCTTACGATCAGATTGGTTCCCAGTACGTGTATTATCGATACTGATTGTGGGATGGGAACCAGTCTATACCTAGCGGAAACGGTTCGTTCAATCCACTGCTTTGAATTGTGGTCGGAACTTCAAACTGGGAATAGTGAGTCAAAGGTCAGAACAATGTAAAGAGCTGCAGCGCATTTTATTTCAAATTTCAAATTCGCGGCAAGAAAGTAATTCAGGTAAATCTTCCGTGTGTTACAGGCGCGAAGGCTACAACACAGAATAAACCCTTTTTTCGGTTTAAATGCATCTTATCACGATATGTGGCGTAGTCAGGAATTTTTCAGTGGGGGGGGGGGGGGGGGGGGGGGGGGCGCTGGGGGGGTCTGAAACATTTCATGGGGGGCATCATGTAGATCAATGATAATTTTTTTAAAAACTCAAAATCTCAGTGGGGGGGGGGGGGGGGACTGGGGGGAAACAAGGTTTCATGGGGGGTATCGCCCCCCCCCCCCCCCACCGTGGCTACGCCACTGCATGTGACAGAGGGAAACCCCCCCCCCCTTTTGTGCTGGTCATTGTGTTACCAGATCTCAGGAATTCTTTGAGATATCTGGGGGCGGGGTGCTTGGTAGCAATAGTCTTGGGTGTGCATGTATAGAACATTATCATGTTGCGGCCATCATGATTTTCCCATTCAAATCAACGTAACGAAGCGAGGCTGGTAGAACAATTAGTCTGGTTCCTTTTTGCACAAAAACATTATCATTCAGTACCATTAGTGGATACAGGGAACATGACTAAAATGCAGCATGACAAAGGTCTATATGGTATAGGGAGATGGGGGGGGGGGGGAGTACTCCTCTGTCGCATAACGTGCTGGGTATATTCAAGCGTACATGTGTCGTCCATGATATCCGAGCAGATTATGCAAAACAACGCTTTTTGATTCTGTCCATTCAATGGGCGCCTTCAATCGGGTCTTGATCTTCGGTAACTCGTTTTATGAATTACAAACATGGGCAAGACAGATCCGAGGATTGTCGAGAAGCGAACCGATTCCTTAACGTATTAGTGTATAGTCTCGGTGTTATGGGCTAAATACATCAGTATGTACACTGCAAAAACTGTATTGCTAATTTAACAACATTCGGTATCTATTGTCGATTCGGTATCTATTGTCGATTCGGTATCTATTGTCGATTCGGTATCTATTGTCGATTCGGTATCTATTGTCGATTATTGTCGATTTTCAAAGGGCATTTTTTACTCTTTGCCAGTAATTCATTTACACCAATCTTTGTCCAAGCAAAGACCCTAATTCAAACAACATTGTGTAATGATGACGTCATGATAACGTCATCCGGTGTTTTTTTATGGGCAATTAAATTGTGACACTTTTAATATTTAAAAATGCATAAGAAATCAACCGTACGCGTCTGCAGCATTCTGTTGCCGTCATGTGGTAGAATAGGTTAAGGTCTTTATTTCATTTGGTGTGCGTGAAATCAGGTGACCCTTGCTTCCGGTCGAAAAGGCCAAACCGGAAGTGGCTTATTATTTAAAAGTGGTAATA